GCAAAGTTGGCCGGAGTCCATCATTTTAGACATGAGTTTTTAATAATTTTGGATTGAGCATGCATCTTTTTAAAAAATTATTTTACCAGATGAATAAATAGTAGTATTTTTTTTTCTTGGGTCAATTATAACTAATTTCCCAAATGCACACTTTATTAGACGTATAATATGGACTTCGTCTTTACAATTATGTCTTTATGTATGTGTTGGACTATCTAACTAAAGCTTTTCACGTGTTGAAATTGTCAGTGTAAATTGAACTGAAAATTGGCAAGTAGTACGTACTATTATTATTATCATTTTCTTGGCATTGACTTCATCATCAATACTGAATATAGTCAAACCTTGAAAAAATTAACACAAAGTTGTACGCTCTTTTTTTTTTTTTTTTTTTTCAAGTTAGCTTGATGTGCTTCTGTCACTCTCGAATTTGTGAAAGTGGCAACACTAATTTCAAATATTGAGTGCTCCCTTCTCCTACTTTTGGCTACTTACCTACTGGATCATATATGCATTTAATTATTTTATTCTTACTATAATTCAACACTTGTTCAAATTAAAGAGCGACTTTTGCAACTTGGAATGACAATCATACAGCCGCCCGCCCCCGACCCTGAATTTTCCAGGTAATTCCCAGAGAGGCCAACCACATTTTATTAATTAGTTGTATATATTTGGAAAAACATTAACCATGCATACGAGATTCATTAACGAACATATAAATACTCAACGTATGATATGAATTTTTCATGTCTCGGAATAATTATCATATTTATTGTAATATATATTTTAATACAACAGATAGGAAACTCATGTTAGAACGGCTCACACCCTGAAGCATATATATGAGATTATGATACTTCCTTTTGCTGAATTAGTAGTTATTAGTTGAATGTAGCCTTAGGAAAAGAAATAATTAATCAAAGTAACGTGGACATTTGGCTTGCATATGTTCATAATGACTTTGAATTATTGGTAATCGTTATTAATGAAGGGCAACTAATTAATTAGTGATGGTTTATCACGATTACTGTTCTGCATGGGACACGGACATGACGATAGAAGAAAATTTTCACTGAAATTTTATTGTCTGCACAAAAATAGGGTTACTGAGCTAGCATAAACTATACCACATTGCTCACCAAATCAACGTCACACACTCACACTTACTTAAATTGTACTAACGAATTTCATGGCGCTGGCAATCCGATTCGGTGGTGGTGACAATGTTGAACCCCTTCCCAAAAGAGTAATGATTGTTATAGAAAAAATTACTACAACAAAAATATATAATAAATGAATTATAATTGTGTATACTTAAATTTCACCTTTATGAGTTTGTCCATTTACGGGTTAGAACATAGTCGATATTCAGTTACACAATTCCATGTAAAATTTCCATGCATGTATTAATACTCCAGAGGAAATAGTTGTTTGGTGTATTTATTTTTAATTCTTTCTTTTTTTTGTGAGTATAGTGGCGCGGTGGAAATTGAACTTGGGAAATCGACGTCCAGCCCGCCGTAGAAGACCCCCACCCAGTATCCGCCCCATGCTTGCATGATGACCAATATTCGCATTCACTGACCTAAATTCACTTGTTGATTAGGTCCTCTTCTTCTTTTCCTTCTTTTTTTTCCTAGCAATTAATATGTACCTTTTTTCTGTTGTGAGTATATATAAAAAAGAGAAATATAAAAAGATATAATGATAAAAAAAAAAAAAGGAAACCTGAGAAAAATATAGTGAATGGTATTACCAAACAGGGTCTTGTCCAGAGCTGGACACCCTTGTTGACAAGTTTGTTGAAGCCTAAATTATTACAACACTGGCTTTATATGTTACGGTGAATTAATATCATGTGATAATTTAAGAAAGGATTCTCGGTGGTAGAATTTTTTAAGTGTTCTATTTCTATTCAACTAAGAAATGTCACTATATATAAAAAAAAATTAACGTTTACGTATATACTACATGTCTGAATTGTACCTAGCTTATTCAGCCGTTCCCTAATTATTCAATCATAAGTACATGGAGGTCTCATCCATGTTATAAGTTGAAGCGCGACATGTTGTTTTCGAATCAATGCTTCCAACTCCCAACATCCGAACCATCTGAATCATCGTACGTCAACTTCAAATTTGGAGAAAATATGTATATCGAGGTCCTTCTTTTAGTTGTTAAACCCTTAAGTTTACCAATTAATCACCAAAAATCGATTCATAACTCTTTGCTTAAGATTACTTAATTCGACAAAAAAACATCCAACTTTTATCCCATCTTACATGATCTAAGCTCAAGTAATCATGCATTGAACCTTTTTCTCTCAATTTTGACTCACTAGTTCAACATAGGATGGCTCTTCTCATTTGTGAATCGTGATGCATGGATCTATTAGTTATACCATGCAATACTATTCTAGCGTTGTATTTTGAGAGTTATATATATTGGAACCACGTACAAAAGAAAGTCAAATTAACTATGTACTATAGTAAACGCCTTAAACACCTTTTACTAGTATGAGACAACATACAAATCCTATCTATCTATCTATATCTATCTATATACTATACTAAGGCAAAAACCAGAGAGAGGAATCTAAAATCAAGGAGTACATGCCACATAGGATTTTATCCTATGTGGTATTTTCTTAATTTTCTAGATATAAAAATGCACAAAATAAAACAATAAAAACCAAAAACAAAAAAAAACGCAACTGAAAAAATTCAAACTCTATATTGATTCGACCAAATCCCTACAAATCCGATGGACGGATCTCTTCCTCCTAAAAAAAAAACACAACTGAAAAAGAATTTTATATTAATAATTTATTAAAATAATTAAAGAAGTTAGGCCAAACTGAAACTTCTATAATTTAGCTTCAAATATGGAATTGAGTTAAAATATTATAGTGATGGGTTGATGTAGCGGGGCTAAGAATGACCCTGGCAAAGAATAAAAATATTAAAAGGCTTCAATTATGGCTATTCTTTATTCTTCTTTTTTAATGTTTTGAAATCCAAATTTTTAGAAAAAGTCCTCATATCCAACCTTTTTTTTTCTTATTAAAAAATTAGATAGCCTCTACAACAGGTTAGGGTTGTTGTTTCTGTAGTAACCATTCCTTATCATAAACCTTTTCAAAAAAAAAAAAAAATTCCTTATCATAATCTCTTAACCACCTTAGCCAACCTTTCCATCCTAGACTACCAATATAGTCTACCAAGAAATATTGCAAAATAAATAATTATTTAATTTAAAGTTCATTTTTTAAAATTTTTTAACAATCTTTTTTGCGTTAAATAAATTACCAGTGTATTCGTTTGGTAAAGTGTTGTCGATGTTTGTGTTTTATATTTTTCAATTAATTCAATATATATTTTATAAAAATACAAAAATCTATACAAATATTAATATTTTTTTGATTTGTTTGTGTAGTAATATTTATGTATATGTGCTCCCCGTCTATCGGACGGTCTAACATCTAGTACTAAATAATAACAGACGGTTGTGATAAGAGATTAAGGGGTGAGTCTCGTTTTGGGCGCATGGAAAAAAAGAAGAAGCTCTTGATGGGTTGCCACTTGCCATTCATTATTGTGCTAACAAAGTTACGATTTAATCATTGTTCTCAACTGTGGTTATTTTGTTTTATGCAAATAATAATACTACTATTGAATCTCATAATCAATTTCATTTTTACTAATACTCACAAAATGTCATCCGTCAACACCAATCACTAGTCTTCTCACCAATCAGTACTCCCTCCATTTCAAAATGTAGATAGTTTTAGGTTTGGAGAAATATTTCAAAATATAGGTCGTTTTAAGATTTCAAGACAAATTAAAGATAACTTCCCAACTTTGCTCCCAATAAATGATACTAACAATTTTTCATCTAGTTTTTGTCATAGTTTCAAAATAATTAATGAAGGGCAAAATAAATATTTAACATAAAAATTAATTATTAAATGATTGTCTCTTTAGCTTACGTACAGAGGCTAAAGAGACTTATATTTTAAAATGGAAGGAGTAATCACTAATCACCAATCACCAAATTGTTCGAAAATACCAAACGTCTGGGCTATATTCTAGGTGAGGAGAGAATCTGAGCAAATCTGTGAGCCCAACCCACCGTTTATCATTGGGACTGCGGGCAACTGACACCTATTACCAGAATCCCATTTGAAAGCCCATGGGATCTTCAAATTTGGCCCACCTTATCAGTCGTGGCCCACTGGGATAATTTGGTTGTCTTATTGTTACACAAATTATGCTAAACTTAAAAATTGTTAGTAACCATATATGCAGTCAGCAGAGATAGGGGAAAAACACAGTCCAGATTTTCTGATTAGTCAATCTCCACCTAAGTACAACATCGATTAAAGTCACTTTCAACACATACATAATTATTATAAAAAGGACAACATTTCTCCATCTTTATCTTCTTCAAGCTCTTTCTTGTTGGCTTCAAATACCAAATTTTATACATATTAAAAATACTCATATAAGAAAGTTAAATGACAAGTGGAAATAATTATTATGAAGCTTAATTAGTAAGAAGTCAATGACGAAGAAGATTCATACTACTCTTTGATAGTAACAAAGTAGTAGTAGTAGTATAGTATATATACATGGTTAGTCAATTTAAATTGAATGCCCAATTTAAAGCATCAACTGACTCAAAGTGCAAAGTCAAGCAACCATTTACTTTGCAATTAAATGGGAAGTAGCGAGAAAAAAAAAATATTACTCCTTCTGTCCCAAAATTAGTGTCCAGTTTGAAATTTCACTTTTAGTATAATTTGAATTAGAAATGAAAATCCAAACTGGACAATAATAATGGGACGGATGGAGTATGTACAAGGCATCATTTCTTGAATCAATATTTTGATTTACCAATTTGTTCTTCTGCCTTTATATAATTGCATAAAGTACACCATAAATACTATATATTACTATCTATTAACATGTTTATTAACTCGATAAACTCTTATAGATAAAAATTCTATCAGAAAATATGGATAAAAAGCATAAGTCACTTGATTCCATATTTTACTCATTAATGAATATATTATTACTAATAATTGTTAATTAATTCTTTCCTCCGGAAAGTTCAGTCGCATACGCGTAGCAACCGTGGCACACCTCCCTGCCTTTTTTCCTCAACTTCTTCCATCTCTTTTCCCACATAATTTGTCGAGTCAGCGCCAACTTTGTAGTTTATTCCCGTCGATTTGTAGTAGGGTTTTACGAGGGTTTTGCTGTACATGTCCAGAATCTCTCTGATTTGATCAGAATCATTTGTGGGCACCGTGAAAAAAATCTGATCTCTTTTCTTTTCTGTTTTGACTGTTTTGGCAACTGGGTTTTTGTTTGTTCTACCATATGGCGAATCAAATTGTTCCGGGCATGCAATTCACGGGTCAACAGCAACAACAACCCTTTATGGATACTACCAATACTAAGATTTTTGTTGGAGGGTTGGCTTGGGAGACTAAAAGTGACATGCTTCGCAGGTTCTTTGAGCCCTTTGGGGAGATTCTCGAGGCTGTTGTCATCACTGATAAGCATACCGGACGTTCCAAAGGCTACGGCTTTGTAAGCTATCAATTCTTTCCTACTATTTTTTTTTTTTCGAATTTGTGTGTGTTTCATGGTTCGGGGTTGTTCCTTTCTTTTGTAATTGACTTTGCTCTTTACTTCTATTTAAGTTTCCGTTTTAGTGTGAGGACTCGTATTTGTTTGGAAACCTATGTGATCTTGGCATAAAATCTTTATAACCTCGAGTGTTAATTGGAAAAAAGCACGAATCAATTGACTACTGGTTTTAAGAATCCTTTTGATTTAGGCAGCGGACATCATATATTCTTATTTGTTGGGGGGAATAAGTGCTTTAGTTGTTCATATGTATGTTGAGAACTTTATCTAAAATATCTTCATGCTTATGAATATTACTTGATTCAATGTATTCTAATTGACCGGGGAACAGGTGACATTTCGTGACCCTGATGCTGCAAAGAGAGCTTGTGCCAATCCAAATCCTGTAATTGATGGTAGGAGAGCAAATTGTAACTTGGCTTCACTTGGTCGGCCTGTACGGCTTTTGCCTCATGGTAATTCCTTAGACTTACAATTTTGGTTTTCTTTTTCTTGTATTAAGCACCAACTGGCATGCGCATTTAATTTCCTAAAAAGCGGTTACTAGTTGCGAGTTGAGAATTTTGTTTTCCTGCATGTTATGAGTCACGATGTTGTGCGGGTACAATAGCTAATTTTCCTTTTAATCCCCCAGGTGGGGTACCTTTTTCAGTGCTTTCTATTTGCAGATATTACAAAAGGGCAATTGCTGTCGTCATATGACGTAACTTATTGTTTTTTTCAGAAAGTCTACTATTCTATCGTGAATTAGCTTACTTTTCCAGTGTTTGAAACCAAGTTTCATATGTGGCCATCTTATTATTTACTTTTCCTTTTTAGGTAATATGAGGTCTGTATCTCCTTATGTTAGAGGTCCTCAGACTCCTCGGGGAATGTATGTTGGAAACCCCATGTATCAGCTCCCTGCTAATTTCGGTTACCAACCAGGATTGCAATTTTCTCCATATAGGTAAGGGCTAATTTTGAGATGAGTGTTATTGCATGACCGATGATTCCGTGCTGATGACCCCAGTTCTGTATGTAACCTATGCACAGTGGGTGATATCTGAATAAAAGAGCATTCGAGTTGGAAACTTTTAAAGAATCATCTGATTCAATGTTTTTATTGACGTTTTCCAGGTGCTAAGTGAAATGTCCCAGACAACCATTATCTTTGAATTGGTACATTCATTTTCGGCACTTTGAAGGATATAAGTTTATTTCACTTGGAAATGAGATACTTCAATAGACTCAGATTAGTTTGTCCTGTTGTTTTAGTTCCTTATACTTCCAAGAGAATTGTAGGACTAATTAAAATAGACGGCACTTGATGAGGCTGAGTAGTATACATATTAACTTGTCACCATTGGCAAAGAATTTGGGAAAGGGTAGCTCAGATTGATCTTTCTTGTAATAATTCATTTTCCTGCAACATGATGTCTGAATTGGTTTTGATTTGTGTATATATATCCGCTCACGGAGTTTAAGATAGAAACTTCATCTTGTAGTGAGAGTATGTATTTATGTGTATTTTTAACATCTTTCTGTCACTAATTCATAATGCTTGAGGCATAAGTAGTCTTGTCTCATTTTGCCGACCTGATGAACTGTTGAATTCCAGTATGATTAGTCTTTTATTGAGATCCATGAGCACTTTATGTGGGTTTGTCTGGGCATTTACATCCTGCTACCTGATTGTGTAGATGGCTGTTGATATGCTAATGTACTACATTTAGTGCTTATTTGTCTGGATAGTAAGTTTAATAATCTGAGGCATTGATGGACGGTCATTTTTTGCTTGACACTTGTCCCTGTGGAGATTCTTTTTGGCTGTTGGTTGCTTTTTTATTGTCAATACAGAGGAGATGTTGCGTGATTCCTATGAGGCCTGCCTTATAAGAATTCACCTGATTTCATCCATCCGTCTGATTGGCTTACCATTAATCTACACATTGTGGCTCTTTATCTGGGTTAATAGCTGATCTCAAAACTTTTGTTCTTCCATTTGCAGGTACCCTGCTTATGGTCCTGAATATTTCTATCCCCAGGCGAGTCATTTTATATTTTTATTTTTATTCTTATTGTTACAGTGGTTTCACCGATAACAATTACAATTGGTTCGTCTTAGTTTTTAACTTGCAAGTTCTTGGGTCTCATGTATATTTGTGCTTAGCAGTTATGTTCTAAATTGATGAATATAAGATGTTGTGGACTTACGAATCTTGATATTTACTTCAGATGTATGGTGTACCGAGCCCTGTAAGCCCAAACTCAATGTTATATAGTCAGATGGGAAATCAGCCACCTGCCAACCTTGGGTACACACCTGTTCGAGGCTATATGTTGCCAAACCCCCATGCTTTGCAATATGGAAGACCAATTGTTGGTGGAATGGCCCCAGAGATTATGTCCCCCAACCACCCTGGTATTCTCTTGCTGAAAACTGTTATGGATAACTAATTTAACACAGCATCTAGGAATAATAAATTCTTTTGCACTTGCACGTCCTAAACTGATGACTGTGAAAACTATTTGGCTTTAAATAACTCTGGTTGCTCTCTGGCTGACACTATTCTACTGGTTGTGGGAAGATATGACAAAATTTATAACAACTACTACAACACAGAGTACAGTTGGGCCCCCAGTAGAAAGATTGCATTTAAAAAAATTTTTCCTGATGAAGGGTGCAGATTTATTCAACCATGCATCATCATGGCGCATGAGTTTTATATGCACTTTATCATTTAGTGCTTAATGTGGGTTCTGGAACTGGTCATCCATACTTGTCCTGTTATGGTCACTGCATCTGCAATATGTTACGATCATTCTTGCTCAATTGTTTTGAGGATAGATATTGCATAAGATACCTTGATTTTCTATTGGGACAACCTCACCATGCTAGAATATTGAGTGAAGCTCTTAGTGACATCTGCTTTCTTTGTCAGGAATTCGGATAGCGTCTCCTGTTCCAGCTCAGATTATTGTCCCTACAAGTCCGCCTCAATTTACTCAGAGCAGTGGATCTGATCAAATGGCTGGCTGAATTTTTGGTGTAAATATCTATCATGAGGTAGGTTTTGTAAATCATCCGAGTTACCAATAGGAATTTATTTTTTTATATTATTATTATTATTTTTTTTGTATGTGTGATCATGCTTTTCGAAAATGTTAGTTTCTGTCTCATTGTTTTTACCTATGCATCCTGGTTTTGGATGGAAAAAGTCGTCTTGGATAAGAGTAAGCTATTAATCGCTAATCCCTCTGCGGCTCCCTTAACCACCAATCCTCATTTACTTAGTATCATTTTTTATATGACGGACCAATCAGCTAATAGCTTCTTAATAATCTGCCGTATGGAGTACGAAAAGTGTGAACTACAATATTTGTTAAGATGTCCTAAAATTTGGGAGTTTCATATTGGTGGAATATGATTTTATGATCTTTTTAGTTCTATTAGTAACTATATATCATGGAATCCTTGTAGTATGTTTCCAGTGAACTGAATTGATTTTTTTATTTTTTATTTCTTATAACTGAATTGATTTCCAACTTCCAAAGCTAGCTGTATTGTTGGGGGGTTGTTTGAACACTATAAAACAAGAAGTTCTTGGTAACTGCATGTCGGCCTCATTGGCATACCAGAGCTTCCTGTACATTGTATGTTAATTTGGATGGGAAGCAATAATTTATCCTCGGGACTGAAAAAGAAAAGGGAAAATAGGTTGCCACTTGCCAGAGGACCTGATATTAAAATTCCTCATTTTCTATTAGTGAAGCCGGCAACCAACTTCATAGACTTTTGACAGATTTCTACTGGCGGTAACCGCAGATTAGTGACTCACTTTGATATGTTATCTTTTCCATTGTGCAGCTAATTCCATGGAAAATGAAGGATCAGAATATGATGGTCTCCTGGTGGCAGGCATTGCAGTGGGTCTTGCAAGCTAACTTTTAAATGTTCAAGAGGTATAACATTAGCATCTTGTATTTGCAGAATCTACTTCACTGAAAGTAATTTGTCAAGGGTTTGTATCCTACAAGTTAATTGTTTACTCAGTAAATGGACTGGTACAAATTATTTGTCTTTTACTGGAAAACAATCTTGAAACAAAACTCAGAAGCCTAGAACTCTATATTTTCTTCAAGGTGCTTTTTGTGTGACTTGGAACCTAATGAATTTGTTCACATTTTTCCTGCAGGCCTCCTGAATTCATGACCACCAAGGATACCTGAATCTCTTTGTAACATACTAGTATCATTCTGATATCCGGAGTGAAAACACTGAAGGGCGAGGATTGCTCTTTCTTTCACCTCATGCAAGGGACATGTCTTGATGCAAAATACATTTTAACCCTCAATTCTGGGTGTTCGCACTCGGGGGATGGCGGGTGGAGACGGGGGAGGGGCGGGAGGGGGGTCGGTTGGGATGTCCAATGTGCAGACTCAATACTAATTCAGGAAAGAGGTACACGTACCTTTTCTAACAATTGTGTCAGTGATTCAAATCAAGTGTCATGCGTCAAAAGCTTTCACCTGGGCGGGTGGATGAGCTTGCTAACGTAGTATCTACAATCCTAATTGATGTCGTCCGGAAAAAAAAAAAAAAACCATAATCCGTTTGTTAGTTCCTTGGAGGAATCGATCAAATGGGTATTCGCAGGTTATTTGCTACAGTTGTAAAGGCAGCACTCAGCAAAGGTATTTAGGGCCATTTCTGCATTAACTTTGAAGACTTGTTAGTCAGTTGCAATTTTCGGTCGATTACTGCATCATTACAAGTTGTGTAGCTATTGTTTAGCAAAAGACAATCCAATCTAGGTTTAGCTGGCTCTCTTGGAACAAACCATTAGACCTTCATTTTTCATTGTGATCTTATGGTCCTGTGTTTTCTAGTCCTTTTGATTTGTTTCTCCCTTTGTTTTTCATTCATTTGTTTTGACGGGTGGGAGAAACTTTCAAAGAAGCTTATATGAAAACAAGACTAATTAATGTATATAAGGAAAACTTTAGACTGTGAAATTTATAAGGAACTATATGGCCGAAGTTCAACTAGTCCTTTACTGCTTTACAAATGAATGGATGAAATTCAAGGGTTAAGGGCTAGTGTGGACAATTACGATTTTTTCTTGCATTCCTACACATCATTATTCCTGCTAAAAAATATTCAAATCTATAGTTTAGTCTTAACAGTGACAAGTTTGCATCAAAGACTGCAGTTAACACTTTAGTCTTAGTAGGTACTTCTTGACTGCATCATCTTACAACAATGGTCCAGGTTTTCAGGGGTTCATCTTACCACAAGTTTGCTTCATGAAATTTAAGTCAAGTAGGAAAATATTCTTTTTTTCCTTCTAATAATCATATATAAATTTAAAATAACGTTGGTTTAAATTTGCACTGTCTCTGTCCCAAAAAATAATTCACATTAAGTTTTTTAAATTTGTACTATTTTTAATACAAAATTTAAAACTCAATGTGGACTATGAGACGGAGGTAGTATTTTATAATTAGGATCATGGAGAGTATAAAAAAGTGAAGAAATTACTTGAAGATCTCCAAATATCTTAAGCACCTCCTAACAATTAAGTCTTTACACTTGTTGCTTGGAAATCTACTCCCGATGTATACACCTCTGTCCTAAACAGTAAACACCTGTTGATCCTTTTTCTTCACTCCATAATATTATTATTATTATTATTATTATTATTATTATTTTATTTATCCGCTATAGGGGTTTGTAATAATGTTGTTTGATTCGAATTTTGAATATTAACATCGCGTCCTCATTTTCACAGGGAGCAACATATTTTCGAAGAGTTCTTTTTTCCCCGTAAAAATGGGAAGAAAAGTATAGATAAAAGAAAAAATCTCAAATTTTAAGTGAGGCTCAACTCTAGGGTTCAGTGTTTGAACTTTTAGATGTTTCAATAAATTTAATTTAACGGTACAGGGTTGAAAATTTTACAGCTATTTTTTTTTCATTTTTACATACCTAGAAAGTAATACTGAAGGTTTACCATTTCAGCAAAGAATTGAATTAAAAAAATGTAAGGGAAAAAAGAAAGAGAGGGGGAAAAAGCCCTATCCCATTGGGCCATCCTTTTCGCGTTTTCTGGACTTAGCCCAGGTCCAAACCTTAAAGATCTGCATCCGAGTCAACTCGTCTGAGTTCTACCCAAAAACCTCCGATCTCTTCACTGGACCACATTCACACATCTCTCCCTCTCCATTTTCCGGCCAGGGAAAACGCTCCGGTTTTCATCTTCTGTTACTTAATGGAGGAGTTTCCAGGCGAACTACGTACGCCTCCGGTGGCTCTAGTAGCTTTAGTAGGCTTCCCGGAGCTTCATGCGCCGATCACAGCCCACCTTCACGCGGAGCAGCCACCTATCAACGCCCTCGCATTGCCGGATATCTCCAAAATATCGGTTTTTGCTAGAACTCCCAAGGATAACTCGGTCCCGGTTCGACCCGTCCCTGGCATTTTGAAAAGGGATTGGGTTTCAAAGCACCGGACTCGGATTCCTGCCGTGGTGGCTGCCCTTTTTAGCTCCGATCACGTCTCTGGCGACCCCGCTCAGTGGCTCCAGGTCTGCAACGATATGGATAACCTCAAGTATGTTTCCTTTTTCCACTCCTTAATAACAATTCGATCGGAAAGCATTTTAATTGACTGAGATGAATGTTTGTTTATACGTATGTTCATGAATCTCTTTATAATTTTATTTGGAAAATGGGCAGAGCAGTGACTAAACCACGAAACATTAAACTTGTAGTGGCGGTGGTGACGCAGTCAAGCTCCAAAGGTTAGTTCTATCTGTCAGTTTTCCCCTTTCAATTGATAGTTTTTAATTTAGTGCAAATCTCAGGTCCTACTGAGGGTTGAGTTGATGTTATTTTGCAATATTTTGCTTTGTTTGTTTAAACTCTTAGTCTGGGTAAAAGAGCTGCTACGTCTTTCTTGCTTTAATCTGAAAGCTTAATTACCATAATGTACTGAAATGAAGATTAGGAAAAAGAGTAAATTGAGTTTCCCCTTTAGAAGTTGGGGTTTGAAGAGTGACTTTGGATATTCTATTGTTGCTTGGAGGATTTCGTATATTCCTTTTGTGCAGAAATTAAATTGGAATGCTTTTGTATTTTCCCGGTTTTGAAGGTTCTCATCTACATTTAGACTGACATTGTAGTTCGGTTGCATTGAAAGTTGTAAAAATTCTATATGATTAGTGGCTCTTTTTGCTGTTTTCTAAATCTCTAGTTTTAAGTCTAGCACCAATTGCGTTTTCTTATTGGTTAGAATTCTGGTTTTAAGTTGATGGAACTCGACTAATAACTGCAGATGAAATCAGTGAAGATCGGATGCTTGCTCTTCGTAAGAAGGCAGAAATTGATGCGAAGTATGTACATGTCTTTACTACAAATGATCCTTTGGAGCTTGAACAATCCCTCAACAGGCATGTTATTAATACACTTAAGTGATTCATTACAGCAGCAATTCACTATAGCAACTCATTATAAACTGTTGGTGCAATAATATGTGTGTTGCAGACTTAGAAGCTCTTTAGCAGAACTGGCAAATGCATATTACAGAGATGAAGGAAGAAGAATCAAATCGCGCCTTGAAAGGAAGAATTTAAACAGCATAGAGTTACATATCCGTTGCTGCTTCAAAGTAATGAATTTTTACTGACCATCTGTTATTTCAACTGATCTTTTCTGCCCTTGGTCAAATAAATTCCTCTTTGGTCATATTGCCACTCGTTAGGAAAATGTTGCCGACTTACTTTTTGTGTTCTGGTAATTTTTTCAAGTTTGAAATTGCATGAGTTTTGGTTAAATTCTGTCTCTAACTATTTGCAGCACTTGTTATGACTTGCCAAAAAGATATCAATAATATCCAGTTATAGTTGAAACTAGTTTGGAAACAGAAAAGGATGCTACTGTTAGCATACTGATTATGTATCTCTTCTGATGGAACATTATTTCTTTGTTTTCCTTTGATCATTTGTAAGTTCAAGTATTGAGGACTAGCCTGGTATTGCTTAGTTGGAAAAAAATGCTTTAATTAACGTTGTCAGTTTCCCTGTCGTCATTCACATCTCTCATATGTTACCTAAAACTTCTGAATTTCTAGGTTGCTGTATATGCAGAGTTTCGTAGAGATTGGGCTGAAGGTTTGAAGTTTTATGAAGAGGCCTATCTCTCGGCACGGGAAGTATGAAATGATAACTACCACATTCGGTTCCATAATTTCTGTTTGTTTCTGGGAGTCTGGGAATAAACATGTCTGCATTGCAAAATGTTTTTAGAGTTGTGCATGACTGAGTTGTTCTGTCACTACAGATGGTTGGATCATCTACAAGGTTGCCCCCTATTCAACGTTTAGTTGAGATCAAGACAGTTGCAGAGCAATTGCACTTCAAAATATCAACTTTGCTCATGCACGGTGGAAAACTAGCTGAAGCTATTATGTGGTTTCGCCGGCACATAGATACTTATAAGAAGCTTGTGGGAGCAGCTGATGCTAGTTTTGCTCACTGGGAGTGGTTGAGCCGGCAATATATAGTGTTTGCTGAACTTTTGGAGACCAGCTCTGCTGTCCTTTCAGATGTTGCATCTGCAACTTCAGGAATTGCAGAAAAACTGACTGAGTTGGAATTTTATTCAGCTTACTACTATCAGGTAGAATAATAGTTCTCCTGTTATTTCACCTTCTGAATTTCTTTTAAATTGTGTCTTGAAGTGTTTTTACTCTTACTTGAGCCCAAATTTGATTGTATTTGGATCTTTTGAAGGGAGATATGAAAACCCACAAGCGAAAGAAGACACATTAAGGGGGTTCTTATTTTTCCCACCTGTCTATTACAAATAAGTTTGTTGTTTCAGTAAAGCAGAACATGGAGTAGGATAACAGACTTTACTATCCTCTTTACTATAGATTTATGTTTGATAACTATCTCATCTTTCGCCATCCTAGTAAAATGAAATAGCAAATTTAGAACATTGCGCATGCGAATGCCTCTTTAACTCCTTGAATGCCTCAAAGGCTTTTTTGATAAGACTTAAGAATCTCTGGCATTTCGGGTCCTTGGTCTGTCTGTGATTGAAATCATGGTTAAGATGCAAGCAATGGCTGTATAATTTTGAGTGCAGAGATTCGTTGCGTACAAATGCATGTAGCTGATGGACCAGTAATTTTTTCTTGCTATTCTTTGTGATTGATTCGTTCACTTTTCCTAGTTACAGATGTTGTTTGATGCATTCTTACCAAATAATGTATTCTCATTACCATGTAACAGGCAGCTGCTCAGTATTTGAAGGAGAAGAGTTCTTGCTTGGAATTGGCTCTGTCATTGTCTGAACATGCTGATGAGACCGATGACAATGATCAATCTGTTTCTTCTGTTTATGTTGGTCAGTTTGTGAGATTAGTTGAGCTTGGGGAGGCAGTTGTTATGCAACCGTGAGTTACGCTCTTACTTTGTAGTATAACGACAACATGCTAATTAAATTACTGTCTTCTTTAACCTTAACCTCTTACATTTGTAACTCGCTGGATGTGAATGTCCTCTTTGCAGTCTTACAGATGAAGAGTTTATTCGTTATGCTCTTGCTGAAGCAAAAAGGTTTCAAGCTTCGTTTGAAATTGTAGCCCTTCTTAAAAAGTCTTCTGAATCATATAACAATCATCATATGTTGAGGATGGCTTCATACTGTGGGTTTAAGATGGCAAGAGAATATTTTACTGCTGAAAAATTTGGTGATGCAAAACAAAGCTTCGACATTGTTGCAGATCTTTATCGTCGAGAGGGTTGGGTTGCATTGTTGTGGGAGGTTTTGGGATACCTTCGGGAGTGCTCCAAAAGAATTGGCTCATTGAAAGATTTTATAGAGCATTCACTTGAAATGGCTGCTTTACCAGTGTCAGATGCAAATGGGATTCAGTCTTTTATGGATTGTGGCCCCGCTGGTCCTCTAGGTCTCCTGGCGAGGGAAACGATTCACAAAGAAGTATTTGGACTAGTGAGGGGAGAACAAGATATTTTATTGAATGAAGAAAATAACCCTCTCAAAGTTACTGACGACACTCCTCTTTTTCTTGAGATCGATCTTGTCAGCCCTTTAAGAGTTGTATTGCTTGCTTCAGTTGCTTTTCATGAACAAGTAGTCAAGCCTGGAACACCAACAATGCTTACAGTTTCCCTTCTGACACAGTTGCCACTGGATGTTGAAATTGATCAATTAGAGATCCAATTCAACCAAACTGAATACAACTTCATTATTGTAAATAGTCAGAGGTCACATTTGGCTGCAATATCAAAAGTACAACCTGGTCGCCGAGTGGAGATGGCTCCTGTTTTAAAAGTTGCTACAAATAGATGGCTGCGGTTGACATATGAAATAATATCTGGTAAGCAGAGAAGCTTTATTTCTTCTGATGCATAAGTTAGAAGCAAAACAAACCTTTCATTATATATGCTGCCTAAATCATAATTTCCAAAATATGTCCTATCAAGAAAAAACACGCAGTGCCTTCGTAACAGGAACCCACTTTATTTTATTTAATTTAGAGTTCGTCGGATCTGTCAAAGTAGTTGTAGTACTATAATCATTTTTTCCCGAAATAAGTGTCTGAATTGCCAAACTTTTTGTTCCCTGATTCTGTTTATGTAATTTGTTGGTGGTAAGCCAGTTGCTGGCCTTAAAAGAAGTGTTCTTGTTGCAGTGTTTAGAAATTATGTGAAAATGCGATTGTTGCTTGCTTGTCATCAAATTGTGGTCCTAGCAATTCTTCAGTTACTTCTTTGATGTCAACTTTCACATTTTCTGTTTCATTCTGTTTTTAATAGAAACGCAATTTCCCCAGTTCTCAGTTCTCTCCATCATTACTCTTCTGTTCAGAACCTCTGCTAGCATTCCAAACTTATTGTTTGGCCAATCTTTGCTCCATCAATCTACATTGTCATATCTCCTTTCTGAGATTTGATTTCTCGATTCTGAGACTTCAGTGCTGAATTTCCAATTTGTTAATTTTCAGTTTCTCACACTGAAAACTAAGATGTCTTCAAATGCAGAACAAAGTGGCAAGCTTGAGTGCATGTATGTTATTGCAAGGATTGGGCGCCACTTCACAATCTCTTGCAGAGCTGAGAGTCCTGCTTCAATGAACGATTTACCTCTCTGGAAATTTGAAGACCGGGTTGAGAGTACACCAATCAAGGATCCTGGTCTTGCATCTTCTGGTCAGAAGGCCATTCAAGTTGAAGAACCAGATCCACAAGTTGATTTGAAACTAGATTCTTCTGGTCCTGCATTAGTTGGGGAAAACTTTGTTGTACCTGTTACTATTACTTCCAAGGGCCATTCTGTCCATTCTGGTGAGCTGAAGATTAACTTGGTGGATACGAAAGGGGGAGGATTACTTAGTCCGCGGGATGTGGAACCATTTTCAACAGATAATCTTCATGTGGAACTTGTTGGAGTATCAGACCGAGAAAGTGCAGATCAGTCTGACATTGGTTCTGAAAATATCCGCAAAATTCAGCCTTCTTTTGGATTAATATCTGTGCCAATTATAGAAGAAGGAAAGACATGGAGCTGCAAGCTGGAAATCAGATGGAACCGTCCAAAACCTGTCATGCTTTTTGTGTCGCTGGGTTACTCTCCGTACGGCAGGGAAACTAGTTCACAGAAGGTTCATGTGCACAAGAACCTGCAAATTGAAGGCAAGACTGCCCTTACAATCAGTCATCAGTTTATGTTACCATTTCGGCAGGACCCTCTATTACCATCCACGGGCAAAGCAGCTGCAGGCTCTGACACAACACCAGTACTTCCTTCGAAGGAAACAAGCATACTTCTTGTTAGTGCAAAAAACTGCACAGAAGTGCCCTTGCGTCTCTTATCTATGTCTATTGAATCAGAGGCTGATAATAAATGCACTGTAAGACAAAAAATGGAGGAGCCCATGGAACCTGCACTCGTTGTGCCAGGAGAGGAGTTCAAGAAAATATTTTCCGTCATACCCGAGGAAACAATTGGAAATATGAACATTGGTACGGTATGTTTGAGATGGAGGAGAGATTGTGTTCGCGGAAAATCTGTTTCCAGTTCTAGCGTAACAGATGTCTGTACAAAACAGAGGCTACCTGATGTGACTGTGGAACCACCTCCTCTAATCTTACATATAGTGTGTCCTGCACATGCTACTCTAGGAGTTCCTTTTACATATGCCATTAAAATTCAAAATCGGACATCTTTGCTTCAAGAGATTAAGTATTCTCTTGTAGATTCGCAAAGCTTTGTGTTATCAGGGCCGCACAATGACACAATATTTATTCTACCAAAATCGGAGCATGTTGCAAGTTTCAAGGTTGTTGCTTTGGTCTCGGGATCACAACAGATGCCACGAGTTACTGTCACATCTACGAGGTACTCAGCTACCTTTCAACCGTCACCTGCTGCATCCACAGTATTTGTTTTTCCCTCAAAGCCTCATTTTGAGCAGAATGGTACTGGAGATAGGAAGTTGCAGTCTCTTGCAGTTGAATAGATGCTTGTTTTTCTTATTGGGGTGGTTGAATCCATGCTGAATGTTGTGTCAATCAGGGATGACAGCTGGACTTAGTTGTTACAGTCTCTTTCGCCAGATAATCCCCCACCTGAGCCGGTAGGATCGTCGTGTGTCTGGTTTCATAGACCTGATTCGCTTTTGCATAGTCTATATTGTAACCTTATAGCATTCTAAGCTATATTTGTATACAAGTTATATCATTGTCCAGGTGTTCAAGGAGGGAATAGAAACGTGCATTCTGGATGTCGAAACTGGTTCCTTGCTCAAAATTACACTAGTATAGAGAAGTAAAGAGATATTCGTTGATTCTTTCACTTGGGTGTTTTACCTTTATTAAATAGCTAGGCCAGAAGATAAATTGAGAATTTGAAACATTGGCTCAAAGATTGTATTAGTGAAATTAATTGTATGCATGTTCTAGAAAGTTAAAACATCGAATCTCTTTTATATAACAAAAACCAATGAAAATCACAAAAATTTGGTAAAGATGTCTTTCTCTGCTTGCATGGGACAAGGACATAGCAAAATGTGACAAACGCAGCTTTCTTCCAATCTCTGCAGGCTCTATGTACTGACTCGAAGGCCACCCAGTTGAGGATGTACCCTTAGATGAGGCCATAGCCCAATTCATTATAAATCAGCAAAGAAGTTGTTTGCGCCACTGAGACTCACGTTTTTCCTCTTGGTGCCTGCAAGAACATGACCACAAAATCCATCATCCCACATTCAGATTGTAAGCAATACAACAACAATGATCATCACAAAAGGAAGAAGTAAAAAGGAAAACTAAATGCTTGTTAGAAGCTCATTAAGCTGCATCTAGGTCAAGTGCTTCAAGAAATCTTACAAAATTGACACCTAGATGTACAGGCATCTATGTAAATGACAACAAAAACGACAGCCAAACATCGTGGCAGCAACCACTATTACACTATGGGATACGTCTAAGACATACCTTTAGAAGATTTTGGCATGCCATCGTCGAGGTCCATTCCATCACTATCACTATCTGCAACATCTGAAGGATTATTGACATTTCCAGAGTCTTGCAGTAAATTATCCAAATCCCACAGCTGCAAGGACACAAAAATGATAATCAAGAAGAGCATTTTTTCCGAAGCAGCTGATTTTTACCGGAGGGGAAAAGAATTATGAAATAGGGAAGCAGGGAAAGGGACAGAGGAGCACCTTCAATGTGTGATCATGTGATATACTACCAAGGAACTTTCTATCATAAGAAAAAGCTGCAACATAAAAGAAAAACCACAATGAGACTTCTGTTAAATAGTTAAGGTCATGCGCAATTTAACAGCAGCAGCCAGAAAAAAAAAAAGAGCCAAAGCGTCTAAAAGCTTTCAGCTACATTGAAAATTGCTTTCAGCGAGAAAGGGAGGGAAAATCATGCATCACAACACAAGGATTTACTTCAGTGAAAAGCAAATTCTGAATCATACCAAGACGCTCAATAGCAAATTCTGAATGCTCTGCAATTGGCTGAATTATTTTGTTGGGCAAAATGCCGACCAGGCTGAAAACAAGAATAGGAAGAACTGTACTCCATTAAAAAGCTGGTAATGAGGAGGACAACATAAACAATGCAAAAGTATCACCAAAATGACCTCTCACCTGATAAGTCCATTTCCAGAACCAGTTATTATCCTATCTTCATCAAGCTTCAGAACATACCACAACAAAGGAAAATAAACGAACATATAAGTTTCAAGGGGCAAAAAACAGTCGATATTAACCCAACAGGTAAAACATGGAAAAAGACTTTTTAGAACCCACCTTCAACAAGGCATCAACAGGATTTGGGGAAAGGTCAACAAAACGATCACTGGAAAAAGTTGGAAATTTTCAAATAATCAGTACTGAACAGACACAGAATAATATATACCTAAAGAAGAATAAACAAGTAACTAATGGAAAACTCTTGGTCTATTAAAAGGTTTGCTCATCTAACAGAGAAAGCATGATGGTGAAATACCTGCAGTCCTTAAAAAATCCCCATGAATACAGCAACAAAGTTCCACTTTGCGTCCCGCATATAACTTTTCGACCATTCTGATACCAAATGTGAAGAAACAACTCCTTATAGGTATTATGACACAATAAATTGAGCAAAAGTATAATGCTCTACAGACCTCATAAAAATTAGATGTATTTGAATTTTTAATAGTAATGTCCGAAGGTTATAAACAATGGGGAAGAAAACATCATCTTCCTCACCGATTAACACCCAATAACATACTTTTATTAGGCATTCAGCAGGCATAATTCACCTATTTAAAACCTTGAGGAATCCTAAAACAACAATTGACTACATTTTCATTATGCAGAATGTGGATTTCCATGAAAATTGTCAGAGTTGCAATAAGTTCAGCCACAAAGAAAAAGCATAAACAGAGTAAGATTCTACCTTCATAATCACCACAGAGAGCAATTCATCTTCGGAAAATTCTGAACGAGTTTGAATCTACAATTTATTCTTCGAACAATTAGATACAAATGATAATCCTAACACTTATTCAACACAAGTATTAAGAAATCAAACAGCAAAAAGCTACCTTGTTGCTTCGGAGATTGCAAACAGATAAAGTTCCATCACCACTGTATACAGATGAAAAAGTTCCAGGAATGTCAGGGAAAAAACCAAAAACCTAGTTAGTGAGAATTTTCCATTGATGTGATTACACAGAGAACAGTTACATGATACTCTCTATGTTTTTCTATTCTTGTTTATCCGATTTCCATGCGATAATATCATACATATAACCAACAACTGTCTGATTGAGACTATCACACTTGAAATATCACTCACAAGATTCTAAAAAAGAGAATGAGGCGAGAAAGGGGCCATATACCTTGTTCCTATGAGCTTCATTGAATCAGAAGCAAAGGTAATATCTGAAATGTAATCTTCATGAGCTTCAAAAGTATTACAACAAGAACGTTGTCTAGTGTCCCAAACCTGTTGCATTTAACATAGTCAGGGACAAGATAAATCAAGTACAAGATGTATCGTTTCTTCAACAGCAAACTTGCTTGGGGGGGGGATAAAAACGGAAACTGACGGCTTAACATAAAGAAGAAAAAGTGGTAATTAGATGTTGCTAAGGAGACAATATCAGTAGAAGCTTGGAGCATATAAGAAGTAAGGGTACCACAAGCTAAGAATTTAATGCTGGAGGTTTAGCCAAAATAAGCTGGAACACAATCTCTTTACTTTTCTATCATTCTGAAAGCAATATTGATTAGCTACAGATAGTCACCTTAATAACACCATCATCATCGCCTGAGGCAACAGTTGACTCTGTTAAGTTGACAATTCGATTCACAGCAGCCCTGCAAGAAAACACAAATAACATGCCAACAATCAGTAGCCAAACCTGTTGTAACTGAACACTTCAAAGAAGTGAATCACTAATTATAATCCTTATAGAAGGATGAAATAGTTCCGCGCCGTATCTAAACATATTAAAGATAAGCTCAACATCTGCAGAAAAATGAAAAAAGCTCACCCATGAGAATTCTCAAGCCTAGCAATTTCTGCTCCGGTTTCAACATCAGTTGCAAGAATGGAAAAATCTGGCGACCCAGTAAGTATAGCTGAAACAGAAACAGATAGGCAATTGAACACAAAACCGAACTTAAAAAAAAAATTAAAAAAAGGAAAAAAAAAAAGGAATGAAGCATAAATGTCAAACAAAAGTTTCAATGATCATGTGCAATATTGTAAATTGATTACCTTGACCCTCATTGATAAAGCGTACAGCTCTACAAGATTCGGTGTGAGCATCAACTTTCCGCAACCTATGTCAAAAAAAAAAAAAAAAAAAAATTGACTACTTCAGCACAAAAGGCATCAGAGTCTACGACAACAACAATCATCCTAAGAATTAGATTTTCTTTTTTTTATAAACAAAAATATATCAATCACCTCTGTGGCGTAGAATCGGCAGCATAACTATATCTGAGAGGAGAAACAAAAAAGAATCAATCAAATTCCATGAGAGAATTCCTTCAGAGCAAAAAGGCCAGTACTAACAAAAATAAAAAAGGGAAACACAGGAGGCGTCAACGAAGTGCAACTTACAATAGAAGGCGGCCGGAAATGAGTCCGGTGGCAACCACCTGACCTGACGGATGGAAGTCCAGATCAAACGGATGATCTCCCAATTTTATCTCCATCCCAATTCCCCCAATTCTTTTATCTCAGTTTGTGAATTAGTCGAAGAAGATGATGAACAAAAGGAGAAGCCCTCCAGAGGCTTAAACCCTATTATGGGGCTTTTTAGTAAATTAATCATTTTTCAGGGTTTAACCGTTCGGAAGACCATTTTGGTTAGACCGCCGGTTCAGCTGGGTTTAACGTTCATGAGAATCATAACCAATGTTTTCATTTGTTCTTGTTCTTTTTTTAACCTCTTCGACCACAGTAAAACAGAGGAATTAGTTACTGCCTGCTAGTGAAGGTGAATAGTACTACTACTAAAAAACACAGTCGGAGTTTATAGCTCAATTTAATACTAACGCTTTAGTTCTATTTATTTATTATTATTTCCCTGCGTCTAAAACACTGAGTCACACACTCCAACTTCCTTTCTTCTCTCTCCGACTCCTGACATACACACCCTCACACAGTAGTTTAGTAGTCGCCTTGCAAGTCGCCACTCCTTCGCTCCTCCTCCGTCTCCGCCGTTTTCCGGCCATCTCTTTGGTAACATTTCTTCGCATTTTCTTTGTAAAGAAGGACCCCAAAAAAAACACAATTTTCTGAAAAGCATGCAAAGCTAGCTCCCTTTTAACTTAAAGATATTTCCTTAAACCTCCTGTTCTGTCGCTTTAATGTGCGAATTCCGGCTTTTAGGGTTTTTTCTTGATGAAGCCTAAAGCTACCACCTTTGAACTCCGGCGCGGATGATTTTTCTTGTTTCTTCGTTGCGTCTGTTGGTGATCATGTTATTGAAGCGTTTTTGCTTCTTGGCTAGGCGTTGCTTACTGTAGTGGTCCCTTGTATTACTTCCTCTGTTCCTTATATGTGTTGTTTTGAAGACCCTTCTTTTAGATCAAAGTCCCCCATGCCCACATGTTTTGCTATACTTGTAATAATGACAGAAGGCTGTTGGTCCATCTGAGAATTTTAGCCTTTTCATGGAGTTTTTTTTTTTGACCATTTGACTTTGTCGAGTTCTGTTGTGATGCCTAGATTGGACAAACAGATTACTGAGTGGAGCCACCCTGAATCTTCCAGATTTCTGCTACTTTTGTTGTTACTTTTCAAGTTTTTGTAATTGCTCTGTTCCATTACTTTGATTGGCCTTGTATTTCTTTGGGTTTAGCAGAAATTTTTATTTTTATTTTTCTAGAGGAATACGTGGATGAAATTGATTAATAAAACTCTAATTAGATGATGAATCACACGTAGCTTCGTTCAATGGTGGTCAACATTTATTCTTTCATGCAATTTTCTTTTTCGGTGGTTGATAACTTTTTTTCTAAGTGGCCATAATCTGGACTTTTTGGACGTTAGGAACTGCAATAAGTCAACATAAAGTCATTATGCGCTGTTGAATATGCATGCATTTAGTGCTAAGGAACACAGCAGCCTTCTGGAAATTGCTAGTTATGCTTAAAATTTATGACTCAATTGAATCAGTTCTGAAAGTGCTCTGTTTTCAGCTTGCTGCAGGTCAGAGTATGGAAGATACTCAGATAAAAGATGAGCCTGCGAATGAAGGTAAACTTGCAGTTTAGTTCATTTTACGTCCCTTAATCTCGAAAAGGTGTGGTTGCATGTTGTTGTCTGCAGGGATTGTAGTAGAAAGAGGAGTCAATTAACTTGGTTTAAAATGAAAGTAGAAATTATAGAACAGAAAAGGGCACATGTATAAACTATTAATGCTTGTGAATTTAGGTTTATAATTTCTTGCAATTGGATTTTTAAACTAAAGAGGAATGCGTGTAGCAGTATAGATAGTTATTACAGACATTTTTAGTCAGGTACTTTGGACTAATAATCTTTCATCTTCTCAAATAACCTTACATTAAGATCACTTACCCTCTCGACTTTCTGACTTCGTTGTACCATAAGTTTTCTATTACTTTGGTGTTATGTTTTTACATGTTCTTCAATGTCTGACATGGCATCATAAATGATTGTCATCCCTGTTTTATCTCCGCATGTTTTCGTCTCGTCCCTTTTCCCAGCCGTGTTGTTTGTTTTTATATCAGCTAGATTGTTGGGAAAGGCATTGATAAATATTTACTGATCTGCTAAAACAATATATATTTGTGCTGAAATAGCTTATAAATAAAAGCAGTGAAGAACCAATTGAATTGCACCAAAGCTAAGATATGAAACTTTTGGAAACTATTGTCTGTCGTTCATAAGCATGGGAGTTAAGTTGTATTTGTAGGTACTCCTGGTTGATCCCATGTTAGAGATGACATAGTATGTAATGCAAGTTTCTGAACTATCAGTTTGGTATCCTATTAGGATTATATCTATCAATCTTTATACACATGATAAACATCTGAATTCTGAGAAATTTCAAGTGTTTATCAGTAGACACTATTTCTTTGCCCCTTTTATGTTGTTGACCATTTAATTTTTATTTATGATACCTGTTGCACTTAAAATCAACAAAGCAAAAGTGCAGATGATGATTATACCTCGACCTTTTGCTCTAGGACCTTCATTTGTTGCTTTAAAGTGGACTACGTAAAATCCATTCATCCAAAAAGAAGTTTTGTTTCTGATACACTTTGCTTGTTATTAACTGCATTTGTAGGACTTCATGAATTAGAGGTGAATTCTCTGGGACATGTTTGAAGGCTTGTTTTAAAGAATACTCTCTTTGTTGCAGACATTGTTTTATTTTCCCAACTTATCTATCACGAGTTATAAATATTATAATGAACGTTCGCTTTATTGAGAAAGTTTCAGTAATTGTTTACTGCAATGGGAAAATTTGCATTGCTGCTATCATTTGTTTGTGAATTGTAGATTTAATTTAATGGGTTTGGAAGTTATCTTGTTGTAACAACTGCCTTCTCTTACCTCTTCAATCAAACATGGTGCAAGCTTCTGCAGATGGTATCAGCTGCTACTGTTTGCTGATGAAGGATCTCAAACCAATCTGTCGGATTCGATGTTTCAAACCTCCTTGCGAAATGTATGAATTGCTCACCCAGAAAATTATCTTCTAACAAGTTTGCATATGCTTATTCGTCCGTGTTTTTTCCTGTCTCAATTTTCTCTCTAGTGAACTACAGTACTGATATAGTTTCTGCATATAAGCACTTCATGCCTTCTCCAAATCCTATATGAAATTGTTTCCTGGATTGCGCCACTCAGATATGAACTATTATATCTTTCCTAACATTGAGCACTCAGAAGATAACAATTACTCATTTTCACAGGATTATGACTTTGATGCCCTTTTTTCAATGGCAGCTGAATCACATAACATAGTGTCATACTTCTCAAAGATGTTTTAGTTTGATAGGACTAATTTGATGTAGTTGACAGTTATGTTCATGCTCTACATTTTTATGACCTTTTATCCCAGGTGTTTGTATAATTATTGATTTTATACTGCTATGTTTTGTTTGTGATGGAAGGCCAACATCTTGGAGAATCACAGACATAGTTAGGCTGGAAAAAATTGGTATTCCTGCTGGATTACCATGCTGCACTCTGTATCGCGCATCAGAAAATGCTCAACAAGAAAAGGAGTGGGTTAGGTTCTTGGATTTCCTTCAGACACATAAGAAGGTAAAATAGAATGTCTAAGTTTTACATATGGCGATATATGATCGACATTAACTTTCACCAAAAAGGTAGAGAAATATGATATTTTTTCCATGGTGAAGTTTGTTGAAAAGGAATGCAAGTCCCAGCTTACAGTCATGGTCACCGGGAGGTGAAAAAGGGGGTTGGGGGGTGAGGAACTGGTTGAGTGCTCTGCTGAAAATTGATCTTGGTTGCTGCATATTTCTTCTTTTGCTCTGTTTCTCTTGTGAACTGGATTTTAATGCTCTCTAAGAATGGATGGATGGACTTAGTTGTAAGAGATTGAGTTCTCTCACTTCATAAATTTTCTGTTTCCTCTGCTGAAGTTTTTTTACATGTTGACAAGAAGTAAGATGCTATTCTTTATCTGAATTTCGACATGTTTGATATCTATATATATATATATATATATATATATATATATATTTCATTTCCTTGCAATTGCTAAAAGATATCTGATTGTTTTCTCCTTCTGGAATATTGGAAGGCTGCTGTACTGAAGCTTGAAATGTTTGAATTCTACATACTACCTCCCCACCAAGATTCAGCTTTCCATCATGTCACGGCTTTATACAAACAGGTGAATAGGCGTACTTTGTGTGACCATCTCAATGAACTAGGTGAGCCACTGTATGCCACTTTTGTCTAGCCTAAAGTGCTTCTGATTGAATGCCTACGAACTTGTTCTTATCTGGCTTATTAGAGGATGCCAATGGGGTTATCGAAGTTGCTAGCCGATCCTGCAAGCAAAGAACACATATTGGAGAGGACGCTTTATCTAACACCACTGTTATTGGAGACAAAACTGTGAATATGAAGGCCAACCGTGGACCTGAAAATGTTGTGGCCTTTACTCATACATTACCTAGAAATAGCGTACAAGTTCATCCAAGCTATTTGAAAACCCTTGGTCAATCTCATTCAAGCTGGATTTTTGGTGCAGTTGCTGAGTTTGTTGACAATTCAAGAGATGCCAAAGCAACTAAGTAGGTACATAGCCTATTAGTGGGCTTGTATAAAATTGTAGTTCTCATCTTTTTTCATAACTTCTAAATTTATTCTTCTTAATTCTGTGGGTATTAATTTCTTAATTCTGTGAGCTTGTATGAAGTTGGAGTTCTTATCTTTTGTTCATAACTTTTATACTTACTATCGTCATGTTGTCATCCTGATGCTTTGGCTGTTATTGTCTTTGCTACAGGCTGGAGATTTCCATAGGGACAATATATCATAAACCTGCTGGAAGAGATATTCCCATGCTTTCCATCATAGATAATGGTGAGGGGATGACACATGAGCAGATTGAGAGGATGATATCTTTTGGCCACAAGCAACCAGATGCTGATGATCCAGATCGTATTGGGCGATTTGGGATTGGATTCAAGGTAAAATTTAAGCCTGTTTTAAAATGATGACATTTCTCTAGGGATAAATGACACCATCTAGATACTTGAAAGGCATAGCTTGTGATAGGTATATAAGTACAATTAAGGCTATGTAGTGTTTTTCTGCACCTGTATTATGACGAGCCTTTTGTCTATGCTTTGTCATTAATCTGTCTGCCACTGAACCTGTGTTGGGAATGGAAATTTAAGCTATTGGTAGCTCTTATAATGTAACAAGTTGAAGCTGCTGGAATGAGTCTTGTTAGTTCTTTACTCTAGTTGTTCTTTCTGAACTGTTGATTGCAGTTCCTAATTCATTATTTTTGTTTACCGCTCAATTGACATTGACAAAATGTTTTCTTTTGCATCTTAGAGTGGGGCAATGAGACTTGGAAAGGATGCTGTGGTTTTTACTCAGGCTGCAAACTCTAGATCAGTTGCCTTTCTTTCTCAGACTCTTAATGAAGGAAAAGACGTAAGCAGTTGACTACCGCCATACTATTCTTTGTTTAGTCATATTGTGCTTGAAATTTAGTTGTGATTTTGAAGTGTCTCACGCTCTTTTTTGCTTCGTGTTGCTGAAGAACTTGGAGATTCCAATCGTTAGCTTTCGCAGAGTCGGGCAATTCATGGAAATTGATACCAGTGTCCAGAATGAGACTTTAGCAAAACACAATCTGAAAGCAATAATGAAATTCTCTCCATTTAACAAGTACCTAATTGGGGAAAAATCTGCACTCTTTGGTGAAGCCGGCACCGGAACACAAATATATATCTGGAATTTGGATGAATGGGGATCAAGTTATAGCTTGTGCTGGGAGACCGAGACAAAAGATGGAAGTTCATCCTGCCAAGGTGACATATCTATTAATCCAAGGCGTGTTAGATCTCGTCCTGGCCAAATGTCTCAAGAAGTAAGGAGCTTTTATATGTATCTTTCTTTTATACTGTTGTCCACTTCCTTTAAAACTGGCTGTCGCCTTGTGCTATAGGTACCATTGGATTACTCGCTGAAAAGTTACCTGGAAGTGATCTTCCGTAATCCACGTATGAAGATCTCTGTTCAAGGAGCATTGGTAATTATTTCGATCAATTTTTAAGCTTAGGTTCATATGCTTGTCTATGCTGGATTATCATGATTTCATGATTTTATTTGATAGATTAAAACTCGACCTTTATCCAAGTCTCTACATCAAACAGTAGTGAAGACTGGTGTCATTACGGGAAAAACTGTAAAACTAATACTTGGCCGCAGTCAACTGGAATGGGAGCAGGCTAATTGTGGAATATTTCTGTATTGGCATGGACGGCTGATTGAGGTTGGTGCCATATTTTTCGGATTCCACAATGAAATACATGGTTAGGTCATACTATATGGGAATGACTAGTTATCTGTCACTGCCTTTTTGCTCAACCCTTCTTACGTTGTTTGGCCCAGTACTCACTATTTCCATTGTTTTGTCCGCCTAACATGCATTGTGAAACATGGAATGTGTCTTTATATCCATAGAACGTGCTAATAAAAGTCCTAAACTGCTAAGGTTTAAATTTTTCTGTAATTTTATGGATTATAGTTATTTTATTCCAAAATTTCTTCTTTTCAGGCTTACAAAAGAGTTGGTAGCATGATCCATAATGGGGATACTGGCCGCGGCATTATTGGCGTGATTGATCTTACTGATCTTATGGTACATGCTTTGGTACATCATTGTCTCGCATCACCTGTACATCTTAAGTCCTAACTTCTGTATGTAATGTTCCAGTATTCTCAATTGGTTCTTATTTCCATTTTCAAAAGTGATGATGTAATGTTGAGTGTATCTATTTAAAGCAAGTAATATTTTGTCTTTTTCCATCAAATAGACATGTTTAACATTTCATGATGAGGACCTTTAAGGCAACTCTTGTTACTCCGGGAACTGATTAGAATTGATGTCCAGCTCAAAATATGGCCTTAAAATGTTTAATCTATTCTATGACTTTATTGTCATTGTGTTTATCGAGAAGGATGATCGTGGTCGCGTTTGGGTCCATAACAATAAGCAAGGATTTCAAGACTGTGAAGCATATGCAGAACTTGAGAAGTGGTTGTGTGCGAAAACAGATGAATACTTAGACAAATATGTTAATAAGATTCAGCTGGTAATTCGTATTTTCCTTTGAGTGGCTTAACTTCTTCATTTGTTTTATGAACAGATTGAAATTACATGCTCTAGCGGTTTCTTAATGCAAAACATTCTGCAGAATTGCTGCATTTTTACTAGGGACTTCATTTTCGTTTTTTCATAATTTGTAGCTGGGAAAAAGAAAGGGTTGATGAACTGTTTGAGTGTTTCTAATAGTACCGAGGAAGCCTTCCTGAACTTCCCAGTTCTTGAAAATTGCCATTATTTTTGCATATAGATGAAAGCAAATAATGTCCTTAGATAAGATGGTGATCAAACTTTGATCTCCCTTTTCTGTCATTAAAATGAGTTTTCTACTGCCATAATCAATAAAAGGATAAAATATCCAAGTGTGGAGATCTTATATGGACGAAAAGATTAAAATCACAAATCAAACACTTGATGGAATGATTATCACTAGTCTTGCTCTCATAGCAACTGTTTTTTAACAAAGATTCTGTCACTTTGTAGGTCAAAGATGGTGCCTTTCTCAAAGCTGACCGTGAATGGGTGCAGTGCGACAAGTGCAGAAAGTGGAGGATGTTGCCTGCTGGATTTGACAGCAGCTCCTTGCCTATAGAATGGTAATATGCGCAAGGAAATCATACATTCTAATCCTATAGAGAAATTATACTTTGCATTCCTCTGGCTGGCATGGCTTGCAAATGATTTATAAATCAGAACAGATATTTAGAGGTGAACTTTTCCATGTTAATCTTGTCAAATGTTTATCACAAATTTACAGAGGAAACTAGACATGTAATACGCCAAACATGGATTGGAGATGTAGTTTTTGCATTAAAGGTTGTTCTTAGTTTAACCTTCCCAGTGAATGTCTCTAATATGCAACTCCATCTGTAGGTTTTGCTATATGAAACCCTTCTGCAGGACGTGTGACATCCCAGAGCAGAAAGAGGAAGATGGAGTGGTCATAATATCCGCTAAACGTTCTGGATATAGTGGTACGGAAAATTTAGAGAACAGTGACACATCACCAAGGAACATCAAATGTAAGTCCAGTGTTCCTAAATTTCTTGTTCACGGACCTTTATAGAATACACGTTTAGGAACAAAAATCATGTCCAGAGTTTTCTTATGATAGGAAGTGTAAAAAAAATGTTTGTTTGCAGCTAATTCTCTGCACCAAATTTTTCAAAGAGTTGCACATTCACCATCACAGTTTAGAAACTATAATGCTCTAAGTTTTATAGGGAATAGTGACACTGGAATCCAAAAATCAGGTAATCTAAAGAATAGGAAGCTATGACCTGTCTCAGTCTCTTTCAGTTCTTTGAAAATGATTTCCATGGCAATGTTTCGGATGTAAAAAGGTTTCTGATTGCATGAGGCTTATAGTAGTTTAACTATCATTAGGAATAAAGTACCTTGAATTAAGCTTAGAGCATGTGTTATTGGAACAGTGTTTGGCTGAACAGATACTTTAAATGGTAGCTGAGGCAAAAGGGCTGAGTAATGTCTGAATACCAGATAACAGAATGCAAACACACTGAATAAACGAGATGGTTTTCTGAAAGTGAGAAGGACTAGAATAAGTTGTATTGATTTGCTGGCACGATTAAGAGAAGCTTGTTTTGATTCATGGACATCCTGTTGAGACGGAATATCATTGTCAGTTTATGACAACAAAGAAGTTGAAAAAAACCAGGATTGATTCTGATATTAGTCACTGGATTTGATTCATTTTATTGTACCAAATTGTGACAGGCAAAAGAGAACCAAGCCAGAGCCCGGAAGATGACATTCCACTGTCCTGGTCAAGAAAAACAAAATACAGAAAGTATTGAGTGCTTTGTGCAGAGTGTTTTTGTGTACACTGATAATCCCAGTAAGCCCTGATTAGGTAAAGCGAGACTTTCTGTTCCTAGCATTAGGTAGATCTTGTAGTCTAACAGTGAAGCCTTTTCACCTTCTGGTCAGAAACTGGTTTTGTGGTTTTGTCTTGTCGATGAAAATGGAGCAAACCCAGCTGGACCAAAATGCTGAAAGGCTATTGTAACTGAAAGTTAGCAATGGGATGGATTATTGTGTTATTGATGACAGATACACAAAGCAAGCATTCTATTCTTTTACATACGGGAAAAAACAAAAGATGGATGAATTCGCTGTAAACATAACTAGATGTTAAACCCGTCCGATGGACGGAGTAGAAGAAAATGTGAAGAAAATAATTTGTCGAGAATTAAAAAGCAAAGTTTTATAATGTCAAAAACGAAAATAGACTCATCGATCGTAATTAATAAATAAACCGAAAACAAACACGAACATAAAAGATTTTCATAGAGACTACTGGTTTTATATATTTTTGTGACCTGCCACACAACCATCATTAATGTGATTCCGCTAGATATATATATGATGTTCCTAAAAATCCAAATCTTGAGACCCACCGATCAATGTTAGCTCTTGGCACAATCATGAATCATGATGTAATTGGGCAAACTCCCGCCAATCGGCCTATATATATAGATTATAGAAGACCATCGCCGACCCAGTGAAAATAGTCAAACAGAAATAGACCGACTTATTTTATTATCTATCCTTAAAAATCCCCAATTCTAAAAACCCTAATCAACAACGCCAAAATCAAACTTCAATCGCTGCGATCCGATCATGAAGCGTGCTGCCGACGATGGTCTATCGAAACCCGATGCCTCCAAGAAGCCGGTCTTCCTCACTAGAGCTCAGCGCGAGGAACTAGCCCTGAAGCGCAGGGAGGAAGAAATCGCCGAACAAAAACGCCGTGCCGAGCTTGTTCTCCAATCCAATCGCGCTTCCTCCGGCGACGCGTCATCCAAACCTCCTTCCTCCTCCGACCGCGATAGGGACAGAGACAGAGATAGGGAAAGAGACCACCGGAGGGAGAGGGAGCGTGAGCGGGAGAGAGAAAGGGAGCGGGAGCGGGAGTACCGAGATTCCGAGCGACGGAACAGGGAAAAGGAGCGTGAGGAAGATTTGAAGGCCAGGGAGCAGAAGACCAGAGATAGAGAGCGTGAGAAGGAGCTGGAATTGATTAAGGATCAGTACTTGGGAACCAAGAAGCCGAAGAAGCGGGTAATTAAGCCTAGTGAGAAGTTTAGGTTTTCTTTTGACTGGGAGAATACTGAAGACACTTCCCGGGATATGAATGTTCTTTACCAAAACCCTCACGAGGCTCGTTTGCTTTTTGGACGGGGATTTCGTGCTGGGATGGATAGGAGGGAGCAGAAGAAGCTCGCCGCCAAGAACGAGAAGGAGACAAGGGATGAAATTAGGAAGAAAGATGGCGTAGAAGAGTCTCCACTTGAGGCTGCTAGGCAGCAGAAGTTGGAAATCGATGCTGATTTGTACGATGCCTTTGATATGAGGGTTGACAGGCACTGGACTGAGAAGAAGCTTGAGGAAATGACTGAAAGGGATTGGAGAATTTTCAGGGAGGATTTCAATATTTCTTACAAGGGTTCTCGGATTCCAAGGCCTATGAGATATTGGAGTGAGAGTAAGCTGAGTTCTGAGTTGCTCAAGGCTGTGGAACGGGCTGGGTACAAGGAACCGTCTCCCATCCAGAAGGCTGCTATACCTCTTGGCCTTCAGCAGCGAGATGTCATTGGCATCGCTGAAACTGGTTCGGGTAAGACTGCTGCTTTTGTTCTTCCTATGTTGACTTATATTTCTAGGCTTCCCCCTATGAGTGAGGAAAATGAAGCTGAGGGGCCATATGCTGTTGTGATGGCTCCTACCCGTGAGCTTGCCCAGCAGATTGAGGATGAGACTGTCAAATTTGCTCACTATTTGGGCATTAAAGTTGTTTCCATTGTTGGGGGTCAGTCCATAGAAGAGCAGGGATTTAGGGTAAGGCAAGGGTGTGAGGTGGTCATTGCTACTCCAGGTCGTCTCTTGGATTGTTTAGAAAGGCGTTATGTTGTTTTGAATCAGTGCAATTATGTTGTTCTTGATGAAGCTGATCGAATGATTGATATGGGGTTTGAACCACAAGTTGTGGGCGTTTTAGATGCGATGCCTTCGAGTAATATGAAACCTGAGAATGAGGATGAAGAACTTGATGAGAAGAGAATTTATAGAACTACTTATATGTTTAGCGCTACCATGCCCCCTGCTGTTGAGCGACTGGCTAGGAAGTATCTAAGGAATCCTGTTGTTGTCACTATTGGAACTGCAGGCAAGACAACTGATCTTATCACCCAGCATGTTATGATGGTGAAGGAATCAGAGAAACCATACAGGTTACAGAAATTGCTTGATGACCTCGGGGATAAGACTGCTATAGTGTTTGTCAACACGAAGAAAAATGCTGATACAGTTGCGAAGAATCTGGACAAGGCTAATTATCGTGTTACCACTTTGCATGGTGGAAAGTCCCAAGAACAGAGAGAGATCAGTCTTGAAGGTTTTAGGACGAAGAGATATAATGTTTTGGTCGCAACAGATGTAGTTGGACGTGGAATTGATATACCTGATGTGGCTCATGTGATTAACTATGAGATGCCAGGTAGTATTGAAGCATACACCCATCGTATTGGACGAACTGGTCGTGCTGGGAAGACTGGTGTGGCGACTACTTTCTTGACCCTTAGCGACTCTGACGTTTTCTATGATCTCAAGCAAATGCTCCTTCAAAGTAATAGTCCTGTGCCTCCGGAACTTGCTAGGCACGAGGCATCAAAATTCAAGCCTGGCTCAATCCCTGACCGACCTCCTAGAAGGAACGACACTGTGTTTGCTCATTAAATTTAGTGTCTTATAATCAGATTGCTAGCAGGATTAAACTTCGCTGCGACGAAGACTCTTTTTGTTGCAAATGGTGATTTTGTTTGTCAAACTTAGCGCGGAATATGTTTATGATTGCCCATTACAATGGAAGAGTTTCAGAAATTGTCTACCGCAATGGAACAGTCCATTTAGCTGTTATAATTTGTAATACATTTGCAGGATTTACTTTGATGTTTCACAAGTTACCCTCTACTTCTGATCACTCCTCTTACCCTTACAATTCAACATATCTTTGCTGATATCAGCTTCTACATTTTGCTGAAGTAGGACTTTGCCACTGCTTTTAGTCGATGGTTTTTCATTTCTGGGTTCTGGCTTGGTTCTGTAGCGAACTTTGATCACGGATTTACTCCCTACCTTTAGCACCTTTTTCCTTTAGTATTTTCCTTATCATAGTCGCAGAAATTTGAATGATCCTAGTATCCTTTCTGAATATTGCGCGCCTCTACAGGAAGGGATCACACGCTCCTTGTGACCTTGTCACGCTATGGTATTTACATTAAGTCTGTTCCTTTCGAACGAATTGGATTGCACTCGATAATTGATTGTAAATCAGACCCAACGAGCACCTGACCAAAATAAAAATCGTATAACGACGAGCAATTGACCAAAATAACTTTGTAACAAGACAGAGCAGTACTCTTACTGTCTGGTGATCACATATACGGCAAACAATTAGCCAGAAGGATAATGGATAAATACCATAAATTTCCTCTTACAAATTAAAGTCCTGAATTTATTATACAAAAAAAATTAAGACTTCACATGTAGCTTTAGGACATGCTAAACCAAAGCCTCACATCTCATCCAGTAGGGTTTCATCTACCAAAGGATTCTCGCACAGGTTTTAGCTTCACCTGGCGATTCACAGTTCGTGCTCGGAAGTAAGATGGATAAATTAATTTTTTTTGGTTCGGTTCCAAAACACTGGCTTAAACCTCTCTGGACAACCACATTACAGCCACCAGACTCGCCTCTTGGCCCTGTCACCAGAACAACTCCAGTGCCTTATATCTCTACTACCTGATTGAGAGACGTCAGCTGCTTGTGATGTTGATCATCACTCCTTTGGGAGAAGCAAGCAGTATCCTATAGAGATTCCGGACTAGTGGAGGGTCTGATTCTTGAGGGCATTTGTGCACGATAGCAAATAGTAGGTTTTGGAGTTATGGACATTTTGTTCAAAGAGTAGTCAAAATCATCATCAACATCAAAATCTTCATCATCAAAACTCCGATTATCATCATCATCTAACATCATCCTATTACCACGGACCGTAACATTAGCAGCATCTTCGTCACTGCTATCTTCGTCGTCATCGTCATCTTGTCTGTCATAAGGATGTCTGACCATCGACCAGTATACAAAGTTCGGCCTGATGTATCTGAAACCAATAAAGGATGAAACATTTAATCAAATGATAGTTAACAAGCAGAAGGATGGAGGGTTTCTCAGCCAAAGGATATTCAGGACTAATATTAGTATCTTCGAGTGCTCATATTTCAGCAAGAAAAATGTGGAACTCTGAAGTTGAAAAGGAGAAAGCAAACCTATCAGACTTCTTAAGCAAACAGGGATCGAAGGGGAAAAACATGTCCAGCCTTTCTGATCCACCAGAAGCCCTAGGAAGTTCGGATTCTAAAATCCCATTGGGGACCAAATTCTCGGGCACAGCAAATACGTGAGAGGAACTAGCCACACGTAGAAATTCTTCAACTATTGATGGCAGGCATTCCTGATAACGAGCAGTTTTGGAAAACAAAAAAATTAAAAAATGTAATCCATGATGTGAAGAGGAATCTCTTGTATCATTTTAAAATTCAGTTTTCCACCTTCAATGGGTTCAATGGATGCTTCAAAATTTCATCTATCCGCATTGAAACTAGTTGTGATCTGAGACGGGGGACTGAAACAATAGATCTCATACGGAAGCAAAGCACATACATAAATGCCTGCAGCAATATCAAAAATCAGTCAACAGAAAAATTTAACGAAAAAAACGCAATTTTATTCAAGACCACAAGGAGAGAAGACAAAATGCAAGGAGTGAGCTGCCACAAGCTACAAAACGCTTAAAGGCTATGCAACAAAAAAGTTACTACCACGTAGAATGCAAGGCAAGGTGACAATTAATCATCAACATGGTCCCAAATCGAGATGACATAACAATACCTGACAACCAGCATAAAACACGTCATTTTCTTTTTTGAGGCCAGCATAAAACACATTGGCGCTAGAGTTGCTATCTCCATCTTGATTCTTGCAGTAATCAGAGCACCAATTCACCACTCTGAGGCGTCAAAACACAAACAATGAACATTCAGAATGACTGTTTCACAAGCTGTCCTTCCGGAAGGGGGAGTAATCAAAAGGTATAACCAAAGCGGATTTACTGGAAAGTGTAATAGACATTGATCACCTTTCCAACATATAAACCACCAAAGGTTCAGAGACAAACATCGCGCGAGATAAGTAACTGGCAAGATAGGCAACGGCACATATTCTGCAATGAAGAAGACAAAGTTAGTACCTTGAGGACTTCATTTCGATTGAAAAAGGAAAGACAAACAATGACCTACATTGTCTAACCAAACTCTGGAGCAGAACTGAGTGAACATCTTATCATCAGGGTTATTTATCCATCAGGATTATTTTTTAAAAATATGTCACCAAGGACAGGTCAAATAGATAGATCATGCCATAATGCCAGTGCAAAAAACATCAGTGAAATAAGAGCAAGTGAAGATAAACAAATAAAAACGAAAATGCAACAGCATAACCAAGATTTAGAATGCAAACAATGCATCAGGGAACACAGAAATTACAGAGCACCAACAGCAGATTGGCAAAAAGGAAACTGAAACCAGTAACTTTGTAGCAGTGCTTCATTTCATATCCCTCAAAGTTAAAATCTTTTAATGACAGAATACAATAACAGCAAACTGTACCTCTCGTGCGTCGGATTGTTGCTCAAAAATGTATTTAAAAGAGTGACTGCAAATAGTTGTCCACAGTTTTCAGGATCCAAAGAGCACGCGTAGAACATCACAAACTGCAACAGACAACTAAGCTTAATGAGGAAGTCAATGTGCTTCCAAACACGCTGGAAATGCACGGTGGCTATGAAGAGTGGTGAATGAGAGGCTCATAATGCTAATTATGGTTTTATATCAACAAGAAAATACCTGCGCAAACTTGGATTTATGAGTGGTCAAAACTGTTTTCTTAAATGTCTGGAGGAGGATCTCAAAAACCTGCCAGTTAAAAGAATGTTAGCGCATAGAAACAGAAAACAAAACAGGAACGAAATATTAACAAGTCAATGTCTTACTCTTACCATATGGAGACGGCCATTATCATTTGAAAGTTTAAGGTGTTCAAATGTGACAACCATCAAGCTGTCTAACTTCTCAGCTATTGCATTCCCACCGAAAAACTTCTCTATCCAATTCTCCCTATGAAGCTGAAAGCAAAAGCTGTTCAGTAAACTTATGGGGGGAAGGGGATAAATGAATAATGACATTAAAAGGGGAACTGAGAGAGAGGGGAATCATTAAAAAAAGAAGACAACCGAAATGCACATGACCTTGAAGAAGGAAAATGGTAACCCAATTCAAAGGCAAAATGAATCACATGTGATGGACTCATACACAAGAATGACATGCTATGAATTAGAGTTGTGAATTTTCAGATACTTCAGTTCATCCAATTTACCAAAGGATGGATAAACAATCCTATATAAACACTCTTTCTAATCAAAATCACCTCATCACCATCATGTTCAAAGTCATCTTGAGGGCCTTCAAAATCTTCCAGCTCCATATCGAAAATGCCTTTGGTAAAATCATCTTGTAGTATATCATCCCAATGTATCTCCACCTATAAGCATCCAATTATGAATGTAAATCTAAGAGAACCCTTTCTCCATTTGGTTGATACTCAATGTAAATGATCATTTTTTTCTTTAAAAAAAATAAAATAAACTAACTCACATCCAACTCAATCAGCCTATACACCACCGCCGAAAGCATTGAACTCCCAACAATTTCACCCATTGTACCACTCTCCAATTTTAGCATGTTCTCCACATACGTGACAATTAGCTACAAAAAACAACTGAAAGTTATTGCTAAAACACACAAAGAGAGCACACCCATACAGACAGAAAACTTTCTTGAGATATATCTTGTGAAAATCAAAAGAAACAACAGGAGAGATTACATTCAAGCAAATGATATTCACAGAGAAATTCTGAATCTTAAGCTTTCAACATCAGAACCAACAAATCGGTAGCGCAAGAGTAAAACCAAGGCAAGGCAAAAAGCCATGTGGCTAGAAGAAGCAATCAGGAACATTATAAAGATAGGAAAAGTCTAGGTTCATTTAAAAGTTTCCTTTATTATTTTGGATGATGGAAATGTAAAGGTATCTTGTCTGGCAGGGGTTTGCCCGGGAAACAATGTAAACTAAGTTTTGATGATCCAGAGTTACCAAAATAAGGATTTCTCATGTGGCTCTAAGCCTGTTAATGGCTCTTTCAAGTGTCAATAAACTCCCTCTTCTTTGGAAATGGATTGAAGTAATGCTTCTTATTTCCTCTTCTTTGTTAACTACAGCTCGACCACTACCCACATAAGTATAAGAAAACATTTTTCTGCCTAAGCTATAACCCAAAGCCATTGTAGTTAAATTAAAAGGCAAGGTTATTCCATTTACAGGACTTCCTGAAAGAAAGTGACAACTGCAGAACCCTAATGAGGAGTTAACAATAGAAAAGAAAAAATAAAATAAAATTTATAGCAGCACTCAAACGTGCGTGTGTGTGTGCAGAGAGAGAGAGAGGGGACGGACTTGGGGTTCCTTTACATATATGGTTGGCATTTTATCCCTCACTATTTTTTCCAGCCTCATAGGAGTAAGAGGAACTAAATCAGATATAGCTTTCAATGTTGAATGAACACGACCAAGTACTTGATCCTTCCTTGCGACACCACGTGGTTGCTTCAAAGACTCTAAGAGATAGCCAGGTGGCACAAAATTACTAACCAGCATATCCAAACACAAATCAACAAATTTTGCACTAGATGCAGCCTGCAATTACAAAACGAAAAAAAAAAAATACACTAGTTAGGTTAGTTTCACACTGCATTAGAGTAATTGAGAACAACATGGTTCAAGCTCAATAAAAAAATACCAGATAGAAAAACATAATATTCAATGTTTCAACATACCAAAGATATAACAAGCTCCACTAAAGCATCCAATACTAAGGGGTTGCACTTCCAAAAGCTGATCGAGAATATCTGCGGACAATTTCCTAATTGAGAAATATCGAAAAAAGAACCGTGTGCAAGTGAACCAAAAAAAAAAAGTATGTAGAAATTAGATTTATTACTTACAGCATCAAGAAGAGACCGATGGTGAACAATATCAATACAAGAAACTGCAGCACTTAAAGTCTCCAAACATGTCTGACATTAGCAGAATCCATAGAAAAATTAACCCCCGGTAAAAAGATAAAACAATAAAAACGAGTATATGATTATAAAAAAGTATACATACCACAAGGGCAGCCACTTCCACCTTACTTAAGGTGTCTTTACTATGATGCATCAGCGCAACAAGTTGTTTATAATGAGCAGAATCACCCTAACCGACACACCAAACAAAAGAACAATCAACCACAACATAAAATAGAAAGCCTTGAGATTTTCATAAAGGGCAGAAACCACAATTGCAAAACCCACTTCCAAAAGATAATTCTGAAACCTTATTTCCAGTTTACATTTCCTCATCTGACAGACAAACGGTAGCTAAAAACTCCCGATTAATAATGCGTACTTACTACACGAATATTTTTAATCGGTTTATAATGGAAGTGTAACTCGTGAATCCCATTTACAACCATAACAAACTAGGATCAAAATAAAAAGTGACTGAGCATAAAGTAACAATATGATACTAACACTAAATGCCGGAGTGTTGAATGGAATTTCACCTGAAGAGCAGAGGTAAGAGCATTTTTGACAAGATTGGTCAACTGCGAATCAGTTAAGTATACGTCATCCTTATAAACAAAGTTACCTCCTAGCTCAGCTCCGGCTAATTCCAATCCCATCTTTACTGTAGCAGAAATTTCTCCAATTAAAATTTAAAAAAAAAAAAAAAAAAAGAATCACACAATTGCACACCTGCAATGAAGAAAAAGTAAACCCTTTTTTAAAAATCAGAACTTCAATTGCTATCAAAGGAAAGTGCGAGAAATTTTTCTGAAAGAAAGGCAGGACAACAAAGTACATAAATTAGGAGGTCCCGGTGCTTACAGCTAACTCCCAGAGGGCGGATGACGGTGGCGCAAGGAGGACGACGGTGGCGCAACCCGTGCTGGCTGGGATAATGTTATGGCGGCGGGAACCAGGCAAAAAGGAATTTCATCTGAAGTTGATGAGGCAATTATATAGGCGCTTAGGGCTTTCGTTTGTCAAACTACCATTTTAACCTTCAAGAGACACCCTTTGCTTAATAAAATAATATGAACTATAGGGAAAAAATGGGCTTTTAACATAGGATGTTTCTGTGCCAGTGGTCGGTGACATACAGAGCTTGCGACAGAAGAAAAAACCCGCGCCCGCGCCCGGTCAACGGTTAATGGTACGATACTTACAACTATGTAGTAATTCGTTTTTTTTTTTTTTTGTTTATTTTACTCTCAGGATGATTCACTCATGAACAAAGCAGTACTAGTAAATTAGTATAAATATATATTATAATTTAATTTCATGACTTTTTTGTAAATATTCAAAAAAATATACACAATTTACTACTATAAAATAAAATATTCACCCAATACAAAAATGATTGTTTTATTATTTAAATTTTGATTTTTATTATAATCTATAATAAAAATAAAAAATCTAAATTGAATAACTATTTTGGAAATGTACATTTTGAAAAGACACAAAACAAATTTATTTGGCACTATGAATTATGACATGGTTTTTTCCTGCAACAAATGATTTAATGTGACGCCATTGGTGATTCTCTCTTTCACTACATTTGTTCGTTTCTGACATCATTTGGGGGCATACGTACTTTAAGTAGATAGATCTAACAGTGTATTTTGGGTAAGGCTTAGCCCACGCGTATCTGTTGGGCTAACCGTCCACTCAGCCTCAGGCTCACAGTGAAATTTCCAAAAGGCAATACGTCCGTTTGTTTGGTTACTCACTCGGGCACATTTTGATTTATCTTAAATGTTATTTATTAAATTTTTTAAATTAAAATAAAAATTTTAAAAATATATTTTTGTATTCATTGTGTAGGTATTATTTTTTGCTTAACTTTTCAGTTATTTATAATATATATATGCCACCTCATGACAAGGTACCATATTAAAATACTCTAAAAACAATAGTAAGAAAAATATAGAATTCAAATCTCCTAATCAATGAGAACATAACTTGCTGGAGACCCCTTCCTTCGGGGTGGATAAAGATCAACTGCGACGGTGCAGTCAGTCAAGCATCGAATAAAGCTGCTATTAAAGGTGTGGCGAGAAATAGTAAGGGAAAGTTCTTAAGAGCTTTCCATGGTTTGATTGGCCCTTGCTCTATTGAAACCGCAGAGCTCACAACCATGTTTTAAGGATTGGAAATGGCAAAACAACAACCATTCCAAAAAAATCATTGTGGAATCAGATTCAACCCAAGCTATTTAGCTAGTAAGTAACCTGAATGCAGTCCAACATTGGATCCGGAGTTAATGAAGATCCAAGCTATTTTGAGTTCAAATTGGAGCGTGCAATTCTTCACACGTACAGGGAGAACAATTTTATATGCGGATAAGAAAGCACTCAGGAACTACGACCTCTGTCCTACGAAAATAGTCCACGTTGAATTATCAAATTTGTACTAAAAATAATGCAAAACTCAAAACTCAATGTGGACTATTTTCGTGGAACGGAGGGAGTATATTTTTTTCATGTAACCTCGAGTAGTATAAATGTAATTCCAGAGACCGAAGCGTCTTGTGTAGATTGTAGCATCAGAGGATGGTGTTTAAGCCCTCTTTTCTAAACCAAAAAAAAAAAAAAAAAGAAAAAAAATCTAAAGCAAGTGATATACTTGCACACTAAATTTATTTGGATCTTCAAGTCATATCAAAATTTTATGGCACACGATAAAGTGTAGACGCTTGGAAACAATATTCCCAGCTGGTCTCAATTTGTTGAACATCATTTCTTAAATTCGGTGATTGAGAATTTTTTTTTCCTTCTCAAGTTTCTCTTGAAAAAAAGAAAAAAAAAATATTAAAAATGAATCAGTAGAGCAGCAAACAGGCCGTGGCAGGTAGCACATGCTACCAACCATCGTGTCCGAGAAACCCAAAGTGAAAAAAAGACCCAGGCCCAAAAAAGGGCCCGCCAGATTAGCATAAAACAGAGAAGCCATCGGTGGGGCCCGGATTTTGACACAAAACTCCCCCTCCCGTTAACAAGGAAAGTGACAGCTCACAGTATGGGCAGTGCGGTCGTCTACAGGTAATCACAGCTTCCCTCTTCGTATGGTCTCCCTGACGGACAGCCTTAATAAGCTCAAAGGAAACAGAACAAAAATTGTGGAAAAAAATAAAATAAAAGTGCGATTAGATAATTGGCTTTTAATAATAAAACAAAACTAATATACTAAATGAGAGAAGAGAATAAAAAAAAAAAAAACGGTAAATGCGTGAGTTGGAGTGCCAGCTGGAATACGGTTGGACGTGGCGTTTTACACAACCAGATGAGGACACGTGGCCACGGAAGGAACGAGGACATCTGGGAAGGCTTCATTAATTAGTTTCTGCATATAGAAGAAGAAGAAGATGGTTGTTGAAAAGCCTGGCAAAAATGATGGGCATCATCCACATGATATGATATGATGCATCCATTTATCTGCTGCTCCTCAAAAAAATGTAAGCCATAATAAGAGAGTGAAGTTGTGAGTGACCACTTTTACCATCTCTTTTTTTTTCTCTTTTTACACATAGTCTCAAAACTACTGATAATATTAGTTATATATCTGCTCTTATCATACTCGTAATGACATATCTATCCTTATGATTCACTCAGTTCATTTCTGTTCCACTGTCACTGAGGTTATAATCTAGAGAATATTTACATACAGGCACCTAGTAGTACATTGGTTTACCCATGCGCTTTTCTTATGGACATAGTAATTATTTTTGTTGAAACTGTATGTATCATTAGTCACTAGACGCAATTACAAGAAATTCTAGTATTGATTTGTTACTAGAATCAACCTCCAAGAACCTTATAACAGTTGGTAAATTTCACTAGACCAAATTGATTTAAATGAATATTTACTTAGTCAATTGGGATGGTACTAATATCCTTTTACGTGGAGTAAGATCAAATGAGAAAACGACAAATAATGGGTGAGTTATCTTAGGGCCGGACGTTTCGCACTTTCATTTCATGCCCCAAAAAAGGTCATTTGATTTTTGCCTAAAATAAAATTTGACAACGAACTGGTTACGTGGTCTGTTCTGGGATTTACATTCTATGATTAAGCATCAGCCGTAAAATTAAAAATCTGGTGAAGTATATAATGCCACCGCGATTTAATTTAGGAACATCTTCAAAATATTCAGTTATTTACATATTTTTCCAATCTCTCTAAAATTACATTTTCTCCTCTGATAATTGGATACAGTTATATAAATGGTGTAATATAACAAATGTATTGAGAACATTTCACAATACTTCCCTCCTATCCTTATTATAACGCATTTTAATTTCGTCATTGATTAACTTAGAATGTCTTTAAAAATATATTTTCACGTTCATTGTGTTCTCTTAATTATTATGAAATGTTTTTAAGATTTTTATTTCAATTAAAAAGACATTCTTTATGAAATCTATGACGAAATTAAAATGTCTTATAATAATAAGGACCGGAGGAAGTATTTATTTACCACTGGAAAAAATAAAACAGGAAAGAGAGAGTGACATTATGAGCAACTGTTTCAACTGACTTCAGTTGGTTTGTTTAAAGGGACGCGCTGTTGAGCGCCCTAATTTTTTCATTTGAACGCCCTAAAAAGACGTACACGCCCCTGCAAAATAGAGTTACATTGGTTTTTTTTTGCAAAAAAAAATGTATGGCGATGGAGGAATAAGCCGCGAGAAAACCTTCGCCGCATGGCGAAGGTGTGGTGCCCTTCTGGGCACCACATTTGTACTATGCTCGCCAACCAAAGGATGGATGTGCGCCACCCACCTTAATTACTTTTTTTTTTTATTTTTATTTTTTTTTATTTTTAATTTATCTATTTAATTATCTTTAATTTAATTATTTTTAATGTATTTAATTAATTTATTTTATTTATTTTAATTATTAGTTTAATGATTTTATTTAATTCATGTATTTATTTAAGTTATTTAATTCATGTATGTTATTAATTTATTTATTTATTAAAGTTTATTTATTTGTTTGGTGGTTAAACAAATAATTTTAACTTAAATATTTAGAAAATGTTGCTTCATTATGTAGTAAATTTTTATAAAAATTTATCATTTAGTTATGTAGAATTTTGTAAACATAAACAAAAAATTTCATTTAATAAAAACTAAGACTTATGAATTTACTACCAAAAAAATTAATTATTCATCATCGGTGCATCTAGCCGTCCTGAAAATATTTTTTTGGAAAAAAATATAAAATTTAAAATACGTTGAAACGAAAAATTAAAAAACATGGAAAAAACATAAAATACTTTTATTTTATTTATTTAATTTTTTAATATTTTTAAACCGCCAAATAGATAAATAAAAAAAAACTTAAATAAATAAATAAATAAAATAATTAATTAATTAAATAAATTAAAAAATAGAAAAAAAAAAGTAATTTCGGTTTGGCGAGCAAAACGCTCGCCCATTTTGGGGGTAATATTCCCTCTCGCCTCCCTTGATTGGGAGGCGAGAAAATTGTGCGCCACCCTTTATTTCTCACGGCTGGCGTAGTGCTTTGTCGCTCTCACATTTTTTTTTTAAAAAAAAAAATATGTATGCAAGGGGAAAATAGTTTTTTAAAGATTTTTTAAATTGTTCAAATGAAAAAATTAGGACGTTCAGTACACTCCGAGTTGTTTAAATTAATGTAATGTTCAATCATTCTGCAGTGGGAAAAAAAAAAACTCACTGACACATGTTACGTATCAATGATGACCATACTTTGGATCCTAATTTGTAAGAACATACATGTTCTACTCCTGGATTAGGCATTTTGCACGACTGATTGATTATTAGTGCGAAGAATAATAAAAACAAGAAAGTTGATAGTGCTTGCCACACGATTGTGTCATAATTTTACCACTAATTATATAGTACTAGTATTATTTATAAATAATAAATATACGTCACTATTAGTAATAAATCTTGATCAAGTTATCCTAATCTGCATGTTACTAGTACTAGAGAAACCATCAATCATCTAAACTCCATACTTAATCATAATTTTATTTTTACTCTCCTACAAGAACAATGATGGACCTATAAATCAATTTTATGGAGTAGAAAAAGTAATAATTTAAAACTGGGTGTGAATTATTCTTCTGAGACAGAAGAATTCATAACTATTTGTAACACAAACTTATATCGCAAATTACAACTACGAACTCAAGTTAACAATTTTATATATTTATCAATTTCGGTAATACTTTTTCTTCATTTTTTACGATTGACTTATGATCCGACAAATTTGTCGATATCAAAGTAATTGTTAGTTGACCCTAAATATTAGTAGATTGTACATGAAGAATTTAATCAAACTCAAAGTACAATTGTACAACAAAGAAAGATTATCCTAAATTTTCGAAAAAAAAAAAAAAAACTCAGAAAAGCTTAGACTTGTCCGAGCATCCTAGAAAAATGGCGACCGTTACGTCATTTCCCCAAATTTCAAGGGGCATTTCAGGTAATCCACTACTTTTCAATGTGCAGATCTTGTTGATAAGCGATCAGTCATTTTCAATTTTCACCTTTTTTTTCCTCACTTTTCTTTTTCCCCCGTCGCATTTATTACATCATTATAAAAACCAGAAAAAAAAAGTTAAAAAAAAATGCATTTCTTCAGCTCACCATCTCTGTAGTTTCTTCCGACCCTTATTTTAAGGCAAAATTTGGTAGAAAATAATTAGCACAAAAGAGAGAAATAAAAAAAGGCCCACGAAAAAGAAAAACAGCTAATACAAAACTGCAGCAAATCACCAGAAAACTATATCTACATCGTCCTGCTCTTCCAATTCCCATAAACCCCATTATGCCAAATCCAAATCCCTGTTGCTTTCATTGACGCGTACACAACCATTTTCAGCTAATTTTAGAGCCGGAAATTTTCTCAACATTGTCACAACAACTTCACGCTCAGCTCACCGTGAGTAATTTCTAAATCTTTTCCGTGTTTAAAGAATTATGTAATTTGTTTTTACCAGATTTCTGAAAGGTTTTTGCCTGTTCCCGGAAGAATAGATGAGATTGCGCTTTGTTGATGTTTTAATGTTTAAGCTGCGAGATGGGTCTTTTTTTTGTTTTGAAATTTTTTGGTTTCCCTTTTGCGGCCGTTAATTTGACAGTTTTTATCTGGGTTAGTGCTCAACGATGTTTCTAGAAACTTATAACTTAGTGTGAAAATGGAACTTTCTCCCCTGTTTAATTTTGCTTACATTTTTTCCTAGACGCAAAGCCAAATTCCATTTTTGTTTCCGGATTTTTCCAATTCTGTGGGCTGCGCCGCTGGTCTTTTATACATGTAGACTGGTGGGTTTGTTTCGTATAATTCATTTCTGATCTTAAGTGTTGTTCTGTTGTTTTTATTTTTGGTTCAGTTTTACAGTTAGGGAAATGGAGAAATCTTCGATGTCGACGGAGGAAGTGGTGGCAGAGATCATGAGAATTCATAAATCTTTGCCTCCTAGGCCAGGGATTGAGGAAGTTGAAGCTGCAAAGACTCTGATTAAAAACGTTGACAAGGAAGATCAATCGAGAATTGAAGCCATTTCCAGGCAATCTAAGAGCAAGAATGTGCCCGAGGAATTGTTCAAGATATTGCTGGAGATGCAGAAGAATATGGTTTATTTCAATGGCACGGAGCAAAAGAGAGAAGCCATAAAACTGTTGGATCTCGAAAATGTTCACTCTGTGTTCGATGATTTGATTCAAAGAGCGTCTAGATGCCTAAGTTCTCCTCAATCTTCTTATGTTAATAACAATGAGTCTGTCTCTAATTCCACAAGTTATTCCAGGGATTCCAGCAGCATGTCCTTATCTACTTCGGCGTCCTATTCTGGTGCTAGTTCAAATTCTCTTGCAACAACGACTACAAGTGCTAGTGGTAATACTACATCGTCTTCCTCATCTTTGTCGGCGTTTTACAGTGAGCCAAACACCGTGAAGGCTACTGGCTTTCTTAGTAAAGATGATAGTTATGTGACGAAGTCAAAGGGTACGTTTCATGTTGATGGATTAGGGGTAGGGCCGCCATCTGGGGAGTTTTCTGCCAAGCCCCAGATTCATGATTCCACTCTAAAGCCGGCTATTAATGTTGGTACGTCTTAAACTTGTTTTCTGCATTCTTCTTAATTATGTTTATCTTGGGAATTTTGATTGATCTAGCTAATTATGACTACCAAGTATTTTTTTTCTTTCGAATTTCATTTTTTTTTTTTTTTGGTTGGACTTTTAATAGAGACTTTTGGATCATTAATGTATTTGTAATTCTTTATATAGCTATGTAGTTCGGGGTACTTCTCAAGGTTTGTGTGGACATTTCTGTGTTTCTGAGTCATTGGTTTTTCTTGGTAGGTCAAGATGGTGAGAAGCTGAGTTTGATAAAGCTTGCTAGTTTAATTGAAGTATCAGCCAAAAAAGGAACTCGGGAACTAAATCTTGAGGGGAGATTGATGGACCAAGTAGATTGGCTTCCTGATTCCTTGGGGAAACTATCCAGCTTGATATCCTTGGATTTATCCGAGAATCGGATTGTGGCATTACCCGATACTATAGGTGGCCTGTCTTCTTTGCAAAAGTTGGATTTACGGGGAAATAGAATAGTTGAATTGCCGGAATCTGTTGGAGATCTACTTAACTTGGTCTATCTCAATCTGAGTGGAAATCAGTTAAGATCATTGCCTCCTACCTTTGCTAGATTGGTTCGTCTCCAGGAGCTTAATTTGAGCTCCAACTCAATCTCGGTGCTTCCTGATACAATTGGTTCCCTAGTCAGCTTAAAGGTGTTGAATTTGGAAACAAACGATATTGAGGAAATTCCTCATTCTATTGGACAGTGTACTTCACTGAAAGAACTACGGGCTGATTATAATCGTCTTAAAGCCCTCCCAGAAGCTGTTGGAAGAATTGGTTCACTGGAAGTTCTGTCTGTGAGATATAATAATGTCCGGCAACTGCCAACTACAATGGCATCCATGTTAAGCTTGCGGGAGCTTGATGTTAGTTTCAATGAGCTTGAGGCTGTTCCTGAGAGCCTGTGCTTTGCTACGACTCTAGTGAAGATGAACATAAGCAACAATTTCGCAGACCTCAGACATCTGCCAAGGGCTATTGGTAATCTGGAAATGCTTGAGGAGTTGAATATGAGTAATAATCAGATAAGATTCATTCCAGACTCTTTCAGGATGTTGTCTCGGTTACGTGTCCTGAATGCTGAAGGAAATCCCTTAGAAGTGCCACCGCCAGAAATAGTTCAGAAGGGTGCACAGGTAATTGTAGCAGTTTATCTTTCTGTTGTTTTTTGTATGCATTTTGTATGGTGACTAAGCTAGCAGTTCTGCTTTTTAGGCTGTTGTCCAATACATGGCTGACCTTGTTGAGAAGAGGGAGGTCAAGGCACAACCAATCAAGCAGAAAAAGTCTTGGGTTCAATTATGCTTCTTCTCGAGGTCAAACAAACGCAAGCGCAGTGGCAGCGATTATGTACAAGCCTAATAAGCACCAGCATCATATTTCTTGGTATGTTTATCTCTTTTGTTGAATATGTTAATCTATGGAGATAAGATTTGCATGTCAGCATTTTACTACATGGGGTTTGGGTTTGACTGAATGATAAAAATCTCAACTTGAAATAAGAAAAAAGACTAAAAAATGCTGTGCAACATGCGGGGCATCAACTCATGTTGGCTGCATTAATAAACTGTGTTTCAAATGTTGGGTTATAAGGGTGAAGCCTCACATGCCATGTTATATTTTGTTAAAAACAGGACAATTGAGCTGTGATTATTGGGGTTGCTAGAGGAGAGCTAGCTGACAAGATGTGGCCTGGTTTTGAATGTTTTTGCCAGACATGACATTTTGACTTCATATGAGAATCAAATCAATCCTTTTATGGCTTTGATCTGCACAAAACCATAGAAAATTTTTTTGTTACCCTCCCGTCCTTCCTAAAATACCTTCTTGATCTTCCATCCGTTACATTTATATGACGTAGTTTGGTCTTTACGATACATGCCTGTCCTGCAGAGAAATGTTCAAATGAGCGGCTAAATTGGGGAGAAGAAACAAGCATGAGAGCATCCCCAAGTTTGTGAATGTTATACTTTTTTTTTATACACTAAACCATCATCATGTAATCTCATTTTTTGTCTGTCAATATTTTGATCCAGTCAAGTACTAAAGTTGATTCTCATTTTAGTTTTAGTACACAGTCAAATTCAGATGATCCTCTGTTTGTTCTTTTCGGAAAAATTTCTATCCACAAAAGATTTGGTCCTCAGGTTGGAAAAATGAGGGCCATCAAGACTATATTTTTATTGACTTATAGTGTTCTTCAGAGAGATTCGCCTTATGTATATTCTGGCTGATAAGTCGCAGTATCTTATATACATGGAGCCAATACCGCCATAGAATCTCTGGTTTTCAAGTTTCATGGAATCTTCCGAATGGCGGCTCTTTTGACTAACGAATTATACAGGTCTTGTGGTTCGAATTTAAAGGGAAGAGGAAGACTTGGTGTTTAATTTAATTAATCTTGGAGCAATTATTGCAAATGGGCATTAATAAAATTTTGGAATGGTCGGCAGGTAATTTCTGCGTCCGTGGTGCTATTCTTCAATAAAAAAGGGGTACGCTTAATTACTGTCCAGCCGCCAAGTATTTGCTACTATGCTTTAACTTTTACTGGTGGTTTATTCAATTGTGAAACCCCAAAAGGATAAACTGGGTCAAGTGGTTAACATTAGCTAAGTGTCAAATGAATGAAGATTCCATCCCATCCGAAATTATTATTAAATTTACAGTTCCGTTTTAATATTATTATCCGGTTTAAAGCATACTTAATGAGCCGTACTAGTTATCTAATTTACGTAATTTATATGTGTTGGCCATAATTTACGTAATTTACGTAAATTAATGTCAAAATACATTAATATTAATAGTCAGAATCTATCCGCCCTGTGTTCAGGTTATTTTTTTTGGAATAGATGAAAGGTTGTACTATAATTGTCCTTCATATGTATTTTTCTAGTTTTAAATATTTCGTTCGTGTTTAAAAAAATTAGAAAAATCAAAGTAGACTATTTTGGTAGATCGAAGATATATCTACATATATCCTACTATATTAGAAATAAAAACTCCCCTTTCAAACATCTCCTATGATTGCCACGTGACATAAGAAAAGTATTAAATTGCCCTTTTTGTCTAACCATAACTAAATTATTAAATCCCCTTTTGCACTTTACGTGACACGTTTTTTTTAAAAAAATTTTCTTTATGTTTCATTCAATTAGAGTGGTTTTTTTTCTTAATTATGGAGTCTAAATTGAATTGATCAATTACATTTTTGTTACAAAGTGTCAATTTTGTTTTAAGTGTATGACCTTCAGATGAAACTTATTACAAAGCTATTAAAAATCTCCAAAATTAAGTATTGATTTGGCACGACCAATGTAGGACATCAATAAATCATCTTACTAATCTTTAAACTTATTAGGATGCTTTTATATTTTGTCTAACATTTACTTCAACACATATATTCGATTAAGTCTATTTATATTTAATAAGTAACACTTATAAAACATTTCTAAAACATACATGGCGAAATACAATTTTTTTTTGTTAAATACAAATACTTTTATGATCACACTTATAAAATGTTTCTAAATCCTTTAAATATTTCTAAAATATATCGCTGCAAATACAAATTTTTTTTTCTAAATATAAACATTTCTAAAATATACAGATAGACTAGACCAGGGTCGCACAGATATCACTAGTATATATATATATAACTAAGAACGGTATGGCACGGTTATGTATGTAAGGGAGGAGCCTTGGCGGTGAGTCATCTTTCTTGCATCTTATCCACAAACAAATAGAGTACTTGTTTAGTTTCAACTTTTCTTTATTAGATAAGATGATTTATAAACTTTTGACCGAGGAACTGTAATGACTTTATGGAATAAATAAATTATCTCAGACTCCAAGTGGTTCTGGTTAAAATCAATTATAATTGTCATTGGTTTGAATTCTCATTAAGCTGTCCAAAGAAGACAAAAAAAAAGTCCAAGTAAGCGTTGCATCAACAAACTCCTGTATTATACTTTTTCCGGTCCTTATTATAAGACATTTTAATTTATTTTAAGTAAGATAGTGTTAACGTGATTCAATTACGGAAAATATAAGACGAAATGGACGAGAAGGAAATGCCCTTGCTTTTTTACACGGTGACCACAAGAATCATGTTATTGTAGAAAGTTGAAGTGGTAGTAATAATGAGAAGCTTGTGAACCTAACTGATTAATCATTCATCAAAGTTTTCTCATTGGCTCATGTTGTTTTTATTTCTTCTTTAGCTTTCCATTTCCTGGTTTCTTTGAAAAGTCGAAGGACAGATGGAGTTTATAGATTCTTTTATTCGGTAAATGTCGTTATGTTGGAAAAAACGTTGATTTTTTCTTTTAATTTTTTTACTGTTTGTTGTTGTTAAATGTTAATTCTTCCACTAATTACGATCACAATAGATTAGCGATTTAATAACTTCAAGAAATGGGATTTGTATGTTAAAAGAGTATAGGAGTTCTTAGGAAATTAATTACCAATGATGAGGTTAAATTCGGCCACTCGCTAAATGATTACTTGAAAATTATAAAGATTATAATTTGTTTTACTGAATTACATCAGTTGGACATATATACTCATTATACCTTGTCAAAAAAAAAAAGATTTTTATATTTTTTTTAGACGAAGAAAGTACTAAAAAAGTATACTTCATTTATAGTTTATTATGTTGATTAATGACCCGAAAAGTAAAGCTTACTGTTTTATAATATAATAAAATGAGCTACAGAATAAAAGAAGTCAGATTAAATATATTAATAATAAGTTGAGAGTCCAGACCACGATGAATTGGCTAATCTAAATTTAAAACCCCCGACCCCCACAAACACATGGCTTGATTATTCCTACTGGCATAAAAATAAATGGCCAGTCTGGCTCCTCAAACCCAGTGGCCAATGTTCTTGGCTTATGTGAAATTAAACCAACATGTAGTGGTTTTTCACTTTTCCGATATAGCTAATCATCATATAAAAAATAAAAAAAAACACCACGGCAACACAAACACCAGAAAGGATACATGCCAGATAAAATGACACTTATTAATGTTTAATTAATAACTCAGTCGAAATTCTTTTCCCAATTTCATCATGAATATTAACCCAGTGATTGGCCACATGAATGCTCCAGACTGGGATACGTTTATTAAGGCTAACCAAGCAAACTCTCATTAACATTGCTTTCATAGCCCCGAGAATGTTATTTTGTTCCTATTATTTTTTTACTCTCTCTCTCTCCCATAATTATTGTCTAATTTGAGATTTTACTTTTAGTACAATTTAAATTGGCAATGAAAACTTAAAGTGGACAATACTTATGTGACGGAAGAAGTATTATAAAAGTTTATTAACATACACGCAGTTATATCCGAGCCGTGATACATTTTTAAAATCCGTGAGTCACATCTACTACCAATTAAATATATAATGGCTAGCGAAAAGTTGCGATTCAGAAAAATAAAAACACCAATGGTCTTTCTTCTTCTTTTTCTTTTTTTTTTTTGTTTGGTTCAAATAGTAATATTATCATAATTTAAAACTTTTTGTTTACCAGAAAACAAAAATTTATCTCTTTAACCCTTTCCACGCATATGGATATATTAGTAAGTGGTTATGATTAATGTGAACGTCGAAATACGGTACAAGCGAAAGAAGTATATTGCGTGAATGAAGAAATTGAGAGATATCATTCATGTTTTGGTTTGCCAAACAAATATATAGATAAAAAAGAAAAACACACAGCCACACACGGTCGCCTGTTTCAGCTAAGTGAAAGCACAAGAAAGATATAAACAATTAAATTAAATTAAAAAAATAAATAAGCAAAAAAAAAAAATCATAGTTTCATTACTGTAAAAAAAATCATTTTACAGGTAGAATTTATGGTGCTCTAATCAAAACAAATAGAGTTATGGAGAGGGAGATATTATTAGATGAGGCAATTGAGAGGTTGAGTCGATTAGAAGGATCGAGTAGTCGATTTATTATTACAACAACTAGGCTATATTACTATTATTCTTTGAGGGTTTAAAAGAGTCATCTTTCAAAAATAGATGTTATTTATCCAAGCTTGGAATAATCGAAGAATTAACGCGCCAATGACACGGTACAAAATTCCAACTTCCTCAAATAGCAATTTCAATAAACTACAAAATCATCTTCAAATTAGCACTAAATGACAACAAGAAATTCACTCCCCTATAAAATCCATATTTTTAAGTCGACTATCCCGAGAAGGAATTGATGCAAACTAAGCCTTCAAATTGTATATAAAAACACTTGAAACAATAATTATACAATCACAACACAGTGTTCACGTATGCCACTTAGAAAAAAGCTCACTACACAACACCACGGCAAAGGCAAAAACAAACATTAAAATAGGACAAAAATGCCAAAGAGGATTAATAACAAGAAAATGGTTCAAATTTCGTGCGAAGAAATGGTCGTGGGATCAGGAGGAAAGCTGAATAATCCCATCACGAATTTGTTCAAAAGGGTGATCAAGGTGATTTCACAGCTTAAAAGAGTGGTTTTGAAGAAGAAGAAGCAACTACGTTGTGAAAATCGATTAAGTTGCGGGTTGATGCGGGATCATGAAGAACTGAAGAGTTATGATCTGTTTAGTTATTCCATGAATTTTGATGATGGGAAGTGGCAGCTTGAAGAAGTTGACTACTATCTGAATCGATCTTTTAGTTGTACATGGGTTAATGAAGCAAGATTGATATAGGCAATTTGGTTACAATTAATGTAGCAAACTTTTTGAGATTAATGTTTAAATTTGAGTTTGAGAAGTTCATTTGGTGGTGTTATATATGCCTAATTTCCCTCGATACGCATATATGTGCATGTATATTCTTGTAATATAAGAAATATATAATTTTTTAGGATTTTGTAATTATTTAGTTCTTGATGATGTAACTAAAATTCTTATAATTTTTGATAATTGATTAATGAAATTTTTATTTTCCATATTATTTTTACAAGTTTATGTGTATATTGTAGTAGAAATTTCATTTTTATCACAACGGTTATATCTTCAAAATTTGTTTTAGCATCTTAGTGAGTGAAAGAAGACTTTATTGACTTATATTATTTTGATGGAATGATGCGGAACGAGATGAACTAATAGTGCAGTTGTTAACAATTATTGAGATTTATATTCAAATAGACATGACGATTTTTAGAACACCAAATATTTGAACTGGAGACAGAACTTGGGTGTCTATTAATTTTGAATCCTATAATATCACCATCTATATAAGCATATACTCTCTCCGTCCTAGAAAAATAGTCTAATTTCTAAAAGTACAAACTTTTTTAATTTGGTCAATCCAACAAGGTACAATTTTATACCCTGGACTTTCATTTATGCCCCAGGTTGAAAATTTATTCAGCGCCGATCACTTATATCTTCACTAGTTCAAAACTGGGGAAATCAAAATGTCGAGGATATTCAACCAAACAGTAGAAGAATATTCTATTTTAATCTAGGAGGAGGATTTTTTTCAGCCACAAGTTTTAGTTCTTTCAGCCATAAATTTTCAATTTTGACCATTTTGTCTCTGCCATTTGACCAAACTAAATTGAAGGGGAGAAAGAGAGAGGGGGAGAGAGAGAGAGAAAAAAAAACCACTCGGACCACATCAGGCAAGTCATCCGATCCGATTCACGCGAGAACGGACAAATTATTAATTTTATTTTAATGCTAGTTTATTTGTAGTATCGTTGCATGTTGAATACCTCGTACTTTAAATATTATTAGCAATATTTATACTTTAGTGCTTAAACTCTCAACTTTGTATTTACTTGAAAATAAATAAGCAATTAGTTTTTACTTGAAAACAAATTTAAGATTATTCGTTAAGTTAATTTATTTGAATTGATATTAAAATATAAAATTTTCCTTCAATCATTATTTTATAATTTTTAGTTAAAAATAATAATTATACATTTATAATCAAAAATAATAATTGTACTACAAAGATCGCGACAAATATGTGCAAACAGATTAACTATTTTTTGTACTAGAAAGATTGTGATACTTAATAAAACTCAAATAATAAATTATTCATAAATTTAATGAATAAAAATTTTAATGACCAAAAAACTAGATTAACTAATTAAAAAAAATCTAAAAATTTAAAAAATAGCAATGAATTCAATTGATATTTTTTTAATTTTTAGAATTTTTAAATAACAAATATTGATATTTTTTAAATTACAAAAAAATAAAAAAACAAAAAATCTAAAATTTTTTTAAAAAATGAGCTTGACCGGACCGGTTCATCATATCGGACCGAACTGGGACCGACCGTGCGATGAAACCGTCCCGAGTTAACTCGGAACGGGTGGACCGCCCGTCCCGAGTTAATACGGGATGGGCAATGAACCCGTTCGGACAAACAAGTGGTCGGGAGGTTCACCCGCCCCGGGTTAACTCGGAACGGTTTCATTGCACGGTCGGTCGGTTTTTTTTTTTAATTTTCTCTCTAATCAAGTTATTCGATTTGAAAAAATGACAAGGGTAAAATGATCCAAAATAGAAATTTGTGGTTGAAAGAACTAAAATTGGTGACTTGAAAAACGAACACCCTTAATCTAGTAAGAGATATGCACGGCGTAATGGGTGAATAAAAGGGAAGTGAAAAAAAAAAAGAAAAATAAGAATAAGGGATGGGAGAACAGATTAAAGAAATTCGCCATTGGCGAAGGAGGATGGGGCCCTGTTAGACAAGAAATGAAGAAAATACGTACTACTTTTTCTACCTCATTGGTCAAATGAAATTATTCCAATGTCGTTGGCTCCTCCTCCAACCCCATCGCCAGGTAATTTGGGATTAAGGATTCACCGCCGGAGGCCGGACCACAGATTGCCGCAGAATTGAAAATTCAGTACCGGCACTTGAATCTATTTATAAAAAGAGCAATTAAGTTATTTTATTTGTTTCAATTTTGACTTTTCTGGAACTGAACTAGTTTTTCGGGACAAGATATATATTTTTTTGATCAAATTAGACTATTTTTGTGGTTGAGACAAGATTTTTTTTTTTTTTTTTATATCAAACAAGACTATTTTTGTAGAAAGGAAGGAGTATATTACTAGTTTGGGGAGTAAATTTCGTGTGCGGCGACGTGATCGGTTCAAATTGAAGAAAGTGCATGCTCTTGGGGGTTACAAGAACTCTCCACACAAGCTCAGAGTCATCTTCACACTACTTGGTTAATTAGATACTAATGATGTTTTGAGAATGTGGAGTTAAGAAAATAGATAAATATATTACAGAAAATATACACATGTTAACAAGTTCATAAGGTTCTTACTTTTTACACGATATGGTATATTCGTAATCATTTACATATCTATCTATAATAAATTAGTTAGAAAAGAAAAAAAAAATAGAATAGCCAGAAAGGATTTCAACAAACTTCTTGCAACTTGCAAGCACAGATGAATAGATGATTGTCATCCTTTCAGAATACATACAAAATCAGAAAAGATACTCTAGAGTCCAGATGACCAACTTCCTTGCTCATCAAGGATATTTAAATGTGCCCTCCAAGAAAACGTTGACGAGTCCTCATTAAGAAAAACTGAAAAACTTATAAAAAAAGGACTCCGCAGAGAAAGGGCCCAACAAACCCAATATCACTTTAACCAAAAAAGGCCCAAATTTTAGCCACCGCTAATATTTCCGGAATAAATCCACCCGCTCTATTTCCCGGAGAAAAAATATCTTCTGCGACAAATAGGCGCAAACATTTGTTTTTCGGTCGCTTGGACTCATACATTTTAAAACCCTAATCCTAAAGCCCTAATCAGAGCTCCGGCTGCAACGAATTGTTCCTCTTTCCTCGATCAATTCGTTCCACCATCAAACTCCTTCAAGGTATTCTTTTATTATTTGATTTTTCCTCCGGTAGCCCTTGATTTTGCTTTTTCTTGTTGCATAATCCGTTTATTGTTGTTGTATATGATTTAATTTAATTTTTTTGTTCTTGATTTTTCATTCTAGAGCTCGTATCGAGTTCAGCAGTCTTGTTCGAATCATGGCAACTAGTAAGGATTCCCGTTTACATAATTACATTTCAATAGTTTCTTTTCGGTTTTTCTTGAAGAATCAATTTCTAGGTTATTTATTTCCCCTCCCCCCTTTTGAATTTTAGGGTTGCAGTTTGAGAATTCTTGCGAAGTTGGGGTTTTTTCTAAGCTGACCAATGCTTATTGCTTGGTCGCTATTGGAGGTTCTGAGAACTTCTACAGGTGCCCTGCTCTGCTTTCAATATGTCATTTTCTTTAATGTTGCTTCCAATGGCGTCATGGTGATATCTTTTCTTTGTGCCTATTTGTGTGTTGTTGGTCTTGATATGTTGTGAACTCCTTGCAGTACCTTTGAGGGCGAGTTGGCTGATATAATTCCGGTAGTGAAGACATCCATTGGTGGCACTAGGATAATTGGAAGATTATGTGCCGGTGAGGAGCTTTACCTTACCCTGTAGTGGAATTGGAATTGGAATTGGAATTTAGTGACTTCTATTTGTTTCGGTAGTTGAATTCACTCTTTTTTCTTCCTCTTGTGGTTCAGGGAACAAAAATGGGCTTCTCTTGCCTCATACTACAACTGACCAAGGTAAATATCTTATTCAATCTGTTTCTATGGGATACAGTTGATCTTGAATTCTAAGCACAAGTTTGTTTTCACCTAGTTTTCAAGCTAAGCTGAGATAAATAATTCTTGGTTTAAACTTTGGGTTATAGTTACGTGTGATTGATTAAAATTTTACATGTTCAATGTTATGCCTCTAAACAACTTGTCCATTGTGATAAAGAGCTTCAGCATTTGAGGAATAGCTTGCCGGATTCAGTTATTGTTCAGCGCGTCGAGGAGAGACTTTCTGCTCTGGGTAACTGCATTGCATGCAATGATCATGTTGCTCTTACACACACTGATTTAGATCGGGTAATTTTGCCCATTCAACTTTACTTGATTTTTAACTTCGTGCCAACTTGAATGTCATGCTATTCTAACGTAATTGCATCAAACAAATTTACTGTATCTTTCTGAAGGGTTAATAATGATCTTGCTGTTGCATGGAATTTCTTCCCCATGGCAAAGTTATTTGTCTAAAGGATTACCTGCTGAATATTATGTGATTTGAAGGGAAAATATGTCCTCTTCCCTTTTGCTAATTTTTTGGCCCATTGTTGATGTTTCAATGAAAAGTCAAATTGCTTTAAGTGATAAAAAGGCAAAAGAAAGTCCTCAAAAATGAATTATGGTTTTAAAATTTCACTACCCTGCATGATTGTTTGTTGTAAAGTCTTGTTCTTCTTTGGAGAAATTTCTATTTTTAGGCCTTTGTACCTGACAACATGTTTCCACATTTTATTATCAGTACCATTTTGCATTTGCTTGGAAGTTTTCATTTTGCTCTGTGTTACACCCCGGGTTGTCTGTTAGGATGGACATCTATTGTATCGATTTTTTGACGTTAGTGTTGGTAATTTGGGTTGTTTGATGTATATTCCTTGTCATGTTCTAGGAAACTGAGGAAATGATTGCCGATGTTCTTGGAGTGGAAGTTTTTAGGCAGACTATTGCAGGGAATATTTTAGTCGGCAGCTATTGTGCATTTTCAAATAGAGGAGGCTTGGTAAGCTGTATAATCTGTTAGTTATTATTGATAATTAAAAGAACTCCTGATGGTTTTATCTCCAAGCTGCATAAGTGTGTCGGGGCTGTTTTTGACTGAACTCCAAATTTGAGCAGGTCCACCCTCATACCTCCATCGAGGACCTGGATGAACTTTCAACGCTCCTACAGGTTCCTCTAGTGGCCGGAACTGTGAACCGTGGAAGTGATGTAATAGCTGCTGGCTTGACAGTTAATGACTGGACAGCATTTTGCGGATCTGACACTACTGCCACAGAATTGTCTGTTATTGAAAGTGTTTTCAAGTTGAGAGAGGCTCAACCTAGTGCCATTGTGGATGAAATGCGAAAATCATTGATTGATACCTATGTCTGAGTTACAAATTTCCAAGTTGAAATGCATCAAGCTGTGTCTGTTCCCTCATCCCAACTGACATGCATGGAGCAGCACAAGGATATTTAGCACCTGTTTGCAGTTAATCTATGTGTATCAACCTTCCATACCCTCTCTTGCACTCTTTTATCTTATACAATTCCTTTTGTAACTTCAGATAGTTCCCTTTTTCGTTCGTTTCTGATTTTATTGGGTTTTCAAAACTGAAGCTTGTGGTATGATTTGCTTTCTTATTCAAGTAATGAAAATTTGTGAAGTCTACTAAGTTTACAATTTTGGCTGACTCATTTCGCATTCGAATATCTTCTCAAGCTTATAAATGATATAGTCTAAAACATAGATTCCTGGGAACAATTTTCATCGCAAGAAAGGTGGAAACCAGTTGAAGATTAGTGCATCGTAGTAAGTAGTAAAACAGTTTTGGTCGACGCGATCAAACGAAGTAACGAAAACGATCCCCAAAATGGCAGGCAAAAATTCTATTACTGCCGCAAGAAAATTAATGGACCAAATAGGAGGAGAGGATGTCCATTTGAGTGTCCAAAAAAACAAGATCACAAAATGATTACAAAATTTCCTACAAAGAATCTAACATCCCAGTTTCTCTCCTCCTTGAAGAGAGCCAGAAGAGAAACACCTAGGCTCATTTCGCATCTGAACTTTTCCTCTCAATCCCACAATGACACACAAAATGTAGATATTACTTGAAACAATTTCATTTCGAGAAAGCTAGAAACCTGAAGATGAACAACAAAACTCGGAAAAAGGAAAAAATGGTATAAAACACATTAGTAGCCACTGAAGGACAACTAGCAAGCTGACTCCACCACTTCCTGATCCTTTTGAATGGATGTCCATTCAACATCTCTGAGAAGATTCAATCTTTCATCCAATGCTACAAACCCATGTCCTGGCGCCACAGCACCAGATTTTCCAGCTTTATAGAGCAAAACTATACTGGTTCCCATGTCAGGACCATGGAGCTTGCCAGTCAACAGCAGCCGGAGAGGCATGAAGAGTGCTTTTCCCTTGCGCTTCAGCTCTTTTCCGAAGCTCTTAACCCACTTCTGCCAGCCAGTTTGGCCTTCTTCTAGTGCAGCAAACAGTTCTCCATTATCATAGGCTGCCAACAAGCTTGCAGCAACTTCTGAAAGGCTATCCTCTACAATGGGTTTACACTCAGGGGTGGCCAGATTGGCATGTAAAGGATAGGAAATCAAGTCCAGAAGGGCATTGTCTGCATCTTCCAATAAATCAATTCCATCTTTGAGGAGCTGCAAAGTCTCTTCCACAATGAATCCTGTCGGTTCTGTCACAAAACCTTTGCTCTTCCAGTGGTCACCAATAAGTTGAACCAGTTCAGCAGGTGGAAGCAATCTCATATAGTGGCCATTCATCCACCTGAGCTTAGTGTAATCAAATACAGCTCCACTTTTGTTGACACGCTCGATTGTGAATTTTTCTACAAGTTCCTCAAGAGTGAAAAACTCATTTGGAGTACCATCCCCCCAACCTAACAATGCAAGATAATTCACCATTGCTTGAGGTAAAAACCCCATCTCCTTGAACTGCCCAACTGAAGTCGCACCATGGCGCTTTGATAGTTTGCTTTTATCAGGAGCAAGGATCAAAGAAACGTGTGCAAATTTAGGCATTGGGAAACCCAGAGCCTTATATATCAGAGCTTGCCTCAGAGTATTGGGCAGATGCTCCTCAGCTCTAATAACATGAGAGATAGCCATGGAAGCATCATCAACAGTGACACAAAAATTGTAGACAGGCTGCCCATTACTTCTCATGATCACAAAATCTCCCAATGTCTCAAATTTCCATTCGACTTTACCCCTGATAAGGTCATTGATCTGCAAAGCCCCTTCTTTCGGCACTCTAAACCTGTATGTGTACGGAGTCCCCTTGGACAACTCTTCTTGCACTTCCTCATCGGTGGCATAAGCCCATTTCCCAGTGTACACCGGAGGCAATTGATTAAGCTTGGCAATCTCCTTCTGCTTTTCCAATTCCTCATTAGTACAGAAGCAGCGATAAACATGGCCGGATTGTACAAGCTTATCGGCATAATCCTTGTAAAGAGCATTTCTTTCGGATTGGCGATAGGGACCATAGCTCCCACCAATATCAGGCCCTTCATCCCAATTTAGGCCTAGCCACGAAAGATCACGGAGGACAGCTTCCTCAGATTCTTTAGTTGACCGTTCCAAATCGGTGTCCTCAATCCGAATGATAAATTTACCCCCATTGGACCTAGCGAACAAATAGTTGAAGAGCGCGGTTCTGGCCCCTCCCACGTGGAGGTTACCGGTGGGCGACGGCGCGAAACGCACTCGGACTTCTGAACTCTTAGCCTCCGCCGAGATTGAGAATGACCTTCTAGCTCTCGAGAAGTTGCGAATTCTACAGTTACCGTTACTGCCACTGAAGGAATTGTAGTGATAGCAAAAGGATTGACGGAACATACCAAAGTTTTGTACCGGAATGACACCCATCCTCAGCAAGGGCGTCCCAGTTGCCATCGTCATGCCTGTATAATGCTAGACTGATCCGGAGAAGATTATTCACTGCAAATTTGTGCCCTTCCGGCGGAGGAAGTAGCAAGATAACCGGCGGCGAAAAATGAATTAGCTTGGGCAGAATGTTTTGAACTGACCCGAGTCTGAATAACGGATTGGGCGGTGTCAGCAGCGCAATTGAGCGGCAGAGAGGCGGAGGAGATGATGTCGTTTTGTTCGTTTACTTTTTTTTTTTTTTTTTTTCTGGTAAATTACATCTTATCGGCCCAAATATTTGGTCAAATTACAAGATGAACTTTTTTCATTTTGGAAAAGTGTTAACAATTCATATTCACTTATTAAGTATTCACCGATTAAAACTTACCATCGAAAAGTATATTTGCATCTTTTTTTAAAAAAATGTTTTGGCATTATTATTTTATGTATGGGAATAGGACTATACTCGTCGAGATTTGAATTTAATGTAGTGATTGTATAATTGTTTGTCAAAAGGCTTGGAGGTAAAAAGTTATTCTTGACGAACAATTAGTGATGGGATAAAAGAAAGATTTTGAAAAGAATAAAAAATACATTTTTTTCTAAAGTATCTGTTAAAGGAAGATTGCTCTCGAAGAGTGTATTTATCGACTCATAGAAAGTGGTATTACTATTTTAATTATTTTTACAAGACAATTCTCTTTGTCAACTAACCAATCTATAACACTTGAAAAATATTACGAAAGTCATTGAATGATTTTATCAGATACCAAACGCGTAATCCTCCAAAAATTTTAAAAAAATAAAATAAAAATTTAATGTAAGCACTGCACTTTTAATAGGAAATCAATTTATTTATTTATTATATTGTGTTTAGCAATGTATGCACTATAAAATTGTTAGATCAGGTATTAATTTGATTAAGAAGATTGTTTAAAAAAAAAAAAAGAGAGTAAGAATAAGACTTTCTCCAAAGCAAAGATTAGAGATTAGATTTCTAAACAAAAAGTATCTACGAAAGAGGTTTCTTGCTCCTGTCCCTCCCACAGCACTAGAAACACATTTCGGACCTCAAATACATGTATATTATTCAAAACTTAAAACTAAACCCATAACAAAACGTTTTAAAGTGACTTTTTGAGGTACAGTATGTAATTTTGTAGTATCGCCGTCTACTTGATTATTACAAGAAGTACTCAACAAAAGGCGTTAGAGAATGATATCAATATTTCCCCCCGTATCAGTAAAGTTTATCACAATGCCAAAAAGATCAGATGATGAACAGATGCATCATCATCACCATTATATTTTAGAGAATTAGAGGCTAATATACAGGACGAATCAGCCAGTCAATCAGGTAAACAAACAAAATCACAGCGCCTGCAAGGTGCATTTCTTTTCCACCAGGAGAAAAGTTTTACCAACTGAACATAGTTCCACTTCATCCATTCTGTGCCAAAATATATGTTGCAGAGATGCTGTCAGAGAGTCATGTTCAAAATATGTGCCATGGATCATACGCGCGTTTCATGGACAAGGCTGGTCACTAATAACTTAATGACACCCCTTTAAACACGGAGATTGCAGCCAACAAACTGCTGAATACCCACCATGGACGGTGGTTGTTGTCTTGTGACTGAAAGAAAACTATGTAACACTATCTAAGAGAAGCATTTCCGAGGGTCTTTTCTGGGGTAATTTTTTCTGCACTAACATGTCCACTCGTAGGCCTGCAAGTTCAAAAACAGATAACATTCAAAGTGGTGCAACAAAAGAGCGAGACATTTATCCCTGCTCTCCTAAACTGTCAAGAAATTCAGATCCTCAGAGATTACATCTAACTAGTTCCATTTCAGAACCATCACGAGTCCACATTTTGACATTTCCTCAACTTGAACCTTTTTAAGTCACTACTCACAAGTCACATCACTAACATTTAAATAGCTGCTGTTCGTCAGAGTACATAGTTTCATTACAAATGAAGTAAAAGGACCAAATGATGGTAAACATGGCGGAAGAAAGATACAAGCAAATAAATCAGGGAAAATGAAAGACAACGAAGAACAATAAAGGGCTCGAAGGGATGGTCTAAGTTCCTCGACCCATATCCAATATCTATAAACCATAATCTACTATTAACTATAAACCAATTTTTAATTACATTTCCTAAAATGTCCAATTTCAAGTATCATTCATTACTATAAACATTATGTGCTCAGTCATTGGACAACTTCCACAATTATGAATGTCTGCTATTATTAACTCAAACGGGTATCCTTGTTTTTTTCCATGCAAATTGTGAGTTTCTTAATGTAGGATGATTGGGATTATTAGCTTTATCAAGCCCAAAAGTTGCTGCAAATTTCTAAGAGTCCAACACATTTGTTTAAGAAACCATCAAGTTAGCTTTTACTGGAAGCAACATTTCTTATATCCAAATATGCCAAGCGTAGTGAGTGGATGAAACTGACGAAAAGAGCTATAGAAAGATCCATCAACAGAAATCTTAATTAATAAAAATATTATAATAATAAAGAGAAAAGCAGGACTTACAGTCCATTTAAGACTTTGATGCAATCATAAAAAAACCATTGCAAGGTCACGACAGGTCCAACTAGCATTATCCTTATTGGAAGACTTCTTGTAAATAGATTCATGAAGCCAATTCTCTTAACAGCCTGGTATGTCCAAAAGAATACATTTAACCTCATATATCTACAAAGCACACTTAGTTGTAAGAGATTACAGGTAATAGTAGAGAAACAAGATTACCTGCTGAAGGCTATTAGCTTTTTTGTTGTAAAGAGAGGAAACAATATTATCAGCAGGGTTGGAAATAACGCTTGCAACAGATCCAGCAGCATATCCAGCCAAGCATGTCACTCCAAGCTGTTGAGCTTTCGTACAATCTTCCTTTCTTGCCTGAATAACTCTCCGATAGAGAAAATCCACTGAATACTCAAATGTGGAGAACATGACCATTGAAACTGTACAAATGATTTTGAATGTCAATTCGATGCACTACCACAAAATGTAATATCAAAGTATCAGGTTAATGAAACTGCGGAAACTTGTATTTTCAAATATTTGATTGCAGTAAGAACCTCCTTCCAGTCACAGCAGTCAGTTTCATATTGGATCTACCTAATTGGTTAAACCACGCGGGATATGACTATGAGCAAGATAAAAACACACTCAGAAAATTCTCAACAATCTGCAGTGTTAGCTAAGTAACCCTGCAAAATCCATGCAGAGTCCAGTCGGCATGCATTCAGAATCTAGAAAGTAAAATATCTTGTATCTCAAAGCACAAGGGATTGTCTCCAAAAAAGGATCACTCCCTAAACAGGGAAAGTAGGGTTTAACATGGCTCACTGTTACAGCATTGTGTATCAAAAGTTTGGCTGAATTGAGAAATTACATGGCAGATTACGACCCCATAGTGGAATGAGTCCTCTGTAAAAGCTGAAAATAGAATAAAAGGAAAACATCGTCTTAGTTTGGCAGTTAGCATTAAACACATATCCAGAATGCTATAAATGAACAAGTACGAAATTACGCTGTTCAATACCCATGGATGCCCTCTGACAGATAAATCTTCGGAAAACCATCAGCCAGACCCTTTGCAAAGTGCGGTTGAGCTTGTACACGAACTTTGATTGCCTCAAAAGGGCATAAAGCCACATTTGCAATCACTTCCGCAGATGCGCTGCTAACAAAAAAGACCAAACTCTTGTTCTGCTCACCGAGAACATTTGAGTGCACCTCCTTGAAGTATTCATACAGCCCAAACCTGCAAGCACCTTGCATACCATAACCAAAAAACTTCCCACCACAGCCTCTCCAAAATGCAGAAGGGCCTTGTTCCCGTAAAAGTGTAGTGAATGATGTTGAGATGCTTGAGTACTTTATTGGATGCACCTAAAAAATGAACGCGCATCAAAGTGGCACGATAGCTCAAGTAGAGGTGAAGAGAAACAACATAGGCAAACAACAACGTTCACTAATACATAGTTTACAAGGATAGAGCGATTCATCAAAAAGGACATTGGCAAACTGGAAAAGGAAACGTTCGGATGTTCCTGAGTAAAATGAAGAACCAAAAGTGCAGTAAATGTATTGTATGTGAGATGCACAGGAATGACATATAACAGTGCAGGATAACAGTGTCAAAAAGCTGGATGAATTTATCAAAAAACAAAAAAAATAAAATAAAATAAAATATCAACATTTTAATAATACTAAAAGTCTACAAAGAACTCGAGAAACAATCGTCACAAGCGTGTAAACTGTCAACTCTTTAGTTCTGTCTACCCCAGAAAATTCACCATAGCATTTTATCCGGCATGAATTACTACAGGACATTCAGATTTCAGGGGTGACTTCCAGCTTGTTTGGTAGACACTTATGCCAGAACGGAACAAAGCCACCAATGAAGCCATCTTTTTAATCGAACCCTCCTAAGTGAGAGTGGAAATCTTCTACATTACAATAAAGCCCAAAGTGTAATACTACTTGAAAATGGAAACTGGAACTAAATGTTAGCAGAACATTGAAAGAAACACTTTCAGTTATTGTTTTTTACCTTTTAAGACTAAAACAAAATCCTCTCATTAGCAAAACAGGCGTAGCAAAAACAACATTGCAACAAAGTTAAAGTCCATCCCAGTCACTCTAAGAATCTCGGAGGAAACTTGAACTGTCCCCCCAAATCACTCAAATTAAAACAACACTACAGGAAAAAACGAAAAGGACACAGATCATAATGCCACAAAGACAGAGACATAAAAAAAAATCATTCGGTCTTTGTGAAGAGTCCAAAAAATACCTGCATATTAACTTTGAGAACGTCCAGAGGAGTGATGACGAGATGGGTTGTTCCAGCGCTCAGCATTCCACCCAATGCACACACCCTATAATACCCTTCTGGAAATTCCTTGCACATTTCTCTTCCATCCGTTCCCTTCATTTCTTCTTTATAACTCTACAGTTCTTTCTGGGGAAAAAAATTAACAAAAACTAAAAATAAAAATAAAATTCGAGGAAATGAGCTGTTCTTTCTTCAACCCATCATTACAGCGATTTGGAGAAAGAAAAAGCAATAATTCTTCTTAGCGTGGATTGTGTTTATGCTCTCTGTGTCTGGGTCTGCTGACTCTGGAGAAGCGAATCAATGTCTTAAAAGTTAAAACCCCGCGACTCTTGGAACAAAGGGGTTTTCCGCTTTCTTGAAAGCTCAGCCACCCTAATACGACATCGTGTAGATTCGATGATGTCTTTGACTTTTGCAAATTAGTTTCTGTTATTATTAGTAGGACTAGTATGTAATACCATTGTATTAAAATGTTGCATCATATAATCAAATCAGTAATTAGAATATAATGATTATGAAACTATCAATATTAGATATTCTGAAAATCACCAAAAGAAAAAAAAAATCAAAAGATCAAAGTAACAAAGTTGTAAAAGTTTGTTGTTCATTGTATATTTTATTCTTAAAAACTGTAATAGTGGTTGTTCATTATGCAAAACACAAGGTATTACTGTCTGCATGAGTTACTAAATGTATTAAAAAGGATCTCTTTAAGTAATCACCCATAATATATTTCCATCAATGTATTTAGTAATAGAATGTAATTATGTAAAAACATATCAAAAGAAAAAATTGTAGAAAATAAAAGAAATATTCAATTTGAGCTAGCTCCCCAAAAAAATCAAGAAAAACTTTTATAATAAATTTTTATAATAAATATTGACTGATTAATGATAGGCCAACCAAAAGACAAAATGTCAAATTGGACTAAAGAGTCCAGGCCAGGGGACTAACATGTATAGTAAAATATACAGACGTGTCATTTTCGTTATTTCGATTGTATAAATTTGAAAATCAACAATCATATGAACTGGGTATTCATGATTAAAAAGACACAAATATCGATTCGTATCAAGGAGTCCAGTTTGAGACTCGTGGATTAAATAAAAGATATGGATGACCCTTTTTTGTAATTTTGATGATATAACTCCAAAGTCAGGAATCATATAAATTGGGAGGCCAATTGATTTCATCGATGAATCATGGCCTCTTTTGCAAAATTTGACAGTCATCGTCGTCAAGCGTGGGATTTAGAATATATGCCGGCCAAAAGCTCTATAGCCGATACCCGATTTCAAATTCCAATGCATAATTTCCCTATTATAAACTGAAGAAAATTTCCTTTTTCTTATCGTCATACTTTATTTTTTTTCAAGGAGTCATCATTTTCAAACCTGAGAGACTAATTTTAGTTAAAAATAAGGGTTGATATAAAAAACATCCCCGAAGTTTAGTCAATTAACTAAAACATCCTTATCTTCTAAAGAAATATGAAAAATCTCCTTTGACCGGTGAAACTTATCGCTTAACCGATAAAGAACGTGAAATAATAAACAGCGCCCACTAATAGTTCTCGTAACTTTTTATTTTTTTCTTTACAAAAAATAAATACATACAGTAGAACTTTTCTGTCTTTCCTAATTTCCATCCAGAAAAAAACCTAACTCAAACATTATCATTGTCACTGCCGTCTCTTACCGATTCAAATCTCCTTCGATTCCATCAAATTTTCCCTGGAACACACTCGGCAAAAAGTGTGCCCATATGGGTATGAACGGTGCTGCGCCCCTTTTCCTTCCCATACACACGCAGCATATGGAATCCAACCCCGCTCTTTCTTTCTCCTCGTCGCACCCGTCAGTTTCTTCCAGCAATTTTCATCAACGACATTCTCAACGGCATCCCTTGTTCTGTCCCACACCCACCTGATTATTGTTGACATCAGATAGCCTTGTTGTTGGACTTTGATTAAACCCCTTAAACTCCTGGGCCCCCTTGAACTGGCTCTCCGCTGCCAGATTCATCTCCGACGGCGACGGAGCTTCTCCGCCGCACGTCGGCGTCAACCTGTTTCTTAGAACATCTTGACCGAGGTTCATACCTGATGTTTCCACCGCCGTGGAAACTCTTCCCTCATATTCTCCGGCACCACCGCCGCTGTTGCTGTCATTGTCATCCTCGTCGCCTCTCACACTCAATGGTGTTGTTTGGCCTGGAAGTGTTTTTGGAGAATTGTTGCCAGTTTTGGTATTTATGGGTTGGGGTTATTTTAGTGTTTTGTGGAAAGGGGAGCAAAATTTGTTAAACCAAATTGATTCCCATTTGCTAATTTTGTACCAAGAGATTCAATAAGAATTTTTTTTCTGTCTTATGTTATTAAGGCTTTGTTTGTTTTGTTTTTTGGATAGTTTTTTCATAATATTAAAATAATAAATGTCTCATCCTAACATATATTTTTTTTTACATTTTTAATACACTTTTTTACATTTTCAATATACTTTTTTACATTTTCCAATACAAAAAATACCTAAAAATACACACAAAAAACGAAACAAACATTACCCTAAATCTTGCCTAAAATGTCAATTTGTGAACTAATTCAATGTTCTTCATGTAAAATATCAGAATGAGATCCATGACACTGGTTTGATTGAGACCGAGAAACGATACATTATTGACGGAATAAAACATCTTTTTTTGGCTGTTTAATTTGTAGATTATAAAACCAGTATGTTTTTAAAAATAAAATAACAGCAATGTAAATAACAAAAAGTAATCCGACACAATAACCAAGTTAACATAATTTTTTTTTTACTGATTAATAACCATCCAATGAGATAATGACATGTGTCACCAAAACTATTGATGGCCTAAATGAGCGACACGTGTCGATTATCTTTCTTTCCTTTAAATACTAGTGATGTCTGGTCGCGCATTGCGCGACCCTGGCCCAGTTTATCTGTAGATCTTAGAAATATTTATATTTGAAAAAAATAAAATTTTGTATTTGGAGCGATATATTTTAGAAATGTTTGAAGGATTTAGAAATGTTTTATAAGTGTGATCATAGAAATATTTGTATTTCGCAAAAAAAAAAAAAATTGTATTTCGCCATGTATGTTTTAGAAATGTTTTATAAGTGTTACTTATTAAATATAAATAGCTTAATCGAATATATGTATTGAAGTAAATGTTAGATAAAATATAAAAGCATCCTAATAAATTTAAATATTAATAAGATGATTTATTGATGTTCTCCATTGGTCGTGCCAAATCAATACTTAGTTTTGGAGATTTTTAATAGCTTTGTAATAAGCTTCATCCGAAAGGTATACGCTTAAAACAAAATTGGCACTTTGTAACAAAAAACCTAATTGATCAATTCAATTTAAAAAACCACTCTAGTTGAATGAAACATAAAGAAAAAATTAAAAAAAAAACGTGTCACGTAAAGTGCAAAGGGAGATTTAGTAATTTAGTTATGGTTAGACAAAAGGGCAATTTAGTATTTTCTACATGCCACGTGGCAATTATATGAGATGTTTGAAAGGGAGGTTTTTGTTTCTAATATAGTAGGATATATAATGATAATGATTTATTTACTAACCCAATTTAGTTAGCAGTAAACCTGATAATGGAGTATACAAGGAGATTTTATTTTTTATTTTTTCTTTTTCTTTTCTGGTCTTGTAGAAAAATAATGTAATTATATATATATGTATATATTGCTAATTAAATTTCTAACATTTCTTTTCGTATACTTCGTGGTGCTAAAGAAATTTGCATGTATTGCAGATTTCATTTGAATTTATTATTCCTACACTAGATTTGTAAATTAGTTGTAAATTAATTCGACGCAAGTGTACTAACTACTTGTATGATTTAGATTTAGGCCCTTTATGGATAAACCAGAACTAAACGTAATACACATGAAATCTTTACCAGGCATTTTTTTTGTTTATCTCAAGATTAATTTTTTTTCCCCAAGTGTGTATATGGTAGCCTTTTAAGCATAGGGTACACATAAGCAGCAATCTAACCATAAAGCATCAAATATATAAGTAAAAATCTTGACCAAATATTTGAACAACGAAATGCATTGAAATTGTCTGAATCCAAAAATACAACGAACCCACAAGCGAGTTTTTGTCGACCACGACAAAAATCAAACCCAAGTGAGGGCCGGGGGAAATGTGTTCAACACAAACGAAAATGAAAAGGAATCGATCTTTAAACAACAAATAGGGAAATGAAAAGGGAAAATTCAAGCTGCATACTTCTTCATCTTCTTCTTCCTCTTCTTAATTAATCCCTCTGCCCCAACATTGTCGATCTAGGCCAGAAAGATTAATTATAAATCACTAAGATAACTATTAGGAGTACGTTCAAGCCAAAAGTCCAAATCATCAAAGAAGATAAAATCTTCTTCATAAGGCGCCAGCCAGGGCCCCACAACATCTTTGTTCACATCCACAACACTTTGATGATCACCACCAGTAACATTGTTGTGAATCAACCCTCCACCATTAGTATTGTCATTGTTATTATTGTTGTCGCCGGGATTTGGATTAGCGACCATTGTCGCGCTCTGATTGGGGACCGGATTACCGTCACCAATGTTGGGAGCAATTTCGTCGTTGATCATGCCCATGGTAATGGATGGAGGAGGGTTTTGGGGTGGTGCAACTGGAAGCATCGTGTTTTGGGAGTGGTGATGATCCTGATCTTCAGGAGAAGGAAAACTGTTTGGGACATTATTGTTATTAGTAATGGTCCGAGTGTCGTGAACGCTATAGCGACGGTGTCTCCTGGGGGCGGCACTTCTCTGTCGCTTAAAGAATTTCTGGGCATGGCTTCCCACCTGAATCGGGGTCCTGGTTTTCACTAGCTGATTTGATATGTTCTTCCAGTGTCCTCTTCCATATATTTCCAACCCCATTAAAAAAAGACTGCATTTTAATTTAATTATCCAAATAAAAATATCAAAGAGATTCATACATTTAAATTTACAAAAAAATAAATAACAAAAATGCAAAAATAGCTACCTAAGTTGTAACGTAAAAGAATCATTGACATATATACCCTAATCATACGTGTTAATTTGGTACAGCTCAGAAGAAATTATTGCTTCACTTTTTTTTTTTTGGGGGATCAGTGGAAATTAAACCGCAAAATGTCAAAGCCTTTTAAGGTAAAAACAATTTTGTAAATTATTGTAATTAACCATCTCTAACATTTGGCTCAAACCAAAAAGAAAATTTCAAATAAATATAAAAGACAAAACAAGAATCAAACAAGGGACTCTCTTCCCCAGGGTTGAATATACGTTACGTTTTAAAGTTTAAACACTTTACTTTCTTCATCATTTCTGTACCACTTAAATGATAGCTCATATTCATATAAGGGTAACCGGAAATTTAAGCATGTTAAGTTTACGTATTTGATCTTATCTATTTCACAAGGGGGAACAAAACGTATGGAACCGAATTTGTATATTAAATAAGTAAACAATGGCATAACTCTTTAAGTTTTCGCCCATTTAATCAAGTTCAATTTGAATACAAAAACCACTGATTTTTTTTTTTCCCGCTTTGATTTAGAATAAAAAATCAAGAGATCAATGTAAGCACATATATACGTCTTTGGATGCAAATGAATGAAGTGTAAATTAAGGAAATGAGTTAAGAGATTGTGTATGTATAATTGTATGTTTATAAGGGTTATGTATATACGTACCGATGTTCTTGTTCACTCCAGGGAACTGACTTTTGATTAGGACCACGCTTAGGTTTGGGGCTACTGTCATTTGCTCTCCCTCTTCCCCTGCCACGGCTACGGCCTCGGCCTCGACCTCGGCCTCTTCCTCTACCACGACCTCTACCTCTGGTTAATGACGAAGATCCTTCGCCATCTCCCAGTACATAGTCCGAATCATCCTTGTCGTCATCGAACACATGCTCCTCCTCGTTATCACCATCAGCTGGATCTACGTCACAAATGATATAAGAAAGGTTCAATACATTTGAAGTGTGTGTGTCTATGTGTAAATAACAAATTAATTCAAATCATTGTATGCATAGTAACAAGTAATCTGAATTTGGAAAATGCACTTGAACAATTAACCTGCGACAGGGGTGACTTGCTGGCCTACGAGGTTGATTCCTTGTTGGAGGGAAGGCAAATTGTGATGGTAAGCTTCATCAGCGGTTAAAGGGTTTTCAACCATTTTGGTTTCCTCAGAAAAACTCCATTGATGAGGTTTTGGTGAGGGCTCCATTGGTACAGCTTCTAAGCTTTTTTGTTTTCTTTCTTTTCGGGGTAAAAACAACTGAAGAGAAGCTGAATATAGCTTGTGCTTGTAAAAGATGAGTAGAGCGGGGTTTTTATAGATGACTGGACATACAAAGTCAAGTATTTTTAATTAATTTAGAACCGTTTTTTTTTTAGTTTTTATTTATGAGGTTGGTTTGACAAATATTAATTCGCAATAAATAATGTATGATGACCTCTCTTTATTTTTAAGTAAACAAGAATCTGATTACAATTAAGATATTTACAGTTTACGTTCTCATTTTTTTAATTTATGTACATTAACCTTATAGTTTGGTTCCCATTCACTTTTGGTCGTTTATTCTAAAAGAAGCTTACCAAATTAATTATCGAAACTTAATTTTTGTTTTCAATCAAGGGCTCACAAACATGTTATATACTACCTCCACCCAGAAAATTCTTCAGCGGCTATTGTATAAAAATTTCTTCATGGTGATCTTCTAAAATAAATTAAACTTTTATGTTATATTATAGGATAGAATGAACGATTATATTATTATCTGATTGTTATTGTCCATGATTGGAAGTAAAAAGTTATTATTATGAGATTATAATTATTATTATTATTGAAGGGAGGAACTTCATATAATAATATATGATTTGTTATTACCGTCAGTCAACAATTTGTTGATCTTCCATTAATTAGAAGATATTTAACCAAAAACTGTCTTTAATTTAGTTCAAGCAGGCATGATAAAGTTTACATTTTATTTTATCTTTCACCAAAAAAAAAAAAAAAAAGAAGAAGAAAAGAAGCAAAACGTGGGGATAGAATCATCGATCACTAGCAATCGCTAAGTTTAGTGACTTCCTCATAGGGATTTGTTAGGCCAAGTCAATCACAAAATTAATAACGAATTCAGCTCTACTTTGATATTTGCTGTAAACTCACTTGCCAATTTTTTATTATTTTTTTTCCGCCTTAAGTACAGATCGTTTAGGACAATTAGTAATACAAAAGATTAACCCCAATAGAGAAGGTTAACTCAAAATGAACCCGGATCGTGCATCAAAATATTGATGAGCAGTTTTAATTTGTTATTACAAATTACAATTACATTAGTAATGTATTTGTTCTGATATTTTTTTTGTTACTTCAAATGATTTATAACGACGGTCGCCAGCAATCTGAGAAAATAAAAATAGAAAAATTACAGTGTAACAATTTGAGATTAATATTTTTTTGGGTAAAATAATAATAACAATTTTCTTGCTACAATCGAACAACATCTCTCTTATAACATTACTACTCCCCTTCACAAGAGGTTAATTTCCGTAACAATTTCGATGATACACTCGAAAGAATCAATCATAATAATCTCTAGGGTTAAAATCTCCAAGGAATTGTGGAAGGAAAAACTATCTAATACTCATACAGATTTAACTGTATGAGCTGAGATCAATTTTGGTTTGCATTTAACATTGATTTGTAATTAATTTGAGAAGTTGATGGGTTTGAGAGTAGTTTTGATGATGATATCTTGGCTAGACGAATAAAGTATTTTTGTGCATGACTTGCAACCTGTGTTGGTGTCTTCGTTAGAACTATATTTCTCGAAATGCTTCTCCAATTCCCCTTCCCGTACTTGCTTAAACCAACCAGAAACTTCCTGAAAAAAAAAAAACAAAAACAAAAACAAAGGAAAGAAAGAAAAACCCCTCAAAATTAATAAAGCAAATCAAACGATATGCAACTAATTTTGCGATATTTTAAATTAGAAAAATTATTGGATGAAGCTGATGTATCCTGGTTTGTAGTGCAGCAAGTATTTACATTCCTTATTTTGGTACTATAACTCATGTAGAAATTATCTCATTCCCTCTAAAATTACTACTTTACCTTATTTATTGTGTCTGGTTACACAATTCTACGTGATACAGCAGCTGCACTGAATAATTTCTCTTTAAATTAATGATGAAGACGATTTGTTGATTAAATATTCCTTGACAATGAAGATTTCGCATGCATGCTGGTTAACACAAAAAAAAAAAAGATGGTTGCTCTAGAATCAATTAAAAGCTAGTAATTTTATTGAATACGTAGATCGCATTCGAGGTCAGCAACAGTTCTTCATCAGTACAAAGGATGAGTTTTAAGCTTAAAAAAAGTGGAATTTATAAATGGGAATCGAACGTAAATCATAAATGTTACTAAATACTTGTTCGTCCCAAAATACAAAATCATATGTCATGTGTAAGATGTAATGGATTTGTCATTGTATAAAAGAAATTAGTTTGTTGCTTCACACCATTTACACCTAGCTACTTATTTCGTATTTGCATAAAAAACAAAATTAGAAAAATATTCAAAGGTGAATCTGGAATCCACTGAAAGGGAAGAGGAAAAGTTATGTGGCGTGGCCGGCCTAATTTATTTTGTTTTAAAAATTTTCAACCACAAATGCGGATAAAGAAAAATAAATCATTTATAATAGAAAAATGAGACACATTAGGGTTTGGGAACCATACTCATGTTCTTCCTTAGTCCAACGAGTCCCTTTCCTTTTCTGCTTGTGCTGATCATCCACAGAATTAGTTGTGCGGTTTTTTGAACAAATAGATTCATGCTTTATTTTTCCGGTGGTTTTGCGGTAAGTCGGCGGCGGAGCGGTGTTGAAAGAAGTCACCGGACCACCAAATTCTTCGATGAATTTGACATCTTCAACTAGCAACTGAAAATGTTGTTTGATTTCTTCGATACTCTTTTCGGGAACAACAATGTTATTCAGAGCATTGATAATATTTTTCTGCAATGAGTCCACAGTATTAAGGTCATGATCATCAAGCAAATTTGCCAGAGCCTTCTCAAACATTTTGTTCTCTTGAAACGTCCATTTTGGATAATCTACGACCCGTCGGAACGGCGAACAGATCCAAGACAAGGTAAATGGATCTTCGTCTTTGTAGGGGTAATTTGAAGAGAAATTAGAGCACGATTCCATATGGAAGATTTCACAAAACAATGTGTAGCTCAGTGTTTATATATATGTGTTTAATTTGTTGGAGAAGTGATGATCCTAACTCTATGAACATTACTACCATATAACAATTTATGTGGTTTTTGAAATTTATTGCTTCATAATTTACTTGAAGTAAATTTGTACGACATTAAAGTCGCTTTGTTTAAGAATATACGGGCTGTAACATTAATTAAAAAGGAGTTGTTGTATTGCTAGATTTCATAACGTACTATAATACCAGCTTTCAATATTAATTTATTCAAATTATACTAGTATTAACATCCCTAATTTCCAACGATTTGTTTGTTCCCTTTTCACACGGCATATCACACTAGAGGAAACACACTTTAGCACATTTTATTGTTCTTTTCAAAAAATTTTTTTTTTTTTTTGTAAACTTTTTAATGGGCCATATACAATTACTAGCTTGTGGAAATTATTCAGCACATATGGCTACTACTATCCGTTATGGCCATTTATTTTCTTGTCTTATAAATATGATGTAGGGAATATCAAACTAGGAAGATTGCTTCCATGTTGATTAGGTGCTGTTTTGAACTGGTTAAAAAAAAGAGAGGATAGCTTTCATAACCTCTACACAAATAGAGGATAGACACAAATATATATATGTAAAAGGCAGTACTCTTTCCGTTCCATAATTATTGTCTTGTTTGAGTTTTTATTTTTAGTTTAAATTGTACGTAAAATCTCAAATTGGACAATAATTTTGGAACAGATGGAATATATGAGTAGAACTTTCTCCGGCTAATTTCTTAATTTGGAGGCATTGCGAGAACAAACAATTCCCACAATGTCATGACACCAGAAGGCCTTCAATTTCAGACTATGTCTATATTCAAACCTGAACCAATTTGAACTTTAATATTAAGATGGGAAAAAAAAACTACGCTTATTTTTATTTTTCTGGTTAATGTAAAACTAGAATTATTATAACTTATAAGTGCTTAGGGTTTTTCGTTTCTCATAATTATGGCTTCTCATAATTATAGATGTTATTAAATGCTCTTGCTCCTTCAATTGAATTTTGAATATGATCTTGATGGACCCAAAAGCCAAAATATCCATGTTGTCGAGGCTTCTTGTGGATCCTACTTAACGAGAAGCTCGTCCCAACATGAAGAACTCATGCAAGAAAGTGGTGTAGTAGTTCGCGGTCGCTTTTAAGGATTTATTGTGATTGTGAACAGAGCAAGAAGATATCGGCTTCTTAATTCTTGTGCTTTTGTCTTTAGCAGATTTCCTAGATTAATTAGTTTCTGCATTTCTGCTTACCTCTTAACTCTTAAGCAATACTGCGTGCAAGTTTAACATTAACTACTCTCTTTGTCCCAAAAAACTAATAATCCATGTTGAATTCAACTAGACAATAATTTTGGGACGCGAGGAATATAACATTTCTGGAGAGCATAGTACCAAGAGTTTAATGTCTAAACAGTCAAGTTAGCAGTAATCACTTTGGGAGGGACACACGGTCCAAACAGCATAATAACCATCTTGATGAATTCAAGATTTTACATGTAGTACATAATGAAACAAAACCACACATTTAAACTTAAGTCAAGCTGTCCAAAAAAAAATACTCCTACAAAATATTTCATATTATAATTTGTGAATTGTATAAATCTTTATGAACAACATATTAATTCAACCTTTTCAAAAAAAAAAAATATCAATTCAAAAAATTGTAAAGTAGACTTTTTTTTTTCTTTTTAGTCAGAAAATAATAAACTTTCTGAGACTGGGAGGATGAGACAGACGAAACAAAAAATTTACATGAGACATTTAGACAAGAGAAAATTATATTTAACTCAGAAATATGCATACCTTTAGAACAAACTTTTCCAAGTTGTGGGAGTTAACATAATCAGTCTCTCGTCTTCTTGTATAGATCAAGTCATAAGAGGAGATAACATAATCAAGTTCAATTCATTGAGTTCAGAAATCAGAACAAGTTTGGAAAGCTATTGGCGATTCGATTATATATGTAGTCACGACTTGTGACGGTGGAGTCCACAATCTAATCTTAATGGACCACTCCGTGAGCTGGCCCAATGAATCTTTTCCTTCTACATTTCTGACTGACCTTAGCCCAGTTGTTAAATTTTTTTGTCATGTAGGAAATTAAGTTTAGGAGAAATGAAGAGAAAACACATTAAGTAAATCGTAAATTTTGAAGTAAAGAGAAGATTATAATAAATCGTAAATTTTCTGGTTTTCTGGCTTTCTGCGGCTTCTTTTCTTCTTGTTCATGGACAATAGACGATGAGAGTGAGTTGCAGGTTTTTTTTTTTTTAATGTAGCTAAAGATCAGCATTTGATAATTTCAACAATAATTAAATTATCCATGCCCGTCCATGTATATGCCTTTGGTCCACACAACGTGGTATCTTATTAGATTCATAATCTTTTTCTTAACATGAAGAAATCGTAGTCTAACATGTATGTTTCGATGACATGTGTGTATCAACCTCGGCACCTCACAATGACTGTATTCCTTGAACTATATTACGTGGCGGTGAAGTCATTATCAATTAACTATGATGACTTGGGAAACAAATAGTAATTCCTCTGTCCCAACGTTATTGTCCAGTCTGAGATTTCACTTTTAGTACAATTTGAACTAGAACTGAAAACTCAAACATGAGAATAATTATAGTACGGAGGGAGTAGTAATTAAGAAGCTTGAGTCTACTAAATGAAAGTAATAATCAATTAATGTTAGCTAGCAACTTTTGATTGGAGGAAGTGGCTTTGATAGTTAATTAATAATTAAGAAAATGATAAATTGTTATGCCGAGTTACTTTTTCCTCTGTCAAAATGTTCGACATGTACATTATTTAGTATTATTACAAAAATAATCAATCATTTTAAGTCGGAAAGAGTATAAATCATGTCAAACAAGATTATAACTAATCAAAATACTAACCAATTTATCAAATTAATTGTGATAGTTCAAGATGCAATGTCTATGCAGTCTTTGGAGCTCACAAGTCATGAGTTTGAGGATGACTCAACTTAACAAGACGTCCTTTATAAGAAACTCTACAGTGCATTTTTATCACCAGTACTTTGCGAAAATTATAATTTTACTAAATGTTAAGTTGTAGTATTTAAGCGCGAATTGAATCTTCCATAATCTCATCGAGTTCAATTTAAAGGCACACGTTATATGATGCATCATGCATGTGCATTCCTCGTTGGTTAATATAGGACATTTGTCGGCACAAATAATTAAGGCCACAAGGAAAAGATCCATAATTTTTGGCGTTATAACACTGTGCCTTACAAATCTAACAAAATTTGTTGATATTGTATATGGGCAAAAAAAAAAATAATATAATTTACCTTAGCACTTTCTTTTCTTCAATATCATTCCGAAAAGGTTTTTGCCGCTAGATTTTGGCAAGCAAGATTGATTATACTCCCTCCATCCCATAATTATTGTCAAGTTTGAGTTTTCATTTCTAATTCAAATTATACTAAAAGTGAAATATCAAACTGGATAATAATTTTGGGACAGAAGTAGTACTATACAAGAAATAAGACATTTATTGTCGAATAAAAAAAAAACTAAGTAATCAAAAATTTTTCTCTTTTGTTGGTTATATGACTTGTGAATATTGATTGTGACTTTCATCTTATCATTCCATGTATGCTTGACGAATGAATGACTTGTGAATACATAATGGGATGCAAGTATGGAACGATGTGGGGAGCCTTAATTTTTATTTTATTTTTTCAATCTATCATCATTAATTAGTTTCGAATAGAAATGATTTAACTCATCACCATTGGGCATTACCTTTTAACTTTTATGAGCTTGATTGTGACGGTACAATTAATCAACTTTTTTTGGACGAATTAGTCAGATTATAGGTCTATTTTCATCCATATTTCCACCTACCTGATAGTTAATCAATTTTCGCTTTTGTAGTATGATTATGCACTCAACCTAAATTATTGAGGTTTCGCACTAAAACTGATGTTACGGATACAATTACGATTTAAAAAATTAATTACAGGATAATTTTTTTTCTTTCTTTTTTTTTTTTCATTTCCAATGGAATTTTCACTCATTTGGAAACAGATTTTTATTTTGATTTGGGCGTCTACAAATCACGGAAATTGTGTTTTGAAGTTGAATCTGCGAGAAATAAACCTTCTAAATTGCTATGCAGTAAAAACGGACGATCTAAAGTTCCAAAAAGGAAATAAAAATATGGCCATAAATTAGATTACATGTTCAAATAATTTCTTCATACTCGGCCGTATCTCAAAGTTCTTCATCATACAATATATAATTTCAATTACAAATAAAGAAAGAACCGTACGATCGACATCTGCAATTTTAAATGTTTGGAATATTCTATTTCTTTAGTTGATACTTGATATAATGTTTTGATGATTCCTAGTATTAATTACCAGGCAATGATGAAACACCATTTTTTTTTTTGGCTATAATAATGAAACATCATTGAACAAATTTCATTCATAGATTTGTCTGTAAACTGATGTGACATTTTTTGGTTTCTACGGGGAAGATCAAAATATTATTACTACTAAAGTTTACAAAGCATTTCGACATTGTTAGAAGTTAGAAAAACATGTATGAACAATGACATTTTCCCCGGTAAATAGTAAATTCCATTTCAATCTCAAAAGTGGACTCACAAACTTGGGTATGTTTGTTTCGTTTTTTTTTTTATGTGTTTTCAGGTATTTTTTGTATTAGGAATGTAAAAAGGTGTATTAGAAATGTAAAAAGGTATGCTGAGATGGAGCAGTTATTATTAAGTATTTTGAAAATACCATAAAGAAAACCTAACAAACAAAGCCAATTACATCAAAGTTTATTCTTATTTCTGTTATATAATATATATATATATATATAATAAAGCATTCAGTATTCGAATTCATTTCTCCGACTATATCGAATTTGAGTTCGTAGGTCTTATCCGAAAAGTAAAGTTCTCCTAATAAGTATTTTCTCTTATATAATGAGTTTATAAATATTTAGATTACTAAAAACTAATCAATATATAACAAGTGATAAAACATATCTACAAAGAACCAGAACTACTTACAAGTTACAAAATCGAACCGTTCAGCAGAATCTATAGTATATATTCTCTCTGTCCCAAAATTATTGTCCACTTTGAGATTTCACTTTTAGTACAATTTGAATTACAAATGAAAACGCAAACTGGACAATAATTACGGGAGGGAGGGAGTACTATTCATGTAGATTTTTGAAGCTTAGTTATTATTTGTTACTGGAAAAAAGAAAGACCGTGAACAATAAATTTACCCCAAAGTGAATTGGAAGCTTACTGATGAGTTACTACGAAGTAGACATTTTGTTTGGAAAAATACACAACTTTGAATGTAGCCTTTTGCTATATATGGAAGTAATTTCAAGATGCATCCTTGGTTACTTTTTTTTTTTTTTCCCCCCTTCCTTTTTTGATCTCGTCCTGCTGCATGAAAAAAAGGACATATTGACCACAGTTTAGTCACCTTCGAATCAATATAATTATTATTGAAAAAGTGACAAATTGAAAATAAAATGAAAAATATGACACCTTTTTTCGCATCAATTATGTTGTCATTACACAATTCAAATACAATTACTCTACAAACATTACAGTTAAAAATAAAATGGCGGTGCATCGTAGTATAAAAACATTATTTCAATTATTACCAAGTAAAGGGAAAAAAAAAAAAAAGAGTCTTGAATCTGGTCGGATGTGTCAGAAATGGTGTCATATAATTAAAACTGAATGAAAGACTTTAGTTACTAGAAGAAGAAAAGGGCCAAAAGCAAAAAAAAAAAGTTTGAACCTTTCCGAGGATTGCAAAACACCACAACACAACAACATGCCCATGTTGTCTTTCAGCGTAAAAACATGAAGAAAAAAAAAGAGGAAGCAATAAAATGCCAAAAAATACAACGGAAATAAAAACGTAAACAGATCAGCAAGGCACGTTCCTCGGGTGATGACCATTTGAACTGGTTTTACGATCCCAAAAATATATACACACACACACAAAAACTCTAAAAAAATAAAATAAAAAAAAATATTCTGCTTTCCTTCTCTAAAAATCTCTCCCTTCCACCCCCCGCCCCTCAGGATTTTAGCTTTCTTTCTTACACATTATGAATGATTTTGGGGGTCACATCCTCTTCTTTTTCCACCTTTCGATATAAAGTAAAGCTCTGTTGTGTTTTGTTTTGGCTTTTGGAGGTTTATTATTGCCAGCAGTGTTCTTTTGAGAAAATTACATTTAAAGTACAGTACCCATCTGATCCTTCTTTTCATTTTTTTGCTTATAAAAATCCTTTCTTTAACTGTAGATCTCTGCATGTATTATTAGTAGTTCAATTATAGAAGAGCATTACTGAAACCAAAGCCTTTGCAAATTTATCGTTTTTAAGGCAAGCCCTTTTCGTTTTGGCTGGCTGTCTGCTGCTCTTTTTGGTTGTTTTCCTTTCCTTCTTTCCCCCAAGGTTTCTGGAAGCATATTCTTGTGCTGAATTTTGCATATTCGAATTCTGGGATACTCTTTCTTTATTGATTGAATTCTTCTTTGTATTGATGATGGCTTTATCTTTTTCTGTTCTGATTTGCTGATCTGTGTTTATGCTGCTGATTGCTATAAGGCAAAGACATCTTATTTTTACCGAAATTGAGAGTGATAGGAATCTCTGAACACTGATTGCCGTACGCCACCCCTCTTATGGATTCCTCTGCTAATGTTTTTACATGCATGAGATCTGTTGCTTATCTGATTCATGTTTGTTGGGCTCTGTACAAGTGTTCATGGTCTGCTTGATTCTTAATTGTGCTATTAGACGTGTGTGTCCGGGTTTATATTCGATTGAATTGTTTATCAATTCTTCTTCTGAGTCTGAATCTCTTCTAACTGTGGATGTAGGTTTCAGTAGAAGCGGAAAGGAGTTAGGACTTTTAGATACTCCCTTCCGGTGGAAGAAGGGTTGAATCCATCAAAGATGAGGGGAGCTGTTTTAGTGGCAATTGCTGCTGCAATTGGGAACTTTCTGCAAGGATGGGACAATGCCACAATAGCAGGTTTGTTTCATCACTTCACCTTGTATTTTTGTTTGAGTGTGTTTCTTTGTGTGTCTTTGTATTTGTGTTTGTGAGAGAGAGAGAGAGAGAGACAGAGAGTTGGCCTCTCTTCCTTTCCAAGAAGTGGTAGCTGGGTTTAGATGATTTTTTTTTTTTTTTTTGGGCTAATGGATAGATGATCTTTGTCTGTATTGGTTTGAATTCCAGATTTTATATGGCTGCTAAAGCATTTTAGAACCAGATATGAAGATCTTTGAAATCTGTATGAGTGGGAATCTATTCTGTTTCAGGTTCTGTTCTTTACATCAAGAGGGAATTCCAGCTTCAGTCGAACCCAACAATGGAGGGTCTAATTGTTGCAATGTCACTTATTGGAGCCACAGTTATAACAACGTTCTCGGGGTCTGTGGCTGATTGGCTTGGACGCAGACCAATGCTAATTATCTCGTCTGTTCTCTATTTCCTTAGTTCCTTGGTGATGTTGTGGGCACCAAACGTTTATGTTCTGCTTTTGGCAAGGCTCTTAGATGGCTTTGGAATTGGACTTGCTGTTACGCTTGTTCCTCTTTACATATCTGAGACTGCGCCACCAGAAATAAGAGGACTGTTGAATACTCTTCCGCAGTTTACTGGTTCTGCAGGAATGTTTTTGTCTTATTGCATGGTCTTTGGAATGTCATTGAAGGAGTCTCCAAGCTGGAGGCTAATGCTTGGGGTTCTATCAATTCCTTCTCTAGTTTATTTTGTGCTCGCAATGTTCTTCTTGCCTGAGTCTCCTAGGTGGCTTGTTGGTAATGGGCAGATGCAAGAGGCTAAGAAGGTGCTGCAAAGACTGCGCGGCCGGGAAGATGTATCAGGTTTGTTTACTGATCCTATTCCTTGGAGTATTCATTTCAATTCACTTCCTTGCTTGCTTTAGGCTGGTGTAGACTGTACTGTTGAATTTAAATTCTGTTCTCATTTGTGAACTATGATCAACAGCACTTCCATCAGATGCTCGTTTGCTTTTAAAAGTACCTTATGTTTCTTTTGCATTGCTAAACTTTTTGTCATTCAGTTCCCAATTTTAATGAAGCTGAAAAAAGTTGAATCAGTAACTTCTTAGTTTATTCTTCTTAGATGAGCTCCTTCTATGTACGTCAAATATTAATGCGCTGGAGAAGTTAATTAACCTGAACTTCTTTTTGCACTTGACTATGTCAAGTTACATTAAATTCAATGATGTTTTCATATTGTACATTAATATACATACCTCGTTTTACAACTTAATGAACTCCAAATATTAATTCTTGGTCATATATCTGAGACTCATTTGGTTTCACGTGGAGTCTTGTTCAGTTACCAACGCTTGTATCTGATGTTAATAAAAATATACTTCCGTATACACTGGTGGTCCCGTGAATATTCTCATGACTAGTGAGGCATGAAACATTCTTGTATCAACTTTTTTAAGATTAGAAATTTTGGTTTTCCAGCATTATAAAATCTTGTATTTCTGACTATTTTGTTTGTTTTCCCGTACAGGTGAAATGGCTTTACTGCTTGAAGGTACGGGCGCTGGTGGTGAGACATCTATTGAGGAATACATAATTGGGCCTGACAATGAACTTGATGCAAGCCTTGAACATGAAGTGGATAAAGATCAAATCAAGTTGTATGGGGCTGAAGAAGGCCTCTCATGGATTGCCAAACCTGTCAGGGGACCAAGTACTCTTGCTCTTTCTCGTCATGGTAGTGTTGCAAGCCAGAATATGCCACTTATGGATCCAATGGTTACTTTATTTGGCAGTGTTCATGAGAAGCTTCCTGGAATGGGAAGCACACGAAATAGCATGCTCTTTTCTAATTTTGGGAGCATGTTCAGCGTCGCAGAACAACATGGTAAGCAAGAAACTTGGGATGAGGAGGCACCAGAATATCATGACCATAACATATCTGATGCCTCTGGTGCTGAATCTGATGATAACTTAAGGAGTCCACTCCTTTCACGTCAAGGTTCAAATGCAGATAAGCCAGTCAATGGAAGTTTTATGCAAGGAAATGCTGGCGAACAAGTTGGTACTATGGGTATTGGTGGTGGTTGGCAGCTGGCTTACAGAAAAGATGAGAAAGCAGGAGGTGGTCTGAAAAGAATATATTTGCATCAAGAGAGTACCCCTGGTTCACGACGTGGATCCATTCTATCACTACCTGGTGCTGATCAACCTGTAGAGGGTGAATATATTCATGCTGCTGCTCTTGTTAGCCAATCTGTTCTTCGTCTGGATGATGTCCGGGGTCAAAACTCCATTGTGGAAGCTATTGACAAACCAACTAAGCCTGCTCCCAGAGGACCTGGTTGGAGGGATCTCTTTGAGCCAGGAGTGAAACATGCTCTGATTGTGGGAATTGGAATTCAAATACTTCAACAGGTAAATTCATAATTCAGGCATCAAAATTCAACATATATATGATTTTCTGAAAAGAACCAGATGAATTCTAGTCATCAGTTACTGTTGTATTACTTAAGCACTAGTATTCAAATGAAGTGTGGTTATTCCAATTTAGAATACATGAGAACTGACTTAAAAATCTACTGGTTATTATTTTAGCATTTAAACAAGTATGTTTCTTGACGTATTATTTAAGGAGATCTTCAAAGTAACAAGGTGTTCTGGTGCACTAGTGTTCTTTTCTTTTTTTTGACTGGATATGAGCTCTTTCTCCTAGCGTTATTATAAAACAAACAAAGTAATTTAGGCTCTTGTCTAGGTCAGACACAGACCAAATTCAGTGATAGAGCTTCAATAATAAGGTTGAATTGAATATGTTTGTGAAGATTTCTGATAAATGCATACGTATATCTTGTCATCGATGTCGACAGTTTATAACTCATTTCTTATATTTTTACAGTTTTCAGGCATAAATGGGGTGCTGTACTACACTCCACAAATTCTTGAACAAGCTGGCGTAGGGGTTCTTTTATCAAACCTTGGCATCGGTTCAGATTCAGCATCTCTGCTTATTAGTGGTCTTACTACCTTGTTAATGCTTCCAAGCATAGGCGTTGCTATGAGACTGATGGATGTTGCCGGCAGAAGGTACAATATCTCTTGTGCAACCATAAATTTATCAGATTTCATCTGTTTTTAAATATTAAATCGATCAGTTGGATACTGGAATTTATGATGTTTAGAAGTTGTCTTTTGTGTGGTTCATTTTAAGGCATGGCCATGATTAATTGAAACTAGTCTCGTTCATCGGTCTCTTTCAACAATACACCGTAGCTAATAAATATTACCTAACACCAATACTCAATGGAAAGGTATCTCAAAAAAGAAAAAAAATACTCAATGGAAAGTTGCTATATTCTGATTTAGTGACTCATTTATTAGCATTCAATACAGGAATTCCTAATCTAATTATTAGCATTTACCAAAAAAAAAGAAAAACTTAGAAATGGCTTTTCTTTTTGCATATTTAAAGCTTAAGAGTTTCAGCTGTGATTGAGATTGACTCGAGTATTTTCTTTTTCAGGATGCTTCTTCTGTCTACCTTACCTGTCTTGATGGCATCTCTGGTCATACTTGTCCTTGGTAATGTAATTGACCTAGGTGAAACCCTTCATGCTGTTATCTCCACCGTTAGTGTGGTTGTTTATTTCTGCTGCTTTGTTATGGGGTTTGGTCCAATCCCAAACATCCTCTGCTCGGAGATTTTCCCCACCAGAGTTCGCGGTCTCTGCATTGCAATATGCGCTCTTGTATTCTGGACCTGTGACATAATAGTCACCTACTCACTTCCCGTAATGCTCTCCTCCATTGGTCTTGCCGGTGTATTCGGCATTTATGCTATTGTGTGCAGCATTGCTTGGGTTTTCGTGTTCCTGAAGGTTCCTGAAACAAAGGGCATGCCCCTCGAAGTCATTACCGAATTTTTTGCAGTGGGTGCAAAGCAAGCTGCAGCAGAAAAATAAGTAGTCCATTAAGGAACTTCGAATGAATGTGTGGTTCATCATTTTTTAGATGCAGAGGAACTGACTGAAGAATTTTGAGACCAGCAAAAAGCTCTAGGCTAGAAATGCAAAGTTAAAGGTGATATGCGTAGGAGGAGGAGGGGAAAAGAAAAGATGCTTACAGACGGGGTTTAGAACCCTTCAGCTTTCGCCTTATTCTTTTGCAAAATCTATGTATACTTCTTTTGTTTCTTTTGGGATTGAATATTGATTCTTGGGTTTTTTTTTTTAGAAATTCAGATGAATCCTCACCTTGTCCAACATCGTTTATGAGCTAGTCCTCCTGCCGTGGGTGACCCTTTTTCTGTTCAAAATTCTTGAAATTCTTAAACTAGGCAGCATATTGCTCACTTAAATTTGTGAATCAATCAACCCAGTAAAAAATCTCGGTCAGTTTGTAAAGAATGATCATTCTCTGATTTGTTGATGTTGTAGTATTGTCCAAGGTGATAATCTTCCATTTTCCTGAACAAAACATTATCTTAGTAGTAATGTTACGCTGTGAAGTTTAATTCTCTCAACCATTGAGATGAATGCATAATAAGCTCCTACCTCATAAAATTCAAGCTCCAACCTTTTGAGCTTATAAGCTAGAAGAATTAATAGTACTCTCTTTGTCCAATAATTATTGTCGGTTTGAATTTTTATTTATAGTATAATTTCAACTAAAACTGAAAATTCAAACTGGACAATAATTTTGGGACGAAGGGAATATATTAAATGAGATCTCAGTAAAAAAACATACGATACATTGGAGTTCATCACAATGAAACCATTTTTCGTAAATTAGCAAAGAAAGCGCTTCCTGTGCCCAAAAGGCTGTTTCCTTTTGAAGCGCGCCAATTAGGACCTTTTCTTTTGTTGTTGCAAAGGGGGGACGACGTCGTCCTATCTTTAAGCAATCGCGGGAGGGCAAATTCGTCATCCTCTCGTACGAGCCTTAATATGATTTTTTGGGTTAGATATTCACAGGTTTGCTGGGATTTAATCAGATTCAGAATTTGGGATACTTATTGTTCCATCTTCGTGAGAAAAGCTTGGAATTTTGAATTGATTCTGAAACGAGTCGAGTCATTTTTGGCATCCATCAATGGAAGTATTGAATCGAGAACTGTTAGAGAAAAGGCCCGGCGTTCTGGTGATCGGATCTCCCAACGTTGGCAAACGCACCCTTCTTTCCAGTAACTTCTCTCTCTCTCTCTCTCTCTCTCTCTCTCTCTCTCTCTCTGTGTATAGCTAATACTACTACTATGAAGTTTTCCTTTCCTTTGAGTTCATAACTTTCGAGTTTCAGCTTCTGATTCCTTGCTTATGATGTTTTCAATTGGGACCATGTTTTGGTTGTGTTGGCCGTTACAACTGTGTTTTCAGTTCGTGTGGAGAAAATTCTACGCAATTAAACATATGTTCTTGGTTTCCGTGGTGACTGTATACAGGGTTTTGATTTGTGGGCGTGTCTGTATGAGTGTTTTTCACTTATGTGCGTTTACTAGCAAGACTGGGTTTTTCTGCTGCCCATGTCAATTTATTGCTCTTATGTGGTATAAGCTTCAGTTATTCAATGTAGAAGACCTCGACAAGTGCCATAATTTTGTTTTTTCTGTGATGACTTTGTGTTCAACCATCATTATTTTCATCTGGATGTAAGTAAGTTTATATGTATCTTATCGCTTCTTGACTGGAATGTGCGAAAGAAGGACTTTTGTTTGTTTTGGGCTCAAGAATAAAACATGCAAAAAAAATTTCTGTGAAGATTTTGGATTTTGTGAATTGCAAACTTTTCATTTTCACATTGTTTTGATGTAGGACTGCTATCCCTGGATTTTGAAGGCGCCTCTGATTCATCATCTGATACATCTGTCTATGGGTGAGTTACTGATTCCCTTTGCCTGTGTGTTTGTATATCTGCACAGGTGTGTGTATACATGTTTTCTGATGATGCCCACTTGGGTTCATTAATCAGCTGGACAATCAACACAAAGTACTACGTAGCCGATGTTTCTCTTTGGATGGCTCATCTTAATGATGAATTTTCTATTCAGAGTTTACCAACATATGAACGGCTCGCTGCATTAGTGATGGTTTTTGACATGAATGATGTGAGCCTCAACTTTTTCTTGTTCTCTATTAATTTGTACGTGTTTCCTTTCTACATTTTCTTTTTGGTATTCCTAATGCCAATCCAGAGTTGGATATGATACTCGTATCTTTCGGTGCAGCTTTCTTCTTTCACGGCCCTTCAGGAGTGGGTATCCCAAACTGATATCCGGCAGTTTGACGTGCTTTTATGCATTGGTAATAAAGTGGATCTCCTGCCTGGTCATCCAGCTCATGTCGAGTACAGAAGACGTCTGTTGAAACTTGATCAATCTTCTGGCACTTTTAGCGCAGAACTGGATTATGGAATTTCTGAAACTGAAGGCAGTAGCTTATTAGGAGAAGAAAATTCATCTTGGGAGCTCAAGAGATCTTGCATTGACTGGTGCATTGAGCATAACATTGAATTCATTGAAGCTTGTGGATCCAATGCCGATTTTGATAATTGTGAGGTTTTTTCTCTCCATTTCAACTGCGTTAATTTTTCTTCATTTCTTTAGGAGTAATATTGGAATTTACTGGAAATCAATTTGACCTGGTGGCGGTGTACGGGCTTTTTGCTGAATTGAGCCATAAACTAACTAAGTGATTTGTAGTTATGTCAAACTGTGGTTTTCCAAATAAAACGATTACTAGTGTAACACTCACAGTTGCTACTATGTTTCCTTCATTCTGTTGAGCCTTGGCAAGGGGGGAACATTATCTTCTTATAGTTTTCGGCACTTTTTTGGTTACGTTCTGTCTCTCTTCCTGCCAATGCAATTATGGTTTGTCGAATCTTTTGATTTAAACATGTTATGGCAGGTTTGTCTGTGGATGGTGATTTACAAGGTGTTCAGCGCCTTTTTGGGGCGCTTTCTGCTCATATGTGGCCAGGAATGACATTGAAATCTGGTGATAAGATTGATGAACCTTCATTACCTGAACAAGAAGGTAGCTCGTGTTACTAACATTATTTTTGGCATAAGATAATGTTTAGTCTTCCTCTTTCGAATCTCAATTTATTGGACACCCCTCAGAAGCACCTTAACTTTGTGTTTTCTCTGTTCAGAGTTGTCAGAAGAAGAATCAGAGTTTGAGCTCGAGTATGAGATCTTATCTGCTGGTTCAGCTGATCCATGGGATGGTACAGAGGCAGAATGGGTGTCAGCAAATGCTGATGCTACAACTTCTGGGACTAGTGGAGCAATGGAGACTGTTAATGCTAATGGTTCTAATGGAAATGGTGAAACCAAGACTGCCGACAGGGAGCTTCAGCCATCAAAGTCTACAGCTAAATTACAAAGCGTGAGTAATGAGGAAGAAGGAATGAAAGTGCATTCTGCAGACAATAACTTAGAGCCTGATGAGGGCAATACATATAACTTTGAGGACCTGGAGCAGTTGATGTCCGAGATTGGGAATGTGCGGGACAGCCTGAGGCTTCTACCAGATTTTCAGAGGAGAGAAATGGCTGCCAATCTAGCAATGAAAATGGCTGCAATGTTTGGAGATAGTAGTGAAGACGAAGGACTTGACTGATGGACTTGGTTTTCCACAGTTTGGAGACGCTTTTACACTTCTTTCGGGACAGAGGGAAAGGAATGCAATGGCATTGAATTTTTTTTACTTAAAATGATGGATTTTCTTTCATTTCCTCATTCGGGAATATGCTTATGCATCGGAAAATCAAATTTAGTAAGATTTCAGGAGAAATGGGGCTAATGGAAGAAGAATGAGAAAAAGTGTGCGAGATAGAAAATGAGGAGTGATTGTAGTGGTGATCTTGTTGCAACTGTTTATGCAATATTTAACTTGTTTAAAATTACTTAATGTCTTTTAGAGGTCTAAAAAATTGAGAATATTGTTTGTTGAAAAAATTGAGTAATCAAGGCAATTAACTAATAAATACTAGTAAAATAAAAATAAAAATAAAATTTTATTTCACATCCTTGTAATAATTTCTTTTTATGTGATGATGTGATTGATTAGCTGCATTATTATAAAAAGTGTGGACATATATAATAGATACACACAAAATGTGTCGATGACTATATCCATAATATTATATTAAGAGAGAAATCAGAGAAAAAACACAAATAAAATTCTAAAGATATTACTTAAGATAATATGTGTCAGTTTTCTAATGAATAATTGAAATAATATTTTGTGCAATTATGCTCATAGTCCTTGAAATTTCCTGTAAATAAATTTTATCAAATCGCATTTAAACGTTAGTTAGTTGAAAATGGAAACATGCGGAGAGTTAATGGACGAAAAAAAAACTCAATCAAAACACATTAATGCATTGTAATTATTTTTCCCAAAAATTAGGGCAGGTAAACAAATAAAAGGATAATAAATCATCAATCAATAGTATCTATCTATCTATCTTTAGTATTATACTAAGAGAAAAATTAGAGAGAGAAAACAAAAACAAAATTCTAAAGGTGTCACATAGGATGTGTCAATTTTCTAACTAATAGTTGAAATAATATTTTGTACAATTGTATTAATAGTCTTTGAAATTTCCTGTAAAGAAATTTATCAAATCGCATTTAAACGTTAGTTAGTTGAAAATGGAAACATGCGAATAGTTAATGGGACAAAAATTACAAAAAAAAAAAAAAAAACTCAATCAAAACACATTAATGCATTGTAATTATTTTCCCCAAAAATTACGGTAGGTAAACAAATAAAAGGACTAATAAATCATCAATCAACATTAATGGGATATTAACATTATTGTGGCGAAATCAAAGATTAGAATGAGAAGGTAGTATTTCTATTTCCTTTATGAAAATTAAACGTAAAATATGGTAATCATTATGTTTAAATATTGATTGGAAAAACAAATAGTAATGATTAATACATGATCAATTAGAGGGGAATAAGGTTTGTTTTGGATAATAATACTCCGTAAATTACTGAACAAAAAAGGATTCATTAACAACAATTGATCCCCTTCAAATTTTAAAATGTTCACTCACATAAAAAAAAAAATATATATATATATATATGTGTGTGTGTGTGTTTCCACACAAATTTTGGAATCATAACTATCCATTTTTCAGGGGAAAAAAATCACGCAATCATAGGGAGCTGTTTTTAGTTCCTACATAAACTTCAAACCTTGACCATATTTATATGTGAATAATGTGAAACAATCATGCATCGAGCTCCCCACCTCTCCTCTCTCCCTCAATGGCCCAATTTTGTCTTTCTCCAAAAGTGCCAGCTCTTCGAATGGAGCACTGTCTTGCTTCTTCGTATTGGTATAATTTTGAGTGCAGTTTTAGTTTTGTATTTTGGTATAATTATTGAAATTTTTGTAGTGTATGCGCATCAAAATATAGAAGAATTTCAAGTGCTTCATTATCATGGTAAGGTCGTTCCTTTTCTCTTCTTCCTGATTCTTTGGATTTTAGTTGCTCTTCACAACACATTTGGTAGTTTGATGCTGATTAATAAGATAAATAGATTTCTACTTCAAATCAAATATGGCCGCCGACAGAAAAAAAAAAAAAAACAAATGTTTATACCTATTTGCAAAATCTTACGGTTTTATTATGCAGTTTTTTCTTCTTTTTTTTTGTTGTTGTATTTCAATTCACTAATCACCATTTTCTTTTCTTTTTTTTAAAAAAAAATTAGATAGCTCCAGCAAGAATCAATGAAAACATATATTTTAATAGTCATCAACTAAATAAATTATCTCCTCATAGTTATGTTAATCTTTCTAAACATGTAATTTCGGTGGAACAGCTTTCTCTTCCGAGGAAAGGTAACATTTCACATTACAACGTTATATATCAACTCTGGTGAAACGTGCAATCGTTCCCTACCAACTACTCTCCGACGATTTTCAATTTGATTTGTTCGTCCTCATTTTAAAAATACCTCGCAAGTATAATAAATCTATTGAATGCAGATAAATTGATGCTAATGTGCTATAAATTATAAAAAATGTCTAATTTTCACTATGGGTTATTTTTATGGCGTGTTATCTTTGACATCAAAAGCTGTGTTTTTTTAAACACATACTCTAAGTAGCCTTTATTAATGGAATGGGAAAAATCCTAAGGCTCCGTTTGGTTAGATTGAATTATAATTGAATTAGAATTACAATATTATTGAATTGAAAATAAGATATAAATATTGCAATTCAATCTTAATTCTTTTGTTTGGAAGATCTTAATAATTTACTAGAATTAAGGTTGTAATACCAATACTTGCGTTTGGATGCTATAGAATTTATATATTAGAATTGCTTGTTGTTTAACTAATCAAAACAATTCTAACTTTTTTTATTAAAAAAAATGCATTTTTTGTATATAATTTGCTGTATTAATTTTGTAATTAATTATATACAATAGACAGTTATGATTTTTTTAATTATGTGAGGATTATTAATATGATAATTGAAACTTTCTTCTTCTCAGTCAACACACACAAATAATAAATAAAATCTCCTTGTTTCTCTCCGTTTTATTAGATTTTAAAATTTTTAATTTCTAATTTTTGGATTTTTTGGGTAATTTATTCGCATCTTTTGATGAAAAATTTAATATTTAATATAAAAATCAGTTTATACATATTAGTATTCTTTTATTAACTACTCTCTCTGTCCCAAAATTATTGTTCATTTTGGATTTTTATTTTTAATATTATACTAAAGATATAATTGATTATGTATGCATAAAAAAAATTTATTACAGAAAATCATTTATGTGAAAGTTATGATCAATAAACAAATAAGTCCCGGATCAAACATCTTTTTTGTTTTCTCATTTTATTTTTAAAATTTTTGGAACTTTTGAAATATTATATTTTCACAATTCTAAAATAATTGTTCAATTTAAAATTTTATTTATAGTGAAATGCTAAACCGAACAATCATTTTGAGATCAATGAAATATTTGTTTTAGCGCACAAAATGTATATAACAAATACAGAGAACTTTTTTGAAAATAATGCAGAAAAAATTTACATCATTTACTATCATATAACTCTTCCTTGACCAGAGAAAATGCAATTTCTCATCAATATTTTTAAATATATTTTGGGTATGGAAATATTTTAATAAACTTTTTGCAAAAAAATTATCATATTAGGTTAAAAGAGATAAATTTTGATAGTTAAAATGTTAAAATTATCACAATGTTGTATTTCATATATTTTAATTCATTATATAAATATTTTTTAAAAATGGAGAATAAGACGAAAACAAAAAAAAAAAAAGAAGCACACATTGTGCGGACTAGGAGGGAGACAAAAAAAAAATTAAAAAATAAAAAAAAAAAAGTTAAAATGTGAATGTATTCTCATTAGTTTATAACGTATAGGGGTGTGATTCGATATGGAAGTTTCCCCTGCATCCGGGTCAAATTCTAGATAAGAGGAACTGACAATGGTGAATACCTCTTTTGTCCTAATGTTATCGTAAGGCATTCTAATTATTCTTAAATTTCTGTCATTAAAATGTAATTTATAATAATTAGAAGAACATAATAAATATGAAATAAATTTTCAAGATTTTATTTTAAATTAAAAAAATATAATCAAAATAATTTATTATAAAAATCGGAAGGAACATTCAGAAATCATGGAAATATACAAAAATACTTTTTGATTAAATACAGTATCGATCTCTGATATCTTTGATTTCATCTAGGAGTACTGTGTAGGTAAAAATAATCCTAATGATATTACAGTTAATTTACTTTTCTTAAGTGATTTTTTTGCTTCCTTAAAGTATAGTGAACGATTTTGAATGTCAAAAAAAGATATTCTATAAGAAATATATTAGAGTATAATATGAAATATTGAAATTGCTGTAATCAATTAGCAAAAGAGGGTTGCCATGCGTAGAATAAGACATTAGTTAGTGCTTCAAATTGGACAAATATGTACGCCCACAAGCATCAACTTCATTAATCCAATTCATTTATTTACATCAAAACACCAATTTCAAGTTTCAACAAATACATATATACACAACTCCTAGACGTTTCTTTTTCTTTTCTTTCTTTTCTTTTATTTTTTCAAAACTCATTTCCATGAGGTCAACTTATAAATGTGAAAAGAGATTTCGACTTATACAATTTTTTCCTTTTAATATGCGATAAAAATGACTTTAATAGGAATAAAAACATTATTTATACATTTTTACCAAATGTTTATTACTACGAGAGAACTATTTTATTATTGATAGTAACCATTTATTTGAATAGGGATATTAACCATTTTGTTACCTATATTTGATTTGGTTTGCTATTTTTTTTTTCCATCTGGGATTTGACAATTTTTCCATTTTACTTTTCGTAATGTGTTCCCAAAAAATATTTCCAGTGTAAGGATATGTTAAGTGCACTCGAATCTTGATCATTTTCCTGACAGCCTAAACTGCATGTTTCTTTTTTCTTTGCGAAGAAACATAAAATGAACAACATTTCCCCGAAGTTATTTCACTCACAAAAGACACCCTAGATCATAAAGCATTTAAAACGTATATGAACTTTAGTGTTTAAAGATCATGCATGATTTTTCATTCGATCACAACATTTGTTTAAAAAAAAAAATCATTTTCCCATTTTTCCCCTTTTTTTAGTTACTTGAAGGATTTAAAGTTGTTTTAGTGTATGTTTTAATTTATCAGTGCGTACATAATTTGCACAAAGTCTTATCATTCAAATATAAATAAATTTTAACAAATTTAAAATTTGATATGTTTTTATCATAAATTTATATAAATAAACCCCGCATATCGTGCGGGTTTAACACCTAGTAACACTTGAAAGAAATGAGAAGTTCCAACTTCAAACAATCGGACTAGAGTCACCAAAAAGCAAAAATTGATATTCTAAAAGAGAATACACACTTGTGCTTTCTTTTTCAAGAAACAGCACAGTTGGTAAAGTCCATAATTTCATTCAAATCGAACGGGTAGTTCAAAAAGGGTTAGCAATTTTCGTCCTTATAAGGACTATATAACAAGGACTTACCATATTAGTACTTTATGATATTCTTCAGCCTTTCATAACTTTTCACCACGAAATAATATTCTAATATACAGAGCAGCTACAAGGGAGGGTAGTACATAACATGAACAAGTATCATAGAATGTACTCAACTTTGTTGAATACTGAACAAACTAAGTGTGAATTGTTAAAGTCGATTAGTTTCCTATAGAACAATGAATGAAGGTATCTAAAACATTGACATTTTAGAGAATATTTCTAATTGGAAATCCATGCCAATTTTCTAGTGAATGTTTTAGAGACATTCATTGGTTGTTTCTATTTGGCAATTTAGTCACTTTCATATAGTTATTTCTAGTGAATGCTTTAAAGACTTTCATTCGTTATTATATGGCAAACTGATCGACTTATATATACATATATATTTCTATTTTGCAATTTAGTCACTTTCATGTAGGTATTTCTAGTGAATGTTTTAGATACCTTCGTGCATTATTCTATGGATAATTAATCGACTTTATATATATATATATGTAGATATATATTTGTATATAAATTGAATGGGGGCCTCTATAGCTCGAGTCGTAGAATACCTTCTGCTTTCAAACATAATTGTTAAGCCAAAAGCTACAATAACATGTCTGCAAATTTTTTTGACAAGTGCATTGGTTATGTACCTCAAATCTCAAAGTGAAAATATGCTTCTAAACCAATACCCCAAGCTCTCTAAGGATATGCACAAAATATTTGCATGAATAACATTCAAAACTTTTAATGACCATTGTGCTCTATATTTGGGCCGTGGAAAAAATTTTATTTGATTCAAAAGTTTCAAACATCCTATTCATCTCACCTTGTCAAGGGTAATAGGAAATCAATCTCATTTGCCTATTCAGTATAATCATTAGGAGAAATAGAAAAGATATGAGTTCACGAGGACCTTCCAACCCAAATCAGGATATCATCATATCTTGATAATGTCCTACGTAGCTACATACCATACGACTAATGACTAATGAGAATGTAGTAAAAGTGCTACACTGCAAGCTAAAATAAAAATTGCTTTCCAACAATTTGCATAATGAAAAGAGAAATTTCTGAAAAAGATTCAAAATTTGATAATTAGGAGCCAAAAGAAGTTTGATCCAAAATAGTTCATTAAATTACTCCCACTAAATTGATCTAGAATAAATATGATGTCCACAACGACAATACGAAATGTCGTCGCAACTACTTTTAACCCATTTCCCCAAATTAACTATTAATTTCTCCTACTTCAATGCACATGCTCAAGGATTGAGATACTTTCTCGTTTCTGTCTTTGGTGCGGTCCGTCTAGTAAGAAGGATGAGATCTAATTCTAACAAAAATGAACAAAAGAAAGACCAACCAGAATCTCAAATCCACTTGAAGCATTTTCTTCCTCACTCTCAATCTTTGACATCATATTTCAGGTGACGATCAATAGCAGTCTCAGCAAGGTCTTCAACAACAACAAGGTGAGGTTTCCACTCAAGGAACATTTTGTTGAGATGGATAAACAGATTGATAGATTCTTTGGTAGTCAGCTTGATGGATGTGAACTCCTTCACCATGTGATCCATCTGCATCAAAAAGGACTCTGAAAGCTTCTCGAGATCAGAAACGGTGCGGTAACCACGATCCCCAACACGTGCTTCAAAATCTTTTTCTCAACAGGATTTGGGACACTGATTTTCAATCTGGCGTCATGAGCTTTTCCTCACAGAGGAGTTGCAAACCACCTTGAATTTCCAGTCGTCACACACCTTCTTGAGTACCCCAAACATCTTCATATATGTGTCGGCGAAGAGTGGGATGTGAGAACCATTGATCCTACCTTTCTTCTCCAGCTCCTTGCTCTTGTTCCTCATATTCATAACTTCAGTAAGAACCGACAAGAAATCCTCTCCAACCTGATGAAGTTTCATCACTGACTTGCATTGCATCTCCCAGCGTTGCTCCATGGTCATCTCTTGATAGGCGGCGTCTGAATTTCTTGTTAATTTGGTAGCTAATATTTTGTATTTTTCTAAGTGATTAACAAATTGAAAGTTGGATTTCAAAATTGGGGGGTATATATATGAAATTGACTACCTGAGAATCAAACTTTAGCATTAAATTGGCCATTTTTCTTTACCAAAAAATACTAATTTGTGATTGGAAGGATGAAATTGGCCTGAATATTAAACATTAAGATAAAATTGACCACCTCAAAATACTTTGGGATGAAATTGACCGGAGGACCAAACTTTAGGACTAAATCGACTATTTTTCCCACATACTTAAAAGAAGTTACAAGATTTGGTTACAAGATTCAAGAAGACATGTATTTTCAAATCCCAAAGCCTTAAATAAAGCTATCGAATGAATAAAAAAGAATGCGTTCGTATCCTACACAGCTAAATCATCAGTCATTGATGAAAGGTGCAGGGGATTAAAGCAAGTGATGAAATGTTTCAACAAATTAATAATATTTCTCTTGGGCATTTTATTGAACACCTGAATCAGAACCAATGCGTCTCAACCTAAAATGGGGCCTAAAGCAAATTTGTAAAATGAGACCTTTTTAAAATTCGCTCGAGTATTTTGTTTTTTTTTTATGTTTGTTATAAATTTAATCATATTGGAACCATAGGTACGCTTTAGTTGAAATTTCATATATGAGTGTCATATGAATGGAAAAGGAAAATACTAGTATATAATCACGATACAGTTTTTATCTATTTTGTCTTTGATTTTCATCATATAAAAAGTTAAAATATTTGTTTTGTAACATACATACAAATAAAAATTAATCAATTATGAAAAACAAAAGATGCTAGTTACTATATGTTAGCACTTAACCGAACCAAAAAAAAAAAAGAAATATATTTAAAAAAATCATACATTATTATGATTTTACTCAATAGTTCAAAAAGATATACAAACAAATCATATGGTGTCAACAAGATATACAATTTGTATACATGGATGGGGTAAAATCTAACAAAAAATTAATTAAAGTAGAGAGAGATTATTTTAATGTTTGGCGTAGTGAGATATGGCGAAATAGTAGTCGGAAAGATTGAGTATTAAAAGTTAACTAGATGAATCAAACCCGCTTCGTGCGTACGAGTTTAAAAGAAATATGATGCAGAGATGAGTCATTGTTCAAAGAGTTTAGCTAAAACGTCTATAAAATACATCACTAACTATTACTTACAAATTATAAAATATAAAAGACTTAAAACTTTACTAAAATTAAGAATGCATTCATGTTTCTAAATTTTTTTTGTTAGAACCAACGTTATTTTTTAATCTTGCAACTTATCTTCATGTTCGTGATTAGCCAAAACTTGCACATTAACGTTCCAATTGGGTTGTCAGAAAAATAAATCAAAATAAACTTGTAAAATAAGAAAAAAAAGAAACAAAAGTTGGATAAGAGATAAGTAAGAAGAAGTGAATAGAAAAATGAAAGACTCCAAATAAAATATGATCCTTAAATAGTTTTAATAAAATATATTATAATGGTTACTAAAATAGTAGATGAAAAGACTCCAAATAAATGAAGCAACTAACAAAAAATAATGTAGTTAAAAACAAAAGACTAAGGAAGATGAAAAATACAACTTCTATAAAAAGAACACAAAATGAAGGGAAGATGAAAAGAAATGAAACATTTTATAATAAATAATAGAAGATGAAAGAAATGAAACGTTTTATAATAAATAATAGAAGATGAAAAGAAATGAAAATTTCAACAATCTCAATTAAAGATTACGATAAACATAACAAGAGAAAAACGAAGAGGTGCACTAAGTTTGACTTAAAAAGTAAAAAAAAAAAAGCTAAAAATTAAAACAAACAATAAAAAAAAAAGAAGCATGTGAGAATTATGTGAGAGGACTACCAAGCCCAATCCCATATTCCCTAATTATAATATATATTGATTAATTAACTGAGATAATTTATTTTGATATGGGTGATTTAGGATTTGTTATTATCATTTAATGTCAGGAACAAAGTTATAAAAATAGGCCCCTAAATTAAGGAATTAAGATATTTTAATTATTTAATCCCTCCAATTAATTTGATTTTATGTTTAAAATATCAATACTAAAAGGCCCATCAAAATTGGGGCTTCAAAGTTGGGGCCTAAAGCCCTAGCTTCAATTGGCCTATGTGTCAATTACCAAATTGGCTGAAAATCAAATGGCAGAGTTCATTTTATTATGCATATCTACATGAATTCCAAACGATATTTTATCCAACGCAAACCAGGAATGGTTGGAAATGTGAGAAAACGACTGGATATGAATACCATTAGAGGGGGGACAATATAAGGGGAAGTGAGTATACAAGTACTATGGGGATTCATATTGAAAATTTGTTGGCAAACTAAATCAATGTTGCTTCATTAACCCCTTTAAGGATCCGGAAACTTATATGGACAGTGAAAGCCACAACAACTATACTCCCTCTGATTTTTATTATAAGTCATTTTGATTTCATCTTAGATTTAACCTAGAATGTATTTTTAAATGTAAAGAAAAAAACTTTAAAAATATATATTCACATTAGTTGTATTCTTCTAATTATTATGAAGAATACAGCTTTAACACCAAAGAAAATAAGCAATAGTCTTATTCCCTTCCCTCAGACCCAAGATAGCGGCCCTAAAGGGATTATGCATGCTACTTCTTCTCCCAGCTAAAGAAGCACCAATTCAACTTCTGAAGGTAATAACCCCTGGAACTGTTGTTTGGCAAGATCTCTGTAAATTGTGTCCTTTGGATTATCATGGGGATGATGATTAGTGTGAGTCGGAAGGCGTAACTGATCACGAGGATCGATGACAATTCTCTTCAGCGCAACAACATTTTCTAGGAAATACTCTACGAGTTCCATCTCTGTCACACGTCCGGTGTATCCCAATATTTCCACAACTTGAAGACGTTCTAGGGGAAAGGCCAATCCTTTCCACGAAGCCCTACGTTTCTTGGGAGGTTTACTTAGCGAACCAAACTGAAAAAATGATAACTGATATGAGACATTGAGAAAAAGACATAACACCTGATTCGGGGGGGTGCATTAAAGCCAAAACAGCGTACCTTCACAATAAACTTCTCCAAGTTTGGCGATGCCCTTATCAAAGAAGTAAATGGAATCAGGCTCTCGTCCTTTGGTCCCCCAACAACAACAGTTAGTTGCTTCAATCTCGTTAATTGAGGAACTGCGACTACACCTCCAACATCTTCGTAGTAATCCTAGAATGTAAAGAAATACAATGGTAACGAAAAGGCATTAGATAATTTTTGACTTGCATATAATACAAAAGAACTTCCAACGAAATTGTTGAGACTAACATATGTAATATCACAGGCGAGGACTTTGAAGGTAAGAATCTCCAGCATTGACAGGCAGCAACAAAGACAGGAGATCATTCTACCAATAGAAAACCCAAGAGGCGACCAGACAATATTTAAATCCACAAGGTTAGGCACATTCTTGATCACCAGACTGTTTTTGGCCCTTTCAGTAAATCTAAGCGAAACAAGGTTAGCTCCAGATACAATAAGAGAAACTAATTTGGGGCAATCAGTTATCTCCAGATGTTTCAATGCAAAGGACGGGCCACAGACTTCAAATTTATCAAGAATATGAGAGTTGTTCACAGTCAGACATTCAAGGAAAGGGCAATTGTGCAAGAAAAATCTGACAACTTCCCCAGACACTGCTACACTCTTAAACGCCAAAGTCCTGAGGTTCTTAAAGACAAAAGAATTGATGCCATCAGGAAATGGGGCAGAAGGATTCTCATAACTGGGCCCGAGGAGGTCAGGGGGAAAAGCATAAGCCTCCCTGACCTCAAATGAAAAACCATCATATCTTAAGAGGTTCAACTCTAAACTCTGCAAGTTCCTTGCAGACGCATAGTGAAGCCATTTATCAATCTCATCTCTAGAGGAGTTGTTCAAATCAAATCGAATTCTAAATACATCCAGCGCAGTGGCTTTGTGCGATTGCAGCACCTTGTTTACCCAATTAATGTAATTTTGACGGTTGATTCGGCGTAATTCATGATACTCAGAATACTTCAGTTCTTCAAGCCCTTTCCACACTTTTGCAGTGTCAAAATCGAGTCCAGACACAAACAACCACAGATTAACCCAGCGTTTTGACAAAACACTTGTCCTAGCAGCATCTTCAAGCGTTAAATATGAAAGTATAGAGACGAGAACGTCATCTGGGCACTGACTAATCCCATCCTCTAGTTTCTGCTCTTTCTTAGAACACTACATGAGGAGGAGGAAGGAAAAGAATAAACTGGAGAAGCATTACAATCCGCCTAATAGACAACTCAAAATCATCAAAGATTTATGGGTTTACCTTTACATGCCGAAAATCAGAGGTCACTATCCTTCCCATCAAGATAAGAGCTTTGAGCAAATATGACTATCTGCGAGCTTCCTTTTAGAAACATCAAACACCCAGACAAAAGAAATCATTCAAGGCAAGATCTAGAAACGCAGCTGCGTGCCATATGTATTGCCAATTAGAAAACTTATTAGGTGAAAGAAGTTTAATTCATACAGTGCAGAGAATTTTTGAACAGAAAAATTTAATTTCAAAGTCACTAAGAAAAAAATAGTAACTATATCTTAAGACAGTTTTAAATCAAAAAAATATGCTCTATACCATATGAAGGTCAAAGTAAGCAACTTGGAATAGGAGGTTTCAGCAAGTAGTAATACTGCGAACTATTTCCCAGATGTATAAAATCGTCACAAACAAATAAAATCATAGCAACGACAGAGAAAGACCGTTCAAAGCTGGCAGCTGTCTTCAGCCAGAATCGTGATGAAGAGTTTGGAGAGGTAAGGAGACAAAAAGCCGGTTCATACAATCAGTCCAGAGCAAAACGAAGTTATCCAGATAAAAAGGTAAAAAAGAAAAGATAAAAATTATGTCCATCAAAACAAACTGCAACTCAGGTAGACATACACAACAAAGTATATCGATAAAAATCAGATCTTGGTTGAAAAAAAAGAAAAACAACATTGATAACAGATACATGAACGATAAGGGAATCCGTTCAAACAACAATAGCTACTCACGGTCTGCTTATCGCCGTCTCTCTTTTTGTTTGGCACGGTTGAGGAGGGGATAAGCCAACGCACGCTGTTAAATAAGTAATCAAACACTTTGAAATTCCAAAAATTTAGATTAGATGCTTTCAAAAAAAAAAAAAAGAATTAATGTATCAAAATTAGGTTACGCGGGAATTTCGACGCCTACGCTGCGGCCGCCTTAACTAACCGTGCCAATTAATATCGGAGCCATCGGTCAGCAGCACAAGTGAGTAGAGCTTTTATGGTTTAAGGTTTAAACCTATAATTCCCATCATGGTTTTTTGTGGTTCTTACATAAAGTTTTCAACAAAGATCTATTTTTTTTTTTTTTTAATCGGCGTACATGTTGCTCATGTCTTCCTGATTTCGAGCTTGTTTTAGTGTAAAAAAAAATTGGAACATCTTATCTGTGATTTTTTTTAAAAAAAAAAAAAATTCAATTTCATTAAATAAACAACAACATTGCAAAAACAAACGTACAAAACACATTGTTAGTTAGAAACTAACTACCACTCCCTCACCAATTTGCAAAACGTAACAAAGATTCGAAGATTCTAAGGACAAACAATTGCTTCAGTTCCAAGCTATTTTCCACAATCGGCATACGGCTCTAGATTGGATTGAATCTGTCATGCCCAAAGTACAAATCCTATTCCTTACCGTATCAAGAATAATTCTAGTTACCTCTTCAGATGATCTCTTTTGATTCTCATGCTGTCGTGCTGATTTCTCTCCTGCCATAAAAAGTAGTATAATACAATAGCAGCTAATAATAAAATACGGTAAGCCACATTAATCAAGTGTTTACCCCTCCATCTCCTTGAAGCCCTTAAAATCCCATGCTGCCAATCTGAACATGACCATTGAAATGGCACCTCTTGGCTGAGCGTGTTAATGCACCTTGTTGAGAAGGCGCATTGAAAAAACAAATGCGAGTGGGACTCCAATTCATTGTCACAAAGTACACAAGTTTGTCCTCTACAATTCAACCTCCAGGACCATGAAAAAGTTGGGATCATTCCACAATTGGGCAAGCACTTATCTCTGTGATTGTTGTAAGCTTTTTTACTTCTTTACTTGGATAAATTCCTTCTTGCTCTGGAGTCTGCGCTGGACTTTTGCTTCATCATAGGTCTGGTTCTTTTCTTTTTGACGGGTTTTATTTTTACCCTTTTGATTTGGAAGGATGGCTGCACCCTGTAATTTTATCTGCTGAGAGCTTTTGTCCTCCTAAGATCAGTTTTTTAATGGCTACACTGTTCCCTTTGACCTCAATGTAGTACGGACCATGTTTTAAATTAAAACAATCTTAAGTAATAAGATACTAATTCTGTCACATGATATCTTCTCTGGATATTGTTTGCATTTTTTTTTGGGTTTTGCTGTTTCATCTTTTAGATTGTCAAAGAAGCCTGCAATTAGTTATATTTGCTGCAAGCTCTTATATTGATGGGGAAGCTGGTGAACTCTGATTTTGGGCTCATAAAGGTAATATATTTGATGATTTCGAACAGTAAGTACTGGTAAAAAAGTATTTGGCCGATTGTAATTATTTTCCTGTTTGTTCTTTTCCTCCATCCTCCCCACATATAGTGTGCTGAGAAAGAGCAAACACTTGTGGATTGGATTGATCAACAACTCCCAGATGAAATTCTTGTCTCCATCCTTTCATATTTGCCGCTTGAAGATGCCGCCAAGACAAGGTGTTCTGTCAAAACGTTGGGCAAATCTTTGGGGTTGCTTGTTTCTGGACTCAATTTTGACTCTGCAAAGATGTGGGAAGGGATAGAAGGACTAACAGATTCTCACCCTGAATCATTGTGCGCAAACAATCGTCAAAACTTCATTAATTGGGTGAATCAGGTGCTGCAAATCAATCAAATAAAGCCACTGTTTTGGATGTATTCAGGATTCGCTTTTATTTGAACAACTTCTCTGGAAATGATATTGATATAAGTGGCTTCAGTATGCATCAACCAGGAGAGTGCAGAGTTTAGCTTTGAACTTTTCAAAATATTGCGGTCTGCCGGGTGAACAGTGGCAGTCTTATGTTTTTCTTTCCTCATGACATCGATTATGGTGCATCTTTTGGCTTGAAATCTCTCAGAAACTTGGCGTCTAAGAATGTAAAGGTGTCTGGGGAAGTTCTTGAATTTTTCTTGCATAATTGCCCTTTTCTTGAACATCTTGAGAGTGCATACCTCTGATATTTTGAAACAATTTGAAGTTTGTGGTCTATCCCTTGCATTGAAACTCCTGGAGATAACTTATTGTATGTGGCTGGAATCCCTCATTGTGTGTGATACAAATCTTGTTTCACTTAAGTTTATTGATGCTTCTAGTGGTCTGGTTTTAAAGAATTGTCCGATGCTCGTGGATGTAAACATTGGCCGGTTGGGCTCTGGACCTAGCGTCCCTGAAATCATGGCCTGTCTCACAGATTGCCTGCTGACATTGGAAATTCTAACCTTAGAAATTGAAGCTGTGGATTTGAAAGATGTTAGTCTCAACTGGGTTCATTTTGGAAGTTTCTTCTTTTCTTAAATAAATTCAAGTACTCCCTCCGTCCCAAAATTATTGTCCAGTTTGGATTTTCATTTTTAGTTCAAATTGTATTAAAAGAGAAATTCCAAACTGGACAATAATTTTGGGACGGAGGGAATAGTATATAAACTACTGACTTTTGGGATTGTGATCATTCCTGATAAATGTAGAAGCTGCATTTCCTGAACTGCCTAAGTTGAAGCAACTTATTGTTGAGGTTTGGGCGCCAATAGATGAGAGCCTGATGACGTTAACTTCTTTGATGAGAGCGTCCCCCAACCTGGAAAAGTTTGTACTGAAAGTATATACAGTTAATTCTAAGTTAAATGTAATGCTTTTGTCTAGATGTCCCCGTATAAGGTTTTTTTTTCTTGTGAACACTTAGGTTTAAAATTTGTGCTTCTGCTGAATGTCTTCTTGTAAATCATGAAGTTATGTTTGCACACATGGCTCCCTAATTGATTGTTGCTTCTTTTTGATGCAGAAAATTATGTGTTTCCCATGTCTCCAACAAACAGGCATAATACTCTCCTTTTCTAGGACATGTTCTTTTTATTCTTGCATTTACACACATCTTCTGGATTTTTCAGTTTGATCGGCGGGGGAATGTTCCCGAGAAATGTGGGGATTCCGAGGAAGGTTAGGCCATTTCCCTCAAACATCTCAGAGTTGTTGAATTGTGGGGATTCGCTGGATACGCCACCGAAGTGGAACTCGTTTGGTGTTTGGTAAAAACTGGCCGTTGCCCTGAAGAGAATAATCATTGAGAGTCGCGATTGCGGTGCTGCTCATCATGCTGATGGTTGGCCTTGCGGAAGTCCCCCGGTTGGTACTCTGGTGAAGAACACAATCATTAGCAATGCTGCCAAACAACTCCAGGGATTATTACATTCGTAGGTTGAGTTGGTTTTGCTACAGCAAGTTGAAGAAGCTGCATGCATCTATCTCTGCTTATCGCTTTTAGCAAGTAGGAGAGGCTATTGTAATTTTTTGTAATTTATCTTATCTATTGAGGGAGGCTAGCTGTTGTAATCTTTGTTGTAACTTTATCTTATATATTAATATGCACTGGCGGATTTACAATCGGGGCACTAGGGAACGTGCCCCACTGAATTTCATGAATGGTAAATACAGCATATAGTTTTAAAAGAATTTAAAAATTAACCTATTTATTTTTTTAGTTAAATCTTTTTAGATATCTTATATTTTGTTATTCACATAAATTTTTATCACTTTAAGTTACTATGTGTTATTTATCGTTTAAATAGAGTATCACTATCCATTTGATGATAATATGTTATCTTAATTATTTAAAATTGTACCTAAAATATATATAACTTATATCAGTCATGTATAATTCACATGCAAATGAAGTGTAAACTTGTGCAAATCACGTCTATATGTTTATATATAAAGTTATCGAAAAATTGATTGATTGATATATGCTAGTCTCGTACCCCTACTAAAAAATATTTCTGACTCCGCCATTATTGATATGATAATGGACTAAATACTAGTAACACTTATTTTGAAAGGATATAAATTGAAGTTTGATTCGGGAAGGAAAGTAGTGTTTAGATAGTTTCAAGTAGTATTCCCTCTGTTTGAAAATTATTGTGTCTAGTTTAGAGTTTCACTTTTAGTTTATTTTGTACCAAAAAAAAAAATTCTTAAACTGGATAATAATTTTGGAACGAAAAAGGGAATATCATTTAGCTGTTGCAATGTAGTTTCGAGATATTGCTCAACCTCAACTTGTATACGAACTTATTAGATGTGTGTCTCTAATCACCATTACTTGGAATGGCTTTGCTCTGTTACTTAACAGTCGTATTAAACCACCATAAGCACTTGTCAAATGTTGAAATTACAAATTGGGATACATACTAAGAAAAACTGTCAGGCCGACCACGGATGACCAGTAAACTTGATGAAATACTCCTTCCGGTCTTTATTATAAATCATTTTGATTTTGTCTTAATTTTAACTTAAAATATCTTTTTAATTGAAAAAAAAACTTTAAAAATATATTTCTACATTCGTTTGTGTTTTTTTAATTATTATGAAATATTTTAAAGGTTTTTATTCTAATTAAAAATGTATCTTAGGTGAAATATAGAATGAAATCAAAATACCGTATAATAAGGATCGGAAGGAGTACATGAGATATAAAGGAGATTAAAAAAAAAAAAAAAAACCGTGTAACAGAAAGAGTCAGGTGTGAAAATGCTTATCCATAGTGAGAAAGAATTTTGAGCACGATACATAAGTTGAAAGATTATTTAATTACACCAAAAGGGTTGGTAAATCTACATCGAAGGGAACACGATAACAGATTAATTTTGGCAAAAGGGACACAACCCGAAACTGTTCAGTTCACCCGGGATATAATCATTTGGACTGCATACTTTGCCGTGATTGTTGACCGTGTCTATTGCGCAATGGTCTTGGTAAGTCAATAAAGCGATAATAGTATATATGCCTTTTCGGTCCAAAATAATCCTACCCGTTTTTTTGAGGTGTCAATTCTCAATACTCACCATATATATATTTTGACTAGTCTAGATTTTGCGGTTCTGGTAGGTTTAAAACATCAATTAGATCAATTCACTTTTTTAGAGCTACGGGAAAATTGGATTCTACGACTGGGTGGATTTTCGTTTGTTTCATTTCTCCAGTTGATATGTAACCTAGTTTGAATCACGATGAATGTTAATTCCTAGCAAGATAGTCGGTTTATCAAAATAATCTCACACAGACACTGACAATTTTTTTTTTTTTATTTCTTTTTGGCTTAATTATTTGTGTTTCTATTACATTAGTTATATACATTTTATAATTTTATTACGATGTGTATGCATGGAGAAGAACACAGTACGATTTTGATCCGACCAATTGACAAAGACTCAAACAACATGAAAATTAACAATTTACAAGCCTTTAAGAAGCTGGAGGAGATACAAGTTGCCAAATTGGTGAGAGAAAGAAAAAAGAAAAAAGGCTATTAGATACTTGGATTCAATAATTAAAAAAACTTCTTCTTGGCTAATTTATACTATAAGCTTTTACGTGAAAAGTTCACAAGATCAAATATACATGGTCGTGTTCAACAATTTGGAAGTTGAATATTGGGTTTCCAATGGGCGCTTTGGTGCCGCCAAAAAGATGGGATTCTACGGCTTTTCCCAGAAATACAGGCAAATATTAAATTAATTAGGTTGATTAAAAAAATTTCTTACAAACAACTAGGCAAGATTAACTACCGTAAAGTAGTACTAGTACTGATTGATTGGGGATAAAAAGGCAAAAAAAATATCTGGTGCACTTTTTTGTGATCCAAGATTCCCCCCAACTAAGAAATTTTTTTCAAAGTGCTTTTCATTCCATGGTAGATAAACTGCAGTAGATTGATGACCTTTTCCAACCCCATTTTGGATGGATAATAATAACCTTTTCTTTTTTTCTGGGGGAAACCTTCAAATATTCCTAATGCTTGTTTACACACTTTACACATCAATTAATATATGCGGCGAGACTTGAACTATAGGATAATTGAATCTGTCTTGTTGAAAACTTGAAATGACAACCATAATTAATTATACGAGCTTTTTCAGTGCACTCTGTGAACGTTTTCGTGACATTCGTACTTCTTCTAATGATTATACAAATTTACAAATATTTTAACAACAAATTATTCATTCCATCACATTTTAATAAAATATAGTACTCCCTCCGTTCCATAATTATTGTTTAGTTTGAATTTTTATTTCTAATTCAAAATTGTACTAAAAATAAAATTTCAAACTGAACAATAATTTTAGGACAGAGGGAGTAAAAGATAAATATGGTGATATAATAATGAAATGAAAGGAATGTGAACGGTTGAAGATGGTTTAATGGTCTTCGAGGGCAGAAGAATCATGAAGGTGGTGAAGGAGATCAATAAAATCGGACCACACAGAATTTTAATTCGGCTCACGAGTTCTGGATACGTGACCAAATTTTTTTAGGCTCTCCCACGAGAGATGAATAGGTTGCGAGTTGCAACGTTAGCCATTTCCCTAGCCAGCACGTAATATATGTTTTAATAAATGTTAAAGGAGATGAATCGTAATACTTGTGTGAAATAATAAAGACAGAGACTAAACAGTCAGTATTAAACCCGAATCCAAGGAAATTACTAGTAGATGTGATTTATTGAATTTTATGACCACGTTTCTATTTTTCACCAAACATGACACCCTCCCAAGTCCTAATCAATAACCATTCTTGTCACACGCCCTATAATTAAAACAACCTCGTCTAATAATAGTTTGCTTTTCCAGTTTTCAATCTCGAGTTGATTACATAGTAGTTCGCACTATTGCCCCATTAAATTAATACACATTAAAAATTGTAATTATCTCCATTTTAAAATATAGTAATTCTACTGTTGGAGAAATATTTCAAATATCATTTTAGGATTTCGAGACAAATTAATTATTAAATTTACAATTTTACCTTCAACAAATAATACTACTAAGTACTACTCCCTCTATTTCAAAATGTAGGCTATTTTAGACTCTGCACGTAAATTAAGAAGACAACTATCTTTCAATTAATTTGTGTGACATATATTTAATTTACCCATCATTAATTGTTTCAAAATTTTAATCAAGACTAGAAGAAAGTAGTTAGCATAATTTATTGAGGACAAAGTTGAGAAGTTAACTAATGATTTGCCTTAAAATCCTAAAACGACCTACATTTTGAAATGGAGGGAGTAATTCCTTTCCATTTAGTCTTATTTATATTTCAAATACATTTCTTTTTGGTACAAATATTTCAAATACTACTTTTAATGAGTGATATAAAAGATATTTAATACACAAGTTGACTGATGAATGATTGTATCTTAGTTTACGTATAAAATTCAGAGTAATTGTTTTTTTTAAAGTTCAAAGTAACTTATATTTGAAATGGAAATAATATTTTATCCATACAATTTATAACATGATTTTTTTTAAAAAAAAAAAAAGATTTAAGACAAAAAGAGCATTAGTTAAAGCTAATTTATCATGAGAAGTCGAGAACTACACAACATTCCAAACTAAAATTCAAGTTTAAAAACTACTTTCATATGAAATGTTAGGTTAGAAGAGCGTCTTATTAACCTCGGGATTCCAGATTAGTTAGGTAGTCGTGATTGATTGATTTCAGCCACTCCCTCTGCAACATTTGGACCGTTTCTTGAAGGACAATAGAAATGAAGAAATTCATGGAAAAGAACATACACATTATAACGGATTGAACCTTGTTTGCTCTCCATAGTACGTAATGCTGCTGTTTAGGAGCCATCTTGAACCGGCAACTTCGTTGCTCTTTCGTCTTCAAAACATGATTTTGATCGTCTTCCTCAATTTTTGTTTACTTTATTTGTTTCTTGCAAATGAATATTAGGAAAACAATTCGTCCCTAAAACACGCAAAACTCTCTCACGAATGATTTCATCACCAAGGATCTTCAATAACTGTAGCCACAAAATTAAGACAATCGAAAGGACACACCGGCCCCCAACTGTCCGTGTTTCAACCACAAAGATGTCATCAGCAACTGATACTGCCGCTAATTTAATCTACTACTAATTTTAATTTACCTCTTCTTGATTCAGGACAGATGTTCTTATTTGGCCAACATCTCATTTTTCATTTTGGTTTAGTTTTTGTTTTGAGTTTGAGATGTGGTTTAAAATGTATTTTAAGAGAAAATTTAAAAAATTATTTGAATAGTTTTTTAATTAAAATAATATTATTTTTTACCACCTCCACCACCTAATTTCGCTGCCGGACCACCCTCCTCCGCGCCCGGTCGGCGATCGGCAGGGAGCGGTCTCGCGGTGGCGGGCGGTTGTGACGGTGGACAAAAATTTTGTAAAAATAATTTTTGAAATATTTTTTAAAAGATAAGTTGAAATATTATTTGGATAGTGTATTGATTTTTGTATTTAAGAGGTAAAATAATTCAAAATGCAAAATGTAAGGTTGGGCAAACAATTCAGTCAAACGTGCTTAAATTAATTGTGTACTTTCTATTCTGTCTCAATATAATTAACAGATTTGTGAATAGAGAAAGACGACAAATTCTAACACAGAGAACCTTCTTTTTTTTTTTTTCCGTTTTCTTAAATCAATCATCGGAGGTACGTGGTGAAGTGCACAATATTTTTATACCTAAGATAAGAGAATCACTCTAGTCAAATCGAAAAGGAATAAATTAACTCTTTTTTTTTCTTCTAGCATGTCGTTTAAACTTTAAACTTTAAAGTTGTAAATTCAGTGGTTGTGAATTGGGTCATCTGATTCCATTTGACTTTGTCAATTATTTACATTATCATCTACCACTACCAATACTGGAGATTGGCAAATTATATTGGAGCAAATATTGCTCAAAATTCTCCATAGAAGAGAATACCCATCCCCACCCTCGGTCCCACCACCAAAAGAGCCAGAATAAACAAATTCACAAAATTACAAAAACTCAGACTGCCTCGAAAATAACTAAAATAACATGGGATCCGAATATCTAGAATTTTCATCGGATAAACTAAAAAGACTGATCTGGCTTCACGGTTCACCTCCACCTCAGCAACCCAAGCACACGTGGCGTCTCTCTATCTGTGTTTCAGTCTGCAGCTACAAAGATGACTTTACCCGTCACGTGCGACTCACATGGCAGGTCATCACTTTTCTTTCTACTTTTCTAAAAACCGGAAAAAGTTTTCTTCTTCTACCTGTCGAAACAGACAAAACGATAACAGTTTTCTTTTACAGTTACAGCTTCCATTTCCCTTTGCCCTCCTATTCTTGGGACTAATTTTTATCTAGGGCAGAAACGTGGCAGTATTCCTCGAAGTCGAAGCTGTCGTCGTACAATTTGAATTAGACTTAGCCTGTGCCGGAGTGCCGGCTGCCGGAATGGCCGGAAATTCCCCGCACTTATGACAGCGAGCAACGACCAGTATCTGCCGGCAAGAAGGGCAGGAGGAGTGGGAGCCAAGCCACGTGTCAATGCAGTTGACGTGGAAGCCGTGGCCGCACTGCGGCAAGATTCGGATCTCGTCGCCGTCGACGTACTCCGCCAGGCAAATAGCGCATTCCGACACGACCACAGCGGCGGCGGCGGCGGAAGCTTCGTTTCCGTCTTTGGATGACCCGTACGTATACTTGGGGAGCGACTGCAGCGTCTTCTTTTTTAAACCTTTGTTCGGCTGCCCGGCTGGGCGGCCGTCGCCGGTGGTTTGACGGCGGAGCCAGGCGCAGCGGGCGACGGCGATTAATCCAACGGCGCAAATAATAGCACAGAGAAGCGCAGCAAGGACAACCACGAAGTCGGATTCGGGTGACGCGGGCTGTGGCGGCTCGGCCGATTCAACCAACGTTGAATTGGTGGTGGCGGGAGTGGTGGTGGTTAAGAGAATTCTAAGTGGACGAGTCATGACTCATTGAACGACTTTCCTTTTCCGGTGCCGGAAATTTCAATCTAAAAATTCTCCCCGTTTTAGTAGGAGTATGAAATTTGTACGGATCGTGGAGAAATGAAGGAGAAAAAATAAGATGGAATATGAATAGAGTGGTTTAAGAGTTTGGATTAATTTGGTCAGCTGGGGTTTTCTGGAAGACGGATACTTATAGTGGGCGAAAAAATGGTAGTGGATAAAGGAACAGGGGGGTTGGCCCGTACCCGGACCGGTACGACCGGGCTGTGAAGGAAAAGGAGGCTAGGAGAGGAGGTAAAAAAAGGTCGGTAGGATATGGGGGAAAATTGAGAAAGGGAGATCTTCTAAAAACTCTCGACCTAATTTCTTTTTTTTGTTCTGTAAAGGGAGAGAAGTCAAAGAACTCTTATGTACTTAAACTAGTTTCACTTTCATACTTTTGATGCACATCAGCTGTTGTTGGTATGATAGGATCAATACTAATAAAGGTTAATAATTTTGTAAATAATTCAGAACAAAACACGTGGAGTAATTCCTAAATCTTGCTATCTTATCCATTTAATGAGATTAGAGGTATAACCGTATAAGGTTTTTCCTTCAATGTGTCACTGCACTTTGTATGTGTTAGGAGTAATAAAAATTCCTTTTGTTTGGATTTTGGTATCATTATGATGAACCATTCATTTATCGGCTATGCTAATCTTCTTTGTATCGATATTCTAATTTTATCGGCAGGTGAAAAAATAGAATAGAAAGTGGTAGGGTTGCAGTAAGGAAGAAGCAAAGAAAATTGACAATATTCTCGATCCAAATGCTTTGAGAAAAGCTGCAAGAAAATAGGCCATCAACCTCAGCACCATCAAACTGTGTGTTATTTTCTGCAAGTATGCGTTCGTGTCATCTTGCTAATAAATGTACACTTTTAGGTATCGAAAGCCAGGGGAATCGTCAGAATTCAGAAATTGACTTCATTTTTCTGCCCAAATTCAATAGAAGTCCAAAAATTGTTTTATCAGTTTGGATAAGGTTTGCACACACACTTCGGATGCTTGCAAGTAAAAAACAAAACAAGGGATTTAATAATAATAATACACGTATTTAATTATCTCCAAATGCATATTAATAAACAATAGATTATTTAATACGAATGTAGTCCCACTTTATGTCGTACGTTTTAAATCGATTTTTTTTAGAAATCTAGTGATTCATCCGTTTACAGTGAGATGGGAAATTACAGATTTTTTTTTTTTTCTTAAGGAAAGAGTTTTTAAATCTTTCATTATAACCAAAAGAAAAGAAAATGTACTGTAATATATTTACTAAAATAAAAAAAAAATCCACAATGAATTTTAAAATTTATGCTAAACATATTGTAAATCTCAAAATTAGGATTATTTTTTTAACAACAGAAGGAGTACTATATACTGGTGCAAATCACATGGTCCATTAAGTTTCCAATAAGAGATTCATTTTCATCGTAACTTGTAAAATCCTTTCTCAAATTTGTAACATCGGCTCTTTTCATATTCTAAAAATGGCAAAATTAGAACAAAATTCTTTAAATACAGAAGAAAGGGTTCATTTTCAATCGTTTCTGAATTTTAGTGCTTAATTAACCATCAATCCAATACCATCACTTCACGAATTCACAATCTATCATTTTCAGAATATTTTCATTTATCCACAAAATTTCCGCAATAGACCCACAAAATTCTTATGATTTTGGCTGTAGTGAAAAAAAATCTTTATATCCAGCAAAAGAAAATAAATGCAAAAATATTCCAATATAACAACAGCCTGCCAGAGCCAAAAAAAAAAAGAAAAAAAGAAAGAGAAAATGGACAACTTGGCATCTAAAGCCTTTTTGAAACTTAAACTGGCCCAGATAACATGTGCTATTCTCGCTTTAAGTGCAAAGTGGACCATTCTCCACTTCCCTTTCTCATTTGGATTTGTCCATCTCTACATCTTTACACAATTTTATTGTTTTTCCCAATCCCAATCATCGTTTTTTAGGTGGAATTTGGGAAGAAAAGAGTCGCATCAAGTTGTGCACATAACGTGAATTGATTTTCATAACGCTCACCAAGTATTTTAATCACATTTTATTATTTTTTTCTCTTTTTATACTTTATCCGATACGTGAAAATAGTCGAAAGGTATATTGGGTATAGGTTTTTGTTTTTGCTAACCTGTCATACAAAGAGATGAAATATAATGCAACACAACAGTGAAACCGCATTTATCTGAAATTGGAAAGGGTGATGATATTGGCGTTGAAGATTATGCACATTTCTAGTGTTTCTAGCAATTAAATATTACAACTACGCGTGTGAAAAGGCATGTTTTATCCACATGATGTTCTTGTTTATATAGTAGTTATGAAGGAAACAAAAAAGAAGGGAGAAAAAAAAGGATAAGACATATCCATATCATGAGTCCACGAGTATAATGGACTGTAAAGTGTAAACTGTAAAGGCGCATGAATGTGATCTTCATAAAAAGGGCTTCAACAACAAGCAGCGCCATGCATGCACCACATGTCAGAATTTTCATGTCTTTTTTTTTCTAGTTTAATTAATTACTTGATTGACTTAAATTTTTTCAATTATAAGGAAAAGTTATGTTTTAAAATCACAATGTAACAATTAAAACACAGAAGTAGTTCACGTAAATGCGATATCTTTTCTATTACTGTTGATAAGGGCAACTTTTTATCACTATACATGACTACGATTTGGATCATTTACTTATCCGAAAATCTTTCAACCACTAATTATTATTCCTTTTCTTTGTTAAGAATAAGATAAGTGATACTAATGTTCAGAGATAAGTGTATCTAATTGCTTTTTTTTTTTTAAAAAAAAAAAAATACTCGGTTGATCTTTAGAGACTATATACAAAAGATTTTTCTAGGTTTTTAACCACTTATAATTTAATTTCTTGGCTAATGCATGTTTAATGCATTCATAATTTCGGTTACTTGCTGCAATTGAGTGATTAGAGTTGAGTACATGAAGAATCATATTTCGACTCGAAATAAGAATCATGATCGTTTTACTAAAACATTTCAACAATTCAATAAATATAATTTTCATTTCGAAACAGAAAGATTATCTTTTAGCCTCACAAGCTCAAAGGAAATATGTATAAGGCCAAGCCGCGAAGATACTATATAATTAATTTAACCTAAGACAGAAAAATACTTTAGTTTACAATGGCATTACGCTGATACCTTGTTCATATTTAGACCCCTTTTCCAAGTTATGTAACATTTCAATATGGCTTGGTTTAACAAATAATAAATCAATACTATGAATCAAGGAAGGCATTGACAAGGTAAAAATCCCACAGTATTAGACTACATATGCAGAAGCCTAAAGCTTGTTATCAAGTTTTTCGACTATGTATAACTACATTCACTGAGGATATCCACATTGTCATGATCTGGAGAAAGAGAAATCCGAATTCTGATTTGCTTTTTGAACAGTTTCTGCGATTGCAATCTCCTGGTTTTGTCCCTTATTCCTCCTTGAACTCTGATCATCCCTGGAACTGAATGTAGGTTCCTCAAAATCTGAGTAGTCAGTTTCTGAGTGGTAAGCTCTGGGAGATGTTGGATAGCTCCAACTGTTCTCAATGTCAGGATTGGTTTTGTATTTGTGAAGCAATGGTTGTGGTGATGATTGTGTATCCCCACTCGTATAACCTGATTGCGATTCCTCTGCTTTCCTCTGCTTCCTTCTCTGTTTTGCTGCTTTCTGCCATTTCATCAGTGCTTTTGCCGTCTGCTCTTCGAAAATCGATCTCTTCATGTGAGTTCCCATCTGGGATTTCAATGTCAAATTTGTTAATGAATTGTTAGGTTATGCTGGAATATTGGGAAAAAGTTTTGATTTCAGTGCAAATTTCAGTAGACTTACTTGAGTAACCAGTGCATATAAAGGAAATGTGATATAGCTACACAGGACCTGAAATGCTACTCCAAGAACAACTTTGGATACTATTATTGACAATCTCTCGTGGAAGCATGAAGATAACCCGAATTCGTACTGCAGTTGCAAAATCAGAATGTCAGTTAGCTGGAAGCTATAAAATGGAGATGTAATATAGTAATATATCTTGATTAAGTACTGAATATTTTACCCATATCCAGAGGAAGTAAGCCATTTGGAATGCATTCTGGAAAAAAGAATAGGGAAACCAAAGAACGTGAATTATCAAGCTCATTACTGCAAATGTAATGGGAATGACTTACTTGTAGACTAGCAAGGATTGAAGCATTAGTATAAACCTGGAATAGGGTGAAGTGGATTAAACCAAGGATCAAGCGCGGTCTATTGAACCAGAAATACTTGTTACTAGGTTCAACAACTGGCGCTCCCCTCACAACTGTCGTCTTATCTTGAATTTGTTGAGCCATGTCCATGATGATTATCTCGAGCTTCGCGCCCACGATTAATAGTATCTGTGCCAAGTTAGTTCAATCAACGTGAGTTCTTAAGTACTGATATGTTTGACTAATTTTCTTTAGAATTGTAGACTAGTTCTTACAAGTGGAGGCAGGAAGGATATGGCAACTAGGAAGTACCATCCTGCAGAAGAATTAGCCATTTTGGCATTGATTTATGAACCCTTCATTGTCATAGAGCAACCAAAGCTAAGAGTAATAAAGAATTGGCAAGGGGAAGAAATGCTTACTATAGACATTTAAAAGCTGAAAGATGATTGCGAATGTCCAAAGAGGAATGCTGTCGAAAAGGGCATTCATTATGCACTAGTTAATGCAAGAACACCACACATAGATAGATGTAGGAAGGATGATTGGCGTACATATATAAGATCAACTAACCTTATACCTAGGACTTCCTTGAAATCGTCTTCCATCGATCTTTTAATGTATTTGTGGAAGTTGAATTTACTGTCAGGAGCAAAATGTGCCTGCAATTATAACCATGTTCACTGCACTGATTCACAAAGAATGTTGTTTCAAGGGCTCTTTGGGTGTTCTAGTTATCCACATACATTGATAAAACCATGTCTCATAGTCATGTAGTCTGCCTTTGTCACAGAGAGGAAGAATTGCCTGAAAAATGCCACCTGCAGCAAGGAAAATTTCCTGTTATTATTCTACAGATAGAGGCGGAAATGGTTGAGGCAACCAGTATGTGCTTAAGCAGGAAAAACTTACAATCCATCGGATTCCAGGCTTCGTGGAATATCCGCTATACTGGCGAACGAAAGATGTTTGATGCACGAATCTAAATCTAGAAGGATCTGAAACAACAGGACCAATTTGTGTTCAGATATTTCCACCACTAAATGAAAACAAATTACTCCCTCCGCTCCAAAAAAATAATCCTGTTTGTTAGATAACAAACACGGCAACAATTTGGGACGGAGATTATAATCTTGTATCAAATTTTGCCTACCGGTTGTAAATTGGTACTGCAGAGATGTTGTTTCTTCTTCCCAAGCCGCCCATTTCCTCATCTGTACAATATAATCTGAAATTCCTTCTGAATTCTTCCTAACGATTTTAGGTGCTCAAATGAACTACCTTGGCTGCAGATTGGACTTACCTTGGCCTTAGCCAGAACTATTGTCAGAACACTGTAGATAACATGAAAAACAGCCAATACAAAAATGAAAATGTGCAACTGATGAATCCCTGATTGAGTAATCAAAGGCACCATGTCCTTCTGCAAAAAAATCAGAACAAAATCACAAAAGAAACACCATTACCATCAAACATACGTCTCATACAACAATCGAATTCAAAGTATTACTAAAAAGCTCCTAATAAATCTTACATGTTTGGAACTGCAGTGATCAGTACCTCCTCCCGCGGCAAGCACACGGCGCGCCGCTGCCTCTCCAATGTACCATAATAATTTCCTCCCATCACCGCCTCCATTACCTTTATCGCCTTTGCCGGCGCCTTTTCCCTTGTCATCCGGCTTCTTACATGGAAGCATGGTGTTTCCAGCTTTGGAGGGAATACATATCTTCACCACATACTGTTGGCCAAAAGTGATCAGTAGGGATACGAAGCCTAAAAGCATCAACTCTGCCAGAAAATTTCCCCCCAAAAGAATCAGAAAAGATAACAATGATTTCAAAGCATTAGCATTTCGAGATCAAACAACACAAATGAAATATACTTTACCAGATTTTATCTTCTCAAGAGCTTCCGACATTGCTTTCTTCTGGCGCTTTTGAAACCACTACAGAGTGCAGAGTTTAGAGTTAAAAAGAAAGTTGTGGGACAAAAATCAAAATGAAGATGGATTTATGGAAATCAAGCACAAAGTTATTAGTTATTACATGTCCAAGTTTATGGATTCCATGTTCAATAATGATAGAAATGATAACAAAAACAGCACAAACAACAGCAACAGCCCAAGTGGGAGTCTCTTTTAGTGATCTTTCTCCAGTGTCTCCTGCAGCCATTAATTCTTGCAAAACTGATGATCAACAAAATCACTGCTTTTTGATATAATAAATGTAAGCTTATAGTAACTTATAGAGGCAGATTGGTTTCGGCAATTTTCATATGATACGAGTTTGAGTTGAGACAAAAAAAAAATTGCTCATCAGCTTCAACTATTATATAATAAAACTAGGCTTTAAAAGAAAAGACACGAATACTACTAAAATTGACTATATATATATATCATCGACCTGCAGGCCGGCTTGTTCTTATTAAATTTTTCCCACTTAAAGTATCATGAGTAGGGTAGAATTGGTTTTGATTTCAAAAAGAAGAATTGGTATTTTGTAGGGTGTAGTATTTACGCTGTGGATGAATATTAAAAGTTAGATTGACCAAATTTACGTAACTTTTTCAATAGTGATTGTACAACTTCCCCGATTTTTTCAATGATTTTGCATTTTTAAGGAGTTACGGTGATGATTACACTTTTAGAATTGTGAATAAATTATTATCAACATTATTAGAACTTGGATTCCCTCTGCTTTTTCTTTACGTGGAATTTACCATGCTTCTGTTACGTTTAATCCTAAGATGTGGAATAAAATATATTGCCCATCTTATAATTAATCTTCAAATGACTTGAAAAGTAGTAGTATCAAAATAGTCTCTCTATCATTAATTTTCATATACTTGAACTTTTTATTTTAGTGCAACTAGATATAGAAATATAAACTTAAAAGTCATACTGGAACAAAAATAGTATGTTACGAAGAACATCAGGAGCAAAATTGATGTTTCAATTTAGAACATGTGATTTGAAAGACAATTCTAGATGAACGAAATTAAACCGATACTCCGAGCAACTACTATTTCGATTTCTCGTTTTTTTTTAAAAAAATAAAAACATAAAATTATGAATCATCGATAATAAGATAAGTAAAGTGTAGCCAATGAGAATTCGAAGCCTTACAAAAATTTCTATAAAAGTACAGTTAGTAATCAATTACTCCGAATATTTCACAGCTCTGTCCATGGGTTGTTAGGTGACATGCAAATGAATGATGCGAGATTATTTTGTTTCATATGTAACTTGGTCAGCGTACGAAATCAGGCTTGAAGACCAAAGTTGATTGGAGTCATGAAAACATGTTTAATTAAATCGGACAACAACACTTCAAACGTAACTGGGGTCATGCATAACTGTCTCCGGGAAACACTTCCTCTAATGTGTACTGATTTTCTGCAAATTGCTTCACAATATTGGTTTAATCATAATAGTACGAATGACCTTTGTTTTTCCATTACCAAAAAAGAAATTTGTGTTGGGTGTGAAAAAGTTGACTCTGGTCAGCTGTCAATGGAAATGGTCTTCTTAGTGCATGGCTCCGGTTTTAAATTTTTAATAATTACCAAAAAAAAAATAACGCGTTTTTCACTCTTGTGATGTTTGTCGTGATCTTTCAGAAAAGGTAATTTTATAGAAGAGAATAACGACGCCAAACTCCAACAAATCCTCCTCGAAGAATCCTTACCAATTTACTTAGAGGAGAGGAGTCGAGGACAACGTTAAACATAGAAAATAGCCGTACTTCCTCTGTTCCAAAATTATTGTCCAGTTTGAGATTTTACTTTTAATACAATTTAAATTAAAAATAAAAATCCAAATTGAACAATAATTATGGGACTGAGGAAATACTACTCCCTCCGTCCCATAATTATTGTCCACTTTGCCTAAAAAATTTTGTCCCAAAATTAGTGTCCAATTTGACTTTTTATGAATCAAGTTACACATTTGTCCTTAGTAAAAAACATTATCCATAAAATCTTAGTGGTTAAACAATTACTTATGTAGGGATATGTGCAGTTGTTTAAGGTAAAATATAATTAAGTTTGATCAAAAATAAAATATTTTATTTTAGTAAACTGGACAATAATTATGAGACGGAGGGAGTATTTATTAATCGGCCAACCGATCGAGGGAGCACTTTTTGAACCATTCTTATTCCTCTGTAGCCCCAAATCATCATTACCAGTATAATTGATACTAGCTAATAGAATAATTTTTTCGTCCCAACTTAATAATCTCATTTATTAATTATTATACCGTTTTAATTTAACAAACGAAAATTTTGATTTAAATCGAAAAAAATATTAAAATAACTTAATTTGGACGTTGGAAACAAAGCGACAAAAACATAATCAAAATGTTTGTTCATAATATGGCGTACTGAACTATTCCTCCTTTTTTTTTTTTTCTCGTTTCCTCTTTCTCTTTGGCTCTTTTGATGTGTCCCGTCTTATTTTGGTATGCCCACTTCAGACCAACCACACTACCAATCTACAAATGCTTCAGTACTTTGGGAATTTTTAAACGACTTCCATGAAATTTCTTGCTTACTTCCAAATTCCTTAATCTGTTTGATTTGTAGAATAAGTCAAAATCATTACCATATCCATTTGGTACGAACGTTGCATAATTGTGAATAAAAGATTAAGGTTTAAAGTTTATGGCCGGATCGGACACTGCCAAAGCATAACACCTTCCTTAAAATATTTATGGTTTAGAAGTTTAAGGGCGGAAGAGTTATGTAAGACGGTGAAAATGATTCACTATGATCTTTATTATACTTTCTTCTCAAATTTTTTATGTTTTGTAAGTTTAGTCTCTGTCACCTTTTTTCTACCTCCTCATAAAATATCTCTAATTTTTTAAATGAGTATATCTCTCAATCTGTGAATAATTAGAAAACGAATCATACATGAAATTAATAGTACTTATCGAGATCTATTCAACAAGATCCATATCGAATATTTTTTTCGCACTTAAAAATGACTAAATTTTGATAGGTAGAAATGAAGCAAATTTAGATGTTATTTGGATGGATATCTAGTTTAAAAAAATGGATAACCAACTTTTTTTATATAGATATTCTTATATTGTACATATTTCATGATTCGTGAATAATTTTTAAACGAGTTATATATGAAAATAATAGTAGTCGATGTGATGTATTTAACAAAATCCATATCGAATATTTTTTTCAAGATTTAAACGCATTTAAAATTTTATGAGCAGAAATAAAGGAATATGCTTTTTTGGAAAATATTTATCCATTATGTTCATACTGATTATCCAACCAGTTTGAAATGACTATCCATTTTGTTTGTAATGGTTATCCAATAATTTTTTTTTAAAAAAAAATCATTGTTCTATATGTTCCCACCGATTATCCATTTTGTTTGCATTGATTATCCATTATGTTTATACTGGTTATCCAACTTTTTTTTTTAAAAAATGGTTGTCTAATTTGTTCGTAGTGACTATACACCAACTTAGTACTGGTTATCCAATCATTTTTCTCTATTTTTTTTATGAAAATACTTGTCCAGTTTGTTTGTACTAATTATTCAACCGTTTTGTATTGGTTATTTAATTATTTTTTTATTAGTTGTCCAAATAAGTTTGTACTGCTTGTCCAATCATTTTTTTTCTTTTTTTTTTCTCTTGGGAACATGTTTGTCCAATGTGTTCATACTGATTATCCAACTGTTTGATATTGCTTCCACATGTTTTTTTTTTTCGTTTTCTTTTTTTTTTTATGAAAAATTTCCTAATCGGTTTTTATTGGTTATCCAATCTTTTTTTCCAAGAAAATGTTTATCCATTGTGTTCATACTTATTATCCGACAGGTTTGAATTGATTATCCATTTTGTTTTTACTGGTTATCCAATCTCTTTTTTTTTTTTTGAAAAATTATTATCCAATATGTAATGCTGCTTACTCATCCAATTAATTGGTACTGCTTATCAACCTAGTTTAAAGTAAAGAGAATGTCAAAGTGAATTCAAATTGAGATGCCTACCCGTTTGTTTTTACTTGTACTAATCCAGCGTCTTTGTACTGAATATCCATTATGTTTGTACTTCTTATCCAATCGTTTATTTTGTAAAAAGTGGTTGTCCAATGTGTTAATAGTAGTTATCCAACTGAATGGTAATACTTATCCAGCCGTTTTTCCTATTCTCCACCTATTCTTTTCTTTTTACTTTTTACGAAAGTCCTTTTCCAGCTTGTTTGTATTGACTATTCAACCGTTTTGTATTGATTATCTAATCATTTTTACTGTTTATCCAAACATAGTTTGTAAGGTTTGTCTAATGTTTTTTTTTCTTTTGAGAAAATATTTGTTTAATATGTTCATACTGATTATCCAACTTCTTTGTAATCGTTATCCAACTTTTTTTTTTCTTTTTTTTTATAAACATAATTGTCCAATTTTTTTATACCGATTATCTAACCAGTTTGTACTAATTATCCAGTTGTTTTTACTGATTGTCTAAATAAATGTGAGAGTGAATTTATATTCATTGCTTTTATAATGTTTATCCAACGCCTCCAAATGTACATATTTCCATAAGCAAAAAATGTGAGAGTGAATTTGAATCGGGCCGCCTATCCACCGTCTTTGTACTGACTATCCAACACAATAATATGAATGTAAAATAAGTTGGTTATCTATATTCTTAAACTGGATATCCACCCTATTTCTGTCCATCAGAATTTAATCATTTTTAAGTTCAAAAAAAAAATTCCATATGGATCTCGTTGGATAGATTTCGACGAATACTATAAATTTCATACATTATTCGTTCACAAATTCTACACGGATCATGAGTTATGCTCATATAAAGATTAGAAAGTTTTTTTAGAAAAGAGAAAAAAAAAGTAACAGGAACTAAATTTGTAAAATATATGAAGTTATTTAAAAAAAATAGAATAAAAACTAATAATAAAAAATAGGAGGGGGACTATGGTAATTTTGGGTACACTCAAGATGGTCTCATTTACCAGATTGAACTCTTGTAAGGAACCCAATATAGTTTGGAAAGTTACGCATCTTTTTCTTCCTTGTTGCATTGAGGGTTAGCTAATAAGTGCGCAAGAGGAAGTGTACGCAATCTTGTAAGCGATAAATAACAAATTAAGAGGAAGAAAATTTACTGAAAAAGTTAGGTGCAAATATTGCATTCGCATATGTGGGAGGCAAGGAATCGCGCTTATTCTTTGAACTTGTTGATCATATTTTGTAGCAGATTTCATTTTTCTTTTTTAAGGGGAAAACTTACACAACTTTAATTGCAGAAGATTGTGGTGCATACGTTTCAATGGGGTCAATGGAATGGTTTATAGATATTGTCCCTCCCTAATCGGAAACCAAATTGTTGATTTCAATTATGGCATTTTAGGAGATTCTAAAGGGGTTAGTCGAAAGGTGGTTCTGTAACTAGCATATACTATTTCTGTCCTACAAAAATAGTTCATATTGAGTTTTTAAATTCGTACTAAAAATAGTACAAAACTCAAAATTCAACGTGGACTATTTTTGTTGGACGAATGGAGTAGAATTTAAAAATTTGGACATCGTAAAATCGTATTTGGATAAGGCATATTATTCTCTTTGGTTTGAACCTTTTGGAGGAACTGGAACTCATGTATAAGTATTGACAAGTTACTCTAAACTTGAAAGAATAAAAGCAACAGCCAAAAATGAAGAATTCGTCTCTTACATTCTTCTTGTAAATGCAGTAGATATGTCGATATATCTTATTTTACAAATCTCTTCCTCTTGGTTATCATCGTTTATAAGTGTGCATGTATGTCTTTGTCACTTTTGTAGTTAAGATTTTTGGTGCGTTGCCACTCTAGAAGCATTTCAAATTAACTTTTAGACTAATCGTAGTCTCTTTTGCACCAAAATAAAAAAAAAAAATAAATTGATAAATGAATAAATAATTGAAAATGGACTAAATAGACTCAGTACTATGAAATTATTATTTCTATCTAAACAAATAATTCACGTTAAATTTTAAAACTTACTAGACAATGCGAACTATATAGTGTTTTTTATAACACATCGGCCATTAATCTACTTGCTAAGTTGTAAGTAACAAAGAATTATCAGAATCGTCATCTTATTCCATTGTCTCAGTTGGGCCAAGCCCATGAACTGATAGAATTTTCTAAAGGGCTCTGAATACTATGAAATGGCCTGAATCCATTCAATGAGCATTATAAGCCCACAAAGTTTATGTGGTAGCACGTGGCAATTAGTCGCATAAATATCATCGACAAAACACAATCTGAAATCTAAAAGCAAACAAATTGTTCGATAAATTTGACGTTATCACTGGATCAGTGGTGGTACAGCTCCACCCACCATTGTTGTTTTTTGATCGTAGTTAATTTGAACTTTAATCTTCTTGGCCTAAATATCTCCCATCGGAGAAGATGAACTCCCTTGCAAATTCGACTTTGTCGGTCAAACACTCCGGAACCCAGTTCATTTCTGGTAATTTCTTTCACTCTTCCTATGGTTTTTCTACTTCGCTAATGATCGCACGGGACAACAAATCGTTTTGTTATGCGCGTTGTTTGTTTGGGATTTTGTTCTTTTTGATTTATGTTATTGCTCTTGCTCTAGTTTTCTAGAAAGATTCATGTCCTGAAGCTGGTCAATCAATTGTATTTTAGTTTAATACCGCGAAAGATTTCCGTTTTATCTACCGCAATTAAAATGTAGTGGATATATAGTGTGGCCTTAATTTTCATATCTCATTGGTCGATTGATGTTTTGTTGCTAGGAACTTCTGCGCAAAGAAACGAATTTCTTGGTTCCAGTAGTGTGCTCTTTCTCCCCTGTTCCCAAAAGAATCTGAAGTCTTTGAAGTGCCGGAGGTCACTGACAGTACAAGCTAGGTAATAAATGGCTAACGCTTCTCCTTCCCTCCTCTCAGCGAAACCTGGGTTCTGTTATGGTAATATTGATGGAATCGAGGCACCTGTTAATACATGTTATGTGTTTTTTTTTTTTTTTTGTGTTAGTAATTAAGTCAATGTGGGTGGTTTATGTTGTTCATTGGCGATGGTTTGAGTGATAATGCAAAAGCTCTTCTGAATGAGATTTTTAAAAGAATTTTAATTCGAGGAGGTGGGAGATTTGAATGAGTGTTAGGATATGAACTATTTGATTAAAGTTCAATGTGGAGCTACTTTAGAAGTAGTTTCCATCATTGGAAAAAGATGGTGAGACTATGGATAAGCTTGCTGCGAATTTTCGGATTTGGTCGTTGAATGCATACTGTTATATCTTACACATGTAAAGCCACATTGTGGAATTAGAAAACCCTTAGATTTTCCTTTTGTGTTTCGTCAGTGGCCTTCATTTCTTTCTTGGTTGGGGGTTATCTAGTAACCTAATTTTCTTGAAGGATCTTTTTTCCCTTTAGCTGGTCTGTGAAGATGCCCAGTATTTGTTTCGATCCTCTGTTTAAACGGTTTTTATGATTTTGCAGTGGAGATGGAAGACCGGGTAGTGCCAGTATCTTTGTTGGTGGCTTTGTTCTGGGAGGACTTGTTGTTGGTGCATTGGGCTGCATTTACGCACCTCAGGTAAAATCTTTAAGCCTTGTTTATGCATGCAGTCGGCATAGCTTTGACACTTTTACTTTATGAGGTTCCTTATATTGCTTACACCATTACTTTAAAGGATAAAAGACTTCTCCCTTGAGTAAAATCAGGTTTATTAATGTGTGCACTGGCCCTTTTGAGGTTTATTAGACTGGGCTAAGTATTTCTTTTCTGCATCTGTTCTGGAACTACGAATAGTTTACTAATGTGTTTGAGCAATTCATCTATTTGGCCATCTAGGATGATTACAAATATTGGTTGATTAGGCTTCCTTTTAGCAACTTAATCTAATCCACAATAGCATGAGATGAACTTTTTTTTTCAATACATTTGTGTATCTTGAGGCCATATACTTCTTGCAGATAAGCAAGGCCCTAGCAGGAACTGATAGAAAAGAAATAATGAGAAAACTTCCAAAGTTCATATATGACGAGGAGAAAGCTCTGGAGGTAAGCGCCTCTTTCTTCAATCTTTCACGAACTCATGTATCTAATGCTGCCATATTTTGCATGGTTATTCTTCTATATACCTTATTGAGTTTTGCAATTTAAAGTATGACTATTATCTGGCTTTGCTCATCTTATGCTCTTAACCTCGGCAGATTATAAGGTGTCTTTTTTTTTAAAATTTTTTTTTATATCATAGTCTTACAAAGCATAATATAAATTTTTTGTGTCCATACTGCTTAGATTGAGTTTTAGGATCACTGACGACAGTTTCCTCTTTTTGAGTTGCTTAGATTGAGTTTTAGGATCACTGACGACCGTTTCCTCTATTTGAGTGAGCATGTTGTTCTTTGCCCATCAATCAAAATCTCAGTGATCTCACTTTTCACCTATTTTGGCTGTTTAATGCCTCTGTTTAGCTGTCGCACCATTTCTAGTTTGGGTGGTATAGCATGCTGCCAGTTCTGGTTCTTAATTTAGGTTGCTCTTACCTTGCTGGTACAGAAAACTCGCAAAATACTGACTGAGAAGATAGAACAGTTGAACGCGGCTATAGATGATGTTTCTTCTCAGCTCCGTGCAGATGATGCTTCCCCAAATGGTGCAGCTGCAGTAACCTCAGATGAATTTGAAGCTTCAATCTGATGATACATGTAGCTGAAACACATGAGATCATTTGTCGGCATCACATTTCTGTTGTTTTATACTCAGTTTCTAGATGTTAATTATAGGACCATGTATGTTGAGAAGTCACCACCTCTTGAATTGCTACTGTAATTGTGAGATTTTTGAGTTACTAAATGAATTTTTGAACATCAATTTCGATCCCAAGGTTTCCTTTGAGCAGCAGGGCGATCACTGTTTTATTTCGTAGATCACAGCTCAGCAACCTTTATCAGGTTTTTCCGATCAGTAGTACTGAATTTCGAGATTCAATCTCCATGGCTGAATTATATGTATTCAGCCCACTCCTACATCAGGGAGTTTTACAGAAAGTTCAGCCCAAAACTATAGTTTATTTGATTTGGTTTACAGAAAGCTCAGCCCAAAACTATAGCTTATTTGATTTGGTTCTGTCAAATGAAGGATAGTAATAACACAGGATGTTGATGGGCTGTGTACTTTTTAAGTTTGGAGCCAGGCCCAGAAGTCGACATAAATCATTTTTTTCCCAGACTCTTTAGCCATAAGGGCATCTCCAACGCATCCGCTAAATCGAGCGGACGCATTGGATTTAGAGGAATTGGGTGCTCCAACGGCCTCCGCTCTGCTCCGCTTCTCCGCCAAAAGAGCTCCGCTTCTCCGCCAAGGCTGAAGGAGTACTGTTTCACCGCGCCTCTATTCTGGTGGCCCTTTTTCTTTATTTCTGATTTTTTTAACTAATTTTTTGGGCCACATTTAGGGTTTTTTGTTAGGTTTTTTATTTTTATGGGCAAATTTGGTTCACTTGGGCCTTAGTTCCTTGACCTTTGGGTTTCCCAAGCTTTGTTTTTTATATCTAATTTTTACTTAATTTCTCAAATAGCAAAACTAAAAATATAAATAAACATAATTTATGTGTAAATAGCAAAAATAAAAATATAAATAAACATAATTTATGTGTAATATGTTGTTATTGATCTAAATACATTTTTCATATTTACTAATACCAAATTGTTTAATTTGATTAATATTCAATAAACAATGTTTGGTATAATTAATTAAATAATATATTGAAAATTTAATCTAATAATCAATAATATTTTACAATATTGATCATATATCTAAATGAATGCTTTTCACTGATTAAGAATATTAACAGATTAAAAAATACTATTAATAATAAAATAAAATTATTGATAAAAGAATACAAAAATATTTGTTTAGAGGAGAATTATAGAGGGAATGGGTTGGAGATACTGACACTGTTGAAACTGTAAAACTAGTAGGATTTTACTGTAGCAACTCTATATATAGAGTTTAGAGGGATGTTGGGTTGGAGATGCACTAAGGGCATCTCCAACCTTTGCCCCTCTAAACTCTATATTTAGAGTTAAAACAGTGAAATCTCACTACTTTACAGTTTAAACAGTATCAACATCTCTAACTCATTTTTTTTTTATTTTTATAAAATCTCTCTAAAAAGAATATGCTCATTATATTTTATTATTATTATTATTATTTTGTAAAATTAAATTTTGTTATTTGTATTTTATTATATTCTATTACTAAAATAAATTATATTTAAGAAATTTTATAATTACACATATGATCATTAATTTAAATAATAATTAGTAATATTAATCATTAAATTTAAATTGCATAATTTTTACGTAATTAATTATAGTAATTTTTTCACCATATATTATGTCAATTAAATAAAACTACAAATAGTAAAATAGCAAAAACATTTGGCTCGATGATAATAATAAAACACCATTATTAATATTACATTTAAATCATTAAAAAGACATTAAAAATGCAACATCGAAAATAATGATGTACTTTAAATGATGTACATTTGGTATTTGGTTTTGTGAGTTTAAATGATGTACTTTATTTTTTTCTTTTATTGTATAATTTAATATTATAAATAATCAAAACAATGTATTTGTTTTGTTATTTGTTGCTTTCTTTTTATGTGATTTTATTAATGATACCTTATGATTTTATAATAAATCGACAATGGTTTCTTAGTCCTTGTTAAAATACACATACAGATATTCACTATTAATAGATAAATTCAGCCATTACAATGATAATCATGATTATTAGTTTTTAGTTCTACAACTTAAATAATAATTAAGAATGAAATAGATATGTAATTAAATTATTTAAGATCTAACAATTAAAAAGTTTAATAGTTTCGGTCCAAAATAGAAAAAAACAGCCCAGGTAAATTAAAGTCAAAGAATGGCCCAAAGTTTTTGTTAAAGAAAAAGCAAAAAAAGAAAAAGAAAAAAAAAAGTCCACCCGCAATATTGCGGGTACCCTTCAAACTTGAAGGGATAGAGAGCCACATAGCGGAGCGGGCTGCGTTGGAGAGCCCACTCCGCTAATCCAATGCGTCCGCCTAGTTTAGCAGACGCGTTAGAGATACCGTAACTCAAAAGAGCTTAAAGGAATTTTTTTCATTTATGAAATTGAATTGTAAGATAATAATTATCCTATGATGCAAGGATCTTTCTGTCTCAAAATAAGAATTTTAATTTGTTATATAAATTACAAATGGATGAAGGGGTATTGTATGGTATAAATAATTTTTTCTAATTACTTCTATTTTTATTTGATCTATTACTTACACCTAGAAGTGTTGGAAAGTAACTCTTCTTCTCTCTCTTCTCTCTCAAACCCTAGCCGTCTCTCAAAAAAAATTTTCTTTCCCCCATCTTCCCTCATAGATCGATGGGGGAATCGATTTGATTTTTCTTTGTTTATAGTTCTTTTTATCACTTAATAAGTGTGATTTGTCCCAAAATATAGTTCCTTCAATAGATTAATTGTAATCTATTGAGAGGGTAGGGTTTTTCTTGCAGGGTTCGTAGTGTCTATCGTATTGTTGTTGCGATATCCGTCGTTTCGTTCGTTGCTTCACACTGTGCGGTTCTAGAAGATTCAGTCATCATAGATTTATTTGATAGATCTATGATTTGGAGCTTTCATCAGATGATTAGAGATATGTTCTTGATCAGATTGATTATCTGGCACGTGATATATCCATCGTTGTATTGGGTAGATGTAGATAAGTTTATCCACAAGAAATACAACAATAGTATTAAGTTTAATTGTAAGTTGTGTTCTAGTTTCGACTATATCTTTTATTATCAATCGTTGCTGGACGATTTCTAGTAAAATAATATAAAGTAATTTTTATTTAAAAAAAAAAAGAAGTGAGAAGGAGAGATGCTAATTAATAGTGATTCTTACACTCCAATTAACCAACACACACAAAAATACAAGCTGCAGTCACGGCATAATTCCAGGCTAGTACAATGATACTATATTTACTTTTTCTTTTTTGGCGTTGGTGTAGAAACAAAATCAATTATTCTTGGCGTGTCCTAAAAAATCAATAATAAGCCAGGACCCATATCTGGGTGTTTTTGTTTCCTGAAACTAACTCCCATGTTCTCTTCATCTTCATGTCCATTCTTATTTCTTAGTACATTACGTTGTTTTCAATAGGTTGTACTGTAACTTGAAATAATTGACTTTGGACTCATCAATTGAATCCTGTTTTGTAAAGGCATTGAGCCACGAATCTGATCAATGTAACAGCGTGTCAAGTGTTTTAAACTGAATTATTCTATGTTAAAAATTACGATTTTGTTTAAGTTGAGCGCTGTAAAGTTCATCAATCAAGTAAGTTAACCCTCTTCTTCACTTGAATCGGGCATGGTTTTATTCATCATTAATCATGTCTTGTAGACTGTAGAGTGTGGAGGATTTCACTCAATGGCAGGCATCCAACTGATAAAAATTTACTGTTAATTACTTTGCTTCCACATTTCTTTTCTGAATTTATATCCCTGTCGAATGATGGGTCACTATAAAAAGAATTAGAAACGCAAACAAAATGTCAAATTCAGGCATCTCCTGCTTTATTTTTGCATCTTTATAGTACGTTCCGTACGCATCACATAATGAACTCAATTGGTCCTACTCTATCTAAATAATTATAATCCTTTTGTCCCAAAATTATTGTCTAGTTTGAGTTTTTACTTTTAATTTATTTTGTAATAAAAATGAAATCTCAAACTGGACAATAATTTTGGGACTCAGGGAATACTTTTTTTATTTTTATTTTTTATGTTTTCTCCCAAAGGTTACAATAATTTATGTCCAGATAACCGATTGAAACGTTTCAAAGCAAAATAGAACATCCATTTAATTTTTGCAAAATTCGGGGCAAGCCTAACTTGATTGAACAGTATTCTTTTTTCATAAACTTTCTTAACATAATAATTAATTTATATTTGAAGGCGTGTTTTTTTCGAAATCCAAGGCGTATTTTAGAAGGAAAAAAAAATGAAATATAGAAGTTACAAACATTACGTGTAATAGTGACTAGAAAAACTGCACTGCCAGCAGTAATCGCTTCAAACTTCAAAGGACACTTGCCCACCAAATCATCTGATTAGTGAGCACTTGCTATCCTTCTTACTGCTTGTCTGATACACATTTTTAATACAGAAAATGCCAAACTTTCAAAGAAGAACTATACTTGGGATCATCCCTGAATGGTAAGTAATTCCTAGTACGTCTCAAACGACGGTGTCGGTGAAGTGTAGAATATGTTGAATCTTCTAAAAGTATAAGGGTACGAAGCCTCAGAAAACCCTGATTTTTCTTTTTTCTTTTTCTCTATATATTTACTTCATGTCCCCAAACGCAACTGGAACAGGACAGTCGTTTTTAGGGTATATATATATATATATATATATATATATATATATATATATATATATCATATATGTAGAGGAAATGTTTATTACGTAATGATTTGATTTTGACTTTTCGCGTGAGCTCGCGTCATGCTTTACGTAAAGAAAGTCTTACTTGCTCGGAGGCTAGTAAAGAAAAACGGAAGAGGAATAGTGAGTGAATTTTTTGGTAGATATATGATAAATGGAGAATCTAATTACAAGAGTACAATACAAGCGTAAAAATTGTTGAAACTTGTTATAAAAACTGAATGCAAGAATATGAACATTTTTAACGATAGAAACAACGAATTAAGTGATGGAGAAAAAATATATTACAATTCATATATATTACTCTCTTTGTCTCAGAAAAAGAAAGTCCGCATTGAATTTTGTGATAATTAGAAAAAAAAAGAATTAAGAAGTTAAATAAAGATAATTTAGATTATACTCATAAGAACAACATGTGTATCCAGCATGCAAGGTCATAACATTACGTACTGTACAAGTTTCAGTACTTTCTACAGTAAATTAACGATGGATCTTTGCTCTTTTTTTATTATCTAATTTTACAGATTTATTCGTATGTCAAATAAAGTCCAGTTACTTTATTTGTTTACAGTAAAATAAATGCAACTTGTATTTTAGTGCAGAAAGGAGGGAATACTACTTATTAATTCGGACAAATTAATTTCAGCATTTTTTAAAAAACTTTTCTAAATATATGTGTGTAGACTGTGCATTGTCAGAATTACTCCCTCTACATTGTGTCATTTTTAAATGACTAAGTTGTAAAACACACATAATTAAGTTAGCAAGTGGCGACTTAACCAGTTCCCAGAGAAATAAAAACATCGACAACAATGATGCAAATTAGTTTGTCCGTATTCTCTTGTAGTGTGACTTGACCAATTGACTTCACTTAATGTCCTAATTAGTGTACGATGAATCAAATAATTGAAGCGTGAAAGTTATGTTGTTGGCTCATGATATTGTAGTGTAATGATCATGTTCATGACAAAAAAAAAAAAAAACCGTCAGTATTTCAATTTCATACTTAAGTGTTTGTATAGGCTGGCCGGTATATTCGGCATTAGCGCATAGTATTATATAAATAATTTCTAGAATAAGGACCAAGAAATTCTGATTAAT